GGATACTATCACATCGAGCTGACACCTCACTCGAAGCACTCTGTACCATCGTACTCCCATGGGAAAGTCACGGATACCAGAGGTTGCCAATGGCCTATGTAATAGTCCCGACATCTTCCAGAGAAGATGGGAACACTAATGCACGACATAGAATACGTCTGTGCATACATTGATGATCGACTCATCCTAACTAACGGCCATCTGGCAGATCACGTTGGAAAGTTAGATGAAGTTCTACGAAGGGCTTCGATAAGCCGGACTTAAGATCAGCCAATGCTACCAAGTCCTTCTTTGCAAGAGGAGAACTTGAAGACTTAGGTTACTGGATTACTCGAGAAGGGATCCAACCTATAAACAAGAAAATAGAACGCGAATCCAGCATTATCGCTCCCTCCTAACCAACAGCAGAACAAGGAACTCTGTAGATTCATTGGAATAGTAAACTACTATCGAGACATGTGGATTAGACGATCACATGTACTGTCCCCACTCGCTTCATTGACTTCCAAAACAACGAAGTGGAAATGGAAGCCGAACACGACAAGGCCTTAGCCAGAATGAAGAAGATCATCAGCAAAGAAAACCTTGCTCGCTTACCCTGACTTCAACGAAACATTCGTTATCCAAAAGGATGCGAGTGATACTCAACTAGGTGCAGTAATTTCCCAGAAGGAGAAAAACCTATCGCCGTCTACAGCAGGAAGCTCAACCCTGCGCAGACACGTTACACGGTACCTGAGAAGGAACTTCTCATTATAGTAGAAACTCTAAAAGAATTCCTTAACATTCTTCTGGGACAGGAGATCGTTGTACATACGGACCACAAGAATCTTACATGTAAGAACTTCAGTACCGATCGCGTAATGCGATGGCGTCTTATTCTGGAAGAATACGGCCCTGAACTAACGTACATCAAGGAGCCGACAGAACATCGTCGTTGATGCGTTGTCGAGACTTTACATCTCCAACAACGACGCTTCTTCAGAACAGATGGACGCCAGCGAGATCGCTGCACTCATGGCTGCAGACGAAGAGGACTTCCCGAGCGCGAGTTTACCCTCTCTTGTTCCCCGAGATCGAAACATCGTCAGAAAGACGACAACGATATCAAGAAAACTCCTCAGGGACAAGCCAAACGACAAAAAGAAGCAATCTTTCCCCCAGAGGGGATAAGTCTTACGACTAGTAGTTAAGGACGATAGAATAGTCGTACCTAAAACTATGCAGGAAGAAGATAGTTGAATGGTAGCATGGTGTGCTGATGCAGAACTAACCATCAGCCAACACTACACCTGGAAAAGACTGCGCAAGACTGTGCAGGCCGAATGTCAGCGTCGCCAAAGCTGCCAGATGAAAAAAACCAAGACGCGTAAGCTGGCTGGGATTGATGCCTCCAAGACTTGCGAGGAGAACACTTGGGAAAGACTATGTATTGACCTGATTGGTCCTTACAACGTCGGGATCCTAAGAAAAAGAAATCCTGTACACTTCATTGCTTGACCAAGATTGATTATCCCGTAACGGATGGTTCGAGATTGATGAGATCTGCTCCAAGGCGGCAGACGAAGTAGCCATCGATCTAGAACAAACGATTGCTTACTCGATATCCATGGCCGGCTGAGGTTATCATGGATAGAGACCGTGAGTTCGCGCAGAGGTCGAGAAGACTCTCCGGGATGAATATGGACTTCGGTCGCAAGTTCATCACCACGCGCAACCCTCAAGCCAACTCCATGGTCGAGCGTGCTCAGGGCCGGTCTCTACCGGAGCGACGATAAAGTAGCGACTAAGCCATATTTTGTAGTTTAGTCCATAGTTTAGTCTCTTGGGGTGGTGTCTACCCAAGCGACTAAACGTCATACGGACTAAAGCCTTTAGTCAAAATGTTGGTTCACCGACTAAAGGGAGGCTGGTTAGTCGGTGAGCGAGCGTAAGGACTAAAGCTTGTTTAAGAACAGCAAATCCAATAGGAAACAATACAACTGCATGCCACCGAGTTGGATAACAAAGTCGAGCTGATAGAGTAGAAGAACTCTTTAAGAATGAATAAGCCTCATTGCAACAGCCTCACTATCAGAGCATCGCGACAGAGCTGATAGAGTAGAGGTGCAAACGCATAGCAACTTAGTCGAACGATCGAAGAGGAGTATCGGCCGATAGTACTAGTAGAGGTGCAAACGATCGAACGGTCTTGTTAACATTATCGAACGATCGAAGAGGACTATCGGCCGATAGTACTACTAGCTAGAGTAGTAGAGGTGCAAAACAATCGAACGGTCTTTTGGGTTGACTTCTAACGATCGAAGAGGAGTATGGGCCGATAGTACTAGTAGAGGTGCAAACGATCGAACGGTCGAACGATCGAACAATCGAAGAGGAGTATCGGCCGATAGTACTACTAGTAGAGGTGCAAACGATCGTATGATCGAACGATCGAATGACAGTGGTGTGTTTTGAGTCTTGTTATCTCAAAAAAGTAATAACTTCTGTTAAGTCTTTGTTTGAGTCCTTTAAATCCACCTTGCTGATAGAATATTGGTAGCCCACCAAGTGATCACCTTTGTTAAATCTTTTTGAGTCCTCTAAGTCCAGCAGTGTTACGTTTAGTTATTTGTTTAGTCGGCTGGGTAGACAGGTCCAATGACTAAAGAACTGACTAAATTATTTAGTCCCAGATTTAGTCATCTGCTGTTGAAGACACCACCATTACTAAATTATAATGACTAAATCTTGAAACTAAACCAACCACCTAAAGGATTGCTTTAGTCGGTCCTTAGTCGCTCACGGTAGAGACCGGCCTCATCAGACCATACGCAATTGACCGCTGTTCAAAAACATCAAGTGCCAAGACAAACCTCGGACGGATCCTGGGATGGAGTCCTCACGCGGTTCGCTTCGCCCAATGAACGCCGACGATGCATACACAACTTGCGTGCAACGCCTGACAAGCTCGTGTTCAATCGTGAACCGATTCACAACATCCGTTTCGAAGCAAACTGAAAGTACATTAAGAAGACGACAACGACTCAATCAACAGGAACCAACGATAGGATGAACGCCCGACGCGTTTCTCATCAATACAATGTCCAAGAATACCGTGATGATTCAAACAGTATCAGCACCGCAACGTACGGTCAGCCAAAGTACAAAGGTCCTTACACTAATAGACCGAGTCATATGACAATGGCACTGTATCGGCTCCGACTTATGCCACCGCCATATGGCGGGACAGTATAGCCAGACTTGGACATAAGTATATACACCCATACAAGGCGCTGATCCCCTTGAAGGATTGCCATTCGGTCGACGGCCACATGGTCTACATCCAATCTCATGGAGAGGCCCCGACACTTAATCATTATGTTCTCATTGTCCGACGATGCTGTGCGCTTTCTTTGACCCTTGTCAGGGGGCGAATGAGCAATACACGGCCTTAGCAATCACACTCCAGCCTTATTCGCGACTCAGATCTAGATAAGGTTTGAGTTCGACTCATGACTGAGATCTCCGTGAATAGTCATTGAGACAGGGTTCTCATGACGCTTAGTCATACTAGGTCCTGTATGCTGGAACACATCGCGCGGCTAGAGTATTTAGCTGGCTGGGAGAGATTCCATCGCTACTAGATAAAAATGCTAGACGAATCTTCCACGCGTTCCGTTTTTGGATCGTGGAACGAGTAGGATTACTACCACAACCTACTCTATCACACTTTACAGACTCCCGCGGGAGTTCAGATCTACGATCCCTTGATTGTGATCTCTCTCGTTGATTAGTTTTCATAGCTTTCTAATCCTCTTATAACTTTCATTCTCTCAAACTCAAAACACTCGAAAGATCTTTACACTAGCTTTTAGCGTAGTGCATTCCCGTCCCGCCAGGGAAGAACCATTTCGGGGTTCAAGGCAAACACGTCTACAAAGCCAAAATCCGCCAAAGGAAGTCACCCGATCCAATCGTGGTGGCAGCAAAAGGTACCAACAACCTAAATCGCCAGTGGGGTATGCGATTGTTGTCTGGGTGCAGCTTACCTGATGATGGTGATTCCTCTAGCGCAGCTGACAGTGTTAGCAGAGGCAGCCCGAGCAGTATCAAGGGATTTTCTGCTGCAGCGCCTGTGAGCAGTATCAAGGGATTTTCTGCTGCAGCGCCTGTGACTCCAGACAGGGATTTTGTTGGGGCTGTTCTTGTGACTCCCGAACGACTTGATCGAGACGTCGACGAAGACGATTCTTTGAGCACCATTTCTTCGCTGGGAGGAACCGAGTAGGTTTTATCTCCGTGCGGGTTTCACGTATATTTATTTCATAGTTCTGGAGCGTGCCTCAGTGGGTGCGAATGGGGAACCCAGGATTTAGGGTAGGATTCGCTTTAGGGCAAACTCTGCCCTAATTATAGGGCAGAGTTTTGAAACCATGCCCTAATTTAGGGCAGAGTTCGAAACTCTGCCCTAATTTAGGGCAGAGTTTGAAATTTAGGGCAGAGTACTCTGCCCTAAATCGAAACGGGACTGCATAGTAAATACTATGAAACTCTGCCTTAAATTAGGGCAGAGTTTCAAACTCTGCCCTAATTATAGGGTAGAGTTTTGAAACCATACCCTAAATATTAGGGTAGAGTTTGAAACTCTACCCTAAATTAGGGCAGAGTTTCTTTGAAACTCTGCCCTAAACACCGCCACAGGCACCATTGACCAACGCTCCTGTGTTGTGAACAATTGGTCTCGTCGTGGGAGTACATGTAACACCATCCCCAATTTTGTCCAGTGAACACCCTGTCCATACAGTTCTGACTGTTAGAGGTAGCCGATAACGAAACGGATAAAGCAATTCCAGTTGACTGGAGATAGGCACTTTGTCTCTAAATTTCAACAACCAATTGGTTATAACTGTCTTGGCTGTTTCAGTTTGTCCTTGGTTCTCCGTGCTTTCATCGAGTTAACTTGCCTCCAGGAGCCCCACCACTTCCAGACCTAAAAGGATACATCTTTAAAACTATGATGGCGGCAAGACGCTCTCGACTTGGCGAATTACAAGGTGCCAAGTACCGGCGTACACATTCTGAAGACACGATTGAATGATTCTATTTGCACCTACAATAATTCCTTCGTAGCTCCAGTTTAAAGTCGGTACTAGAGTGGAGCCAACGGTGTGGTCCAGAAGAATGCCGCTGGCCGTCTACCTAGGCTGAGAAGAGAGTGACGACTTGTTCTGGTGTGTGGCCCAAGAATTTAACATCTTCGTAGCCGCCCGACTCACTGGAATGTGCTGCCATGATGGCCTCGTACAGTTCCTTGTAGAAGGTACAGACCCGTCCTGCAATTTGTCGTCGAGCCGCCTTGCGAACGGTTGGATCCTTCACTCCGGTTTCCAATGATGGTAGCGGAGGCGAATAGAGAGAGGTGTAAAACTCCTTGATGGCATCCTGGACTTCCTCTGGTCCGAGGCCAGGATAGGCTGCCAATGATTCGGTAAGAGCACCACCTTCGGCCGACGCCTTTTGAAAGTTCTTCCATGCTGTGGCAGTGCTACCAAGGCCACACAAATCCATCACATTTACAGTTTCTCGCGAAACCAGTTCCTGGATGAGCTCAGATTCCTTTTCTTGAATACGTCTTGTAAGTTCTTGGGCAGCGTCTCCGATCGCGCCGGTCTGTGATTTGAGAACGGCCTCTTGCAAGCAGTGAGCATCATCAAGGGACTTGCATGAGTTCAAGGTGGCTTCCAAGATCACCTCCAAGGCCCAGTCCAATGAAAGAATCATTGAGTATTCCTTGGGACAAGGAACGTCTTGAGAGAACCCTGGAGACTTGGCACGGCTCTGTGCAATGGCCACGATGATTTGATTGGCAAGGGCTGCTTCGGAGTCACCAGACGCAACCGTCAACTGCTCTAGCATGGCGGAGTAGACTCGGAAAGTGGCTTCGTAAGCACTAGTGGCTTCTCCCAAACACTCCAAGACAGACTTCATGAGAGGACTGTGTTCATGAGTTGCTGGTGCTGGTGTTGCTGTAGAATCCTCCCGAAAGGATCCCGAAAGAGAAGCCCTCCTTCTGGGGTCTAACTTTAGTTGAGTGGTTTCCATAGCCGAGGAATAAAACAAGAGGAGGCCACAAATCTCGTATAGCTGGGTCACCTTGTGCCTGGCCCGCGTCCCCTCTTCTTCCAGTTCATCCATCATTGAATCGTGAGACTCGAGCTCATCATTGTCACCACCTTCTCCATCCCGGACACTGCGAGCCAAAGTGGCAATGACCTGAAGGATGCGCGATTTGAGGGGCCGGGCGACACCCGACATGGTCAACGCCAAGGTTTCTTGCGTGGAAATCAATGCTGGTGTTTCCATGCTGGAAGCGGGAGGAATACCCATTTCATGTTCACTCGAATCCATTGTTGTTGTCTCGGCCGCAGTGCTGCTATTCTCCTCCTCGTCTCCTCCGCCAATGGGCGACAATTGCAAACTCTGCATGCTTCGGGCAAAATCTGCCTCGACCGAAAAACTGCGAAACACAAACGCCAACATGTCCCCAACGTAAACGACTGGATCATGTGCCTTCATTTCCAAGGGTGGCATGCCAGCATAACCACTGGTGAGTGCCAACAAGAATTGTTTGGTGGCTTGAGTACGTCTGGCTGTGGCAATCAACTCTAGAGTGTGGGTGTAAAAGGCTGGTACATGTTGCAACGTCTTGAGAGCCAACTGACAAAAGGGGTGACTGACGATTTCATCCAATCGATCTTCGCCACTGTCTTCTCCTCCAGACGCTTGAGTGGCATTGTTATTGGCCGAGAGTTGCAAAAAGTTCTGTAGCCAATGATAAAGTCGTTCGTAGGCTTGTTCCTGCTTTTGGGCCAATGATTCCATCATGCGCAAGGCCGATGATGCGCCTAGTCCATCACCACTTCCATCGCCACTTCCAGCACCCGATGCCGAAGCTGTATCTCCAAAGGATTCGCTGAGAGCGGTCCTAATTTGTACGACACGTGCGAGAGCCTTTAGGAATGCCATGCCATTGACCGGTGATTCGGCCCCCATGGCTACAGCTTCGACGGCATCTTCGAAATTATAATGATCGAGCAAACGAGCATCTTCTTCACTGAGATCGAATTTGTCCAAAAATGCCTGCACTACAGTTAAGCGTTTTTCGGCTTGTTCGCGTGCCATAAAGGCATCGTGCAGAGTACGGGCCAATTGCGACTCTTCCAATTGAGTAGTGGGAGTGTTATGTTCCGTGGATCCTTCTGATTGTTGTTGTCCTTCGGTGGTACTATCCATCAACACTGGTGGAAGCACGGACGGAGTAGGTTGCAATGTGACAGTCACATCGGTTTGAATTTCGCGGCACAAGCGATCGGCAATGGCCGCCGTGTCACTAACGCCTTGGCGCAATGTGACCACCGTGTCGACCAACTTTTGCAGCTCTCCTTGCAACAATAAGGCTTGCTGCAGAGCATCCTGTTCAATGGCCACACGGACCGATCGACTGTCCACAATCACCGTCTCTTCTCCGGAAGCCTTGGCTCCACCCGTGGTCGTCGCAATATTGGCAGGAAGGTGAGCCAAGGCATCCAAGGCAGCCTTCATGGCTGGAGTGTCGGTTCGCACTTGCAGTGCTCGTTGCACCTTGTCGGACAATGCATTGTTGCCGCCTGCTGTGGGAGGAGGACTAGTAACAGCAGCGCTCATGGTCAACACAACAACATCAAAGAAGAGCACACAATCAGCACAAAAATGCTCCTCTTCCTCCTCTTCTTGGGTTGGCTTCGCTCGATGGATATCTTGAATGTTTTCCACGGTAGAGCTCAGGCTTTTCTCAGCAAGGCGACTGGGCGCGTTCGTGACTAACCCTACATTTTTTGCGAGGCCCCTCACTTTTCTTCGGCAAATTTGGCTCTTCTCTTGGCCGTTGTGTCGTTGCTTCCTTCGAGATGTGCGCCAACATGATTGTCTATCTGCCACCCAGGATTTGAGGAGAAGGAAACGTAACACCCTTTGCAGCATGACACAGTACCGCGAACGCTCTCCATGAACCAGTCAGCTCTTTGTTGAATTCAACAAGTTTGAGAGGAGCCCCTTCATTCTGTCATTGCCCCGCAAACAAGAACACAACAAGCAAGGATGACGGTATCATTCGGAATGCTAGGCATCGTTTTGATGCTAGATGTGTGCTTTATTGTCAACTACTTTGTGGTGCGAGCTCTCAGACAATGGACAAACGCTCAACAGGCGAGAGAACGGCTGCAAGCCTCAAGGGGCATCAAAAAGATCAAGAAAGATGAGCCTGCTGTATCAGGGGATCTAGAATTCTATGGAGACGTCATGTTCTCCATATTCTTTCAAAGTGTTCGCTTGGAACCCATGGGTGTCCGAAAGTTTCCCGATTGGAAACCCATACCCTACAGATTTGGACTCGTCAGCACTTGCATCATCGTGGCGACATCCACCATTTTGCTTTCTCCAGATCTCTTGGTCAAGCATTTGGGAATCTCTTCCGTGACGTTGGACGCTGACCTATGTGTGGCGGAATCGTACGATTCTGGTATCGATGCTCTCAAAGAGGATCTCTATAATGTAACCAATCTACTGGCAGCACGACAGCAGTCTCATGTAATGAGAGAGTTGCACAGAGCACTTATCAATGATACGTCCCTCTACGGAGTGCCACCTTACCAGTGTCCTTCGCGGGGTGACGTATCTGGCTTGAAAGAAGATTGGAATTCATCCGCTTCCTTCTTTCCAAGCTTTTGTCAGGCAGCCCTGGAAGCTGCTGTCCAAGTCGCATCCGAGCGGGAATGCTACCAAGAAATCTGTGAGTGTCCAACGCTCCCAGATAGCCCTGTCTTTCAGGTGGTTGGTTTGGCAGACAAGGAATTCTGCGGTGCTGAAGTCTGCATTGAAGTACCACACCCTTGTCCACCTCACGCCGATGATATCCAGGATTTTGCAGAGGCGGCACTGGAAGATTATCGACTGATTCAGTTGGAAGCTGCTGAAAAGCGATTTAGTAACATGACGGCAACTCGATCAGCCAACGACAGATACCCAACGGCCGAAACTCTGGAAAACACACACACTACAGCCACAGAAACGGCAGATAAAATCCTGCACCAAGTAGATGTGGCTTCCTACATCTACATTGGGTATTCCTGCTTGGCGCTCTTCTTCCCTTCGCCCTTGATCTTGTTCCGGATGCCCTACTGGCCGGCGGTCAAACGGTTTCTCTTTGGAGTGCAAAAGCCTTACTTTATTTGCTTTGTCGTGGCTCTGTGGTGGGGCATTGAGTACTTTCAGGCGGTGTGGTACTCCCCAGATTTGCGGTTGTTTTTGAAGAATATACGTTCGGGTGATCCTTGCTTTGTCGATGCGGACTATCTATTGGAGCGACAATCTGTGTTGAATGAAGTTTGTCAAGAGCTATTGCCACTGCATCCAGTTTTCAATTCGTCCGCGGTGACCGTCACGGACGTCGTCCGGGAAATTGGGTTCTTTGCAGGCAAGTCCAGGACGTTGTTGCGTGACGCGCCCATCTCATGTTGACAGCATGCCACTCACAGATCTCGCGTTTTTCCTCCATAGATTCCTGCAACTGTCCATTTCCAAATCAGCACACATCCAAATTGTTTGCTCTATTCAATCCGAACCTTCGTGAGATTGGCTTCAATGTTACGCAAAGTTTTTGCGGTGGTGACATTTCGGACAATTGTAAGTCGAACCAACAGAAATGAGGCGACAAGTCATGACTGTGAATTCCAACTCACGTTTCCCTTCATTGATTCTTGGCTCACTACTAGGCGTTACCATGTACATCCCGAACGAAAACATTTCCTTCCTGGGAAACACTTCCATTTGCACCAATACCACAGCATCGCGTCACTTGGTGTGGGAGTCTCATCATGATGCCAGTCAAAAAACACCCTGGTACGAGCTCTGGATAGCAAGTGGTTTCATGGCGACTCTTCTGATCAAAGTGGCTGTTGCCAACTTTGGTTTGGCGCTCATGGAGCTGGCAGATCCTTTCGTAGTGTGCGCCGGAGAGTTCCTTTGGATGCCTTCCAGGTCAGGAATTCGTTGCGTCTGATGTGTCCTTTTCCCACCCGCCTGCCTTCCTTCCTGAACCATTTGATTTGCCTTCTCCTCTCACAGTTTTGGAAATGGCAAGCTGTCCATGGAGGACGGAGCCGACAGCAACAGCAATAGACATCTGCTAGAAGTGTTTGATGAACACGGCCGAGCACTGCCCAAAGAAATGGTGCAAAAGTGGTTCAAGGCCAAGCAACGATCCTTGTTTCACTGCGCTGCTAGTAAGAGTCTGATTTGGGGCATCCTAGTTCACCTCTGCCTCATCAACTTATTCGAATCTGTCTACACGGAGGTTTATGAGAATTTCTTCATTGCAGATGAGATCACAGACGACGCCCCGCCTCTACATCAGATGCTGGAAGAAAGAGATATGAATGTTTTGGCGGCCTGCCTGGGGACTGCTGGAGCTATCATGGTCTTGGGCTGCTACATCATAAGGAACCTCAACCGCATGAAACAGCACGAGATGGATAACATGGGCGATACTGATGGCGAATCTTCTGACTCTGACATCGGTGAACAGCAGCAAGAACTGGCGATCAGAAACAGCAGCAGGCCACCAATCATTACAGAGGCTGAAGCGGGTGTGGAACTAGCCAATCCTTCATTCTTCACAACGGATTGAGGACACAACTGAACTCCTTTGCTAAATTCGGTACGGATTGAAGAGGACACAACTGAAATGCGCGTAAGCATGCGTGACAAAGCTGGCTAGGGATTATCGTGGTTGATTTGTTGTGACCAGCTGTAGAAACGTGACTGTAACATAATATCTTCCTTTCTGCATTTATTTCAATTCTCGGCAAGGCACGAGACACACTGCACCCTTGAAAACGCAATCCTCTGAAGTAAAACAAGCGTAAATTGTTGTTTTGCTTCCTGCGCACCATTACTTGCTCTTACTTCATGCCGTAAGGTCTTCCCCGTCTCCCTTGTTGAGCTTTATTGAGAGGAAAATCGACCAGAAAAAGAATACACAGTTCAAGTAGAGTACACGGAGAATGGGAGGCACAAACGCAATATTGACTACGGTGGCAGGCACCCAGAGCTTCCAATTGGCCAACATGGTGTCGGTGTAGTCCTCATCCAGCTGTTTCTTGATGGCCTCAAGATTTTTTCCCTCAAGGGCTCCCAGGAATCCAAAGATGAGGACAGTGAAAATAGGCGCTTGCACGAATTGGTCAATTGTCACTTTGATGCCAGTGACGGCTGTCCATGGCTCTTCCGTGGGAGGCAGCGCACCGTCCAAAAGGTTGTAGTAAAAGTGATTCCAAGGAGCTTGAAGGACCAACCCAAAGAAGGCGAATCGTACAGTTCGTGCCCAGTCAATGGAGGCTTCGACGTCATTGGTTCCTTCTTCTGATTTTTGCTTTGCCTCCAATGCTTGACCAGCCAAGTCAGCAGCTCCCAGAATGGCGCTGGCAGTTACACTCTTGACCAACAAAGGCGACGCCTCCAAGGCATCATTGTAGGCACTCCATGCTTCCACTGGGGACAGTGCCAGCTCAGTGCTCGATTGAATTGTCGTTCTGGAAGATAAAACCGGTCGAGTACTGGGAGTTGCAAAAGAGCTTCTGGTGTTGACGAAGGCACCGCTGGATCCGCTCAACCAGGCCGCTAAAAGGAGCGTCAATGATTGCTCTGTCTTCATCTTGTTCAATTCCTGTTAATTTTTCGTGTACAAAGACTGATGTCCTCAAGTGTTGTAATAATGAGAATACAATGGTTATTTGCAGACTGATTTGATTCTATTCCACCTCATCCAGCGCCGTCATTTTGGTTGCAAACATCATCGATCCCATCATCCGATTGCCAGCCCGAGCGAGGATCCGATGAGTGTGCGCTGCCTCCGAGCTTTTTGGAAAACTGACGTCACTTGATGACTCAGTTCGAAACTTCGAGCCACCCACGCCGGAACAATATAAACAGCTTTGCTGGAGTTTGCCACCACGACGAGGCTCTCTCTCATTTCTCATTTTCGAGATCTTTCGGCCTCCGATATTCGGTCAGTCGCCATGGATATATTCCAAGCTTTCTGGGTTGACACAAAGGAGCTGAATGAATGGAAACTTTGCATGCTTTAGTAGCCATTGCGGTCGTTTTCTTAACTTTGTGGCCACCGTTAGTTTCGGTAATTGTGAGATGGATAAGAAGAAGAATGATGGGCGATGATGGTCAAGCTGGATCCGGGGCGTTGGCTGGTCCAGAGGACTACTTCACTCAACGACAGAAACCAGATGACAAGACGTTTCCACAATTTAGTGAACTAGGAGATCTCAAGCTGGAAGTCCTGCAGTTCGTGGCGGAAGCGCCCTTTGAGGGTCAAAGTCTGAATTATGTTTCCACTTTGACTCACTCTCTGCCACTAGTGTCAAAGGAGCTCAAGAGTTTGTCAGAAACAGATTCTTTATGGAAAGACTCCCTGTTTCGACAAGTTACAAGAGATCCAGAAGTATGGGGTGAAGGAGTCAAGAAAATGTTTCTGAGCGCAGGAGGAGAAGACCAAGAAGGCGAAGCTTGGCCAAATTTGCTCGAGCGAGTTCTCCAAACTCTGCAACTAGAGAGCTACCGTGACCTCTACCGGCAGGTGCTGAACTCTCAGGTCAGGACAATTCTGCCAATGTTTGTCATGTTTCAACCAATGAGGAATCAACCTTATGGATTGCACTTCTTTGAGCCAAGGTATTGCTGTTCTATTGTCCTGTTGGCCGGTTGATTGGTGTGTGGCTGGGTGTGCACACCCCTAATCCCTTGCTTGTTTCCAATACTAGGTATAGGTTGTTGATTGCCGATGTGATGGCTCCGTACCCGTTGTCAAGTAGACAAGGCGGTCCAATCGTGGTGGCTGAAGGTCAAAATCCGCCTGTCTTTATCCACGGCAATACACATCCCCTCATGAGAGGGTCTCCTGCTTGGTTGGTTCAAGTGGTCCGTTGCCGGATCTACGAAGATGGAAGGGCCGATGTGTTCTCACTTCCTCTTCGCCCATTAATCATTGAGAGCATATGGGAGCTCCCCAACAGTGGGCACCTTTACGCTGCCCAGTGCATCAAAGCTAGTCCACGAGAGGCAGAAGCAATGCCGAGTTCTTAGGGGTAGACGATGACAGCAAGGCATCCTAAGCACCTACTTGAGTTTTGATTTGAGCCTTCGCATCAATTCGGCAGAAGGCGGAATCTTCCCCTGGGCGATATCTGAAAAGGAACCGTTGTGTCGTGCTAGCCATAGTCCACACAGCCTGTACGACTTTTGGAGGGGAGACAACTAAATAATGATGTCACAGCCAGATAACGTTTGTGCACAAAAATGGAAATGTATTTTATCGATGACTTGCTATTTATACTTGGACGTATCGTCTATTTCTTCTTCTCAACAGCTCCAAACTCAGACTTGAGGATATCAATCAACTCTGGGATCAAATCCTCCTCGGAGATGGGGATTCCAGTCTTCACGGGGTCCAAGGACAAGTGACCTTCTTCTCCAATTTTGCCTCCGACGAAGATCTTGCATCCTGGGACGGCAACCTTCTTACCGTCAATTTCCTTACGAGCAGGAGCGCCCATGATTCCAATATCCGCAACCTGGACCTGACCACAGCTGTTGGGGCTGCATTTTTGGTGAAAGGAGATGTTAGTGAGAAACGTTTATGTGGATCGAAACGAACCAAAACACCGAGGGACATTCCCTGACTTACCAACCAGTCCAATGAATACGAATGGGTCTGTCCACAGCGACCAGAGATTCAAGTTTCTTTGCGAGGGCCTCGGCATTGGCCTTTGTTTCGATCAATGCTAGACCGCAGAACTCTGCTCCTGTACAACTCACAAGATTGCCTTCAATGAAGCCAGGATTCGCTTTGAAACGGCTGTCTCCATTCAAGGAGTCTTCCTTCAAGAGATCGTCAACGTCGGACTCATCCACATTTGGTAGAATAACGTTTTGCTCCACTGTCAGACGGACTTCACCACCCGAATACTTGTCGGCAAGGTCAGCCAAATCACGGCACTCCTGAGCACTCAAGCGGCCAGCAGGAACCATGATACCCACTCGCATCTTACCCTCTTGAGGTTGAGGGTGTACACCGAGCAACTCACGTCGTTCAAAAGGTTCCGAGGGAGCGGGTTGAGCATCCTCGATTTTGACTCCACGGTCGTAGCTTTCCGCTTCCGCCACAACGGCTTCCTTGAACTTTTCAACCCCGTATTCTTCGACGAGATACATGAGGCGAGCCAATTGACGGTTCTTTCGGTTGCCTTCGTCTCGGAAGATTCGCAGAATAGCCTCACACAAGGTCACAACAGAGTTTCGGTCAGCGGGGATCCACATATCGGAGTCCACTGCAGATTGAATGATAACAGAAAGACAGTGCAAGCAAGTGGTATAAGATCTCGGTGCTCATGGAAAGCTGTCGGACACGAAAGGTCAATTCTTACCACTCTCGGCAACTCGCTTGATGCTCATGAATCCACCAAGGACGACATTAAATCCCATTTCTCCTGTTTCCGCGTGCTTTACAGGCTGAAGGCCAATGTCGTTGATGTGTGTGTGGGCATAGTCATCCCTCGAGCCCGAGATGGCAATGTTGAATTTTCTGGGCAAGTTACCCCACCGTGGGTTTCCACGAGTGTTGGTGACAGGATCGAGGCTGATAAGATCGTTGATCGCATTGCACAACTCTCGTGTGTCGACCAGTTCCTGGTCATCAATTCCGGCAAGAGGAGATCCAACCTGTTGTGTGCGTGAACCATTGAAACTAACTGTAAGTCAAGAGCAAAACCACCACTGCTTCAATTAAATATCCACAACTACTCACCATATTCCTGACATTGTCCAATGCAGATTGGAAAGAAGTTTGGTTCCTTGCATGAAGGCCCTCAATAATATCTGGTGCATCTTCGATCTTGACTCCGCGAAGTTGAATATTTTGACGGGTTGTAATGTCGACCACCCCCTTTTCTGGGCCATACTTTTCGACGCCTGTGATAGGAGAGACCGGAAGCGTGAGATGGAAGCCATATTACATAAATCAGTAATGTGCCCAATATTTGGAAAGATGGCCCTTACAGTCGGCGTAGAATCGCATCTGATCAGCGTTTACAATTCCATTAGGAACTTTCATTCTCATCATGAATTGACCGGGTGTACGCTTTCCTCTGTGCAACATTCCAACCCATTTCAAACGCTGAAATACAAAAAGATGGGGAAGATGTTGTCAGCATTGCCGCGGGCAAAAACAATGATGATGTCCATGTGGCATGGGGGATACTCACTGTATCGAGATCAGCCTTTCATTTCATAGTTTTGCAGAATCATCACAGTATGTTAGAATCAATGAATCTTCTCGCACCATATTTTTTTTCGAAATCAACGGTATGATACCTTTTCAACTTCTTCCCAAGTCATTTCGCCTTCTCGGATTTTCCTCGCAAACTCGTAGACATCGACCCATGCAGAAGTACCATCCTTGGCCAGCTTGACTTTTTCCACGGGACTTCCAACTTTGGCACGCTCCACAGTCTCTTCCGGCAAAAAAGATGTTCCTGTTGGTTTTTCCACAGTCACATCAGGTTCCGCAGCGGCCACATTTAATGTGGAGAGCTTGTGGTTTATTGATGATGGAGGAGTGAATGCATCCACCAAAGAGATGGCTCCGACAAACGTGACAAAGGGTACCCAGCGCATGATTGTATCTTCTTTCTTTCTTCTTGGCTAATTTTTACTTGGATTGGAGTTTGTGATGGATGCAGAAAGCTATCTATGGTAAGGTCGGCAAAAATGTGAAGAGTGGGAAGAAAGAAAGAAAGAAAGCTTGGAAGAAAGAAAATTGGAGTTCTTCCTCTGACGGCTGACGTCAGGTTGCTCTTCCGGAAGACCTTCAGAGTCCTGGCGACGTGGTCATAAAAGATCCGGAGGTTCCCATGCACGGACTGCGTTCCCTCCGACGATGACTGAATTCAGGAACCAACAAACTTGAGGCTCTAGTAGACTACTAGCTAGTACTTGTAGTGCTAGGTCGTAGCTGGTAGTGGGTCAAAGCAATGAACTCAAGTATCCATATCCAGACATAGCTGGCTATCTACTAGCTAGAGGTAGCGATGGAGCAGCCGTCAGCTGCTTCTCCATCCTTCTGGGGGCTGTACGTCTTTGGTCGATCGATCCTTCACAATTGACAAGGACATATCTTTGTCTCTTGGCGGATACTCAGTAATGGCGATGCCGCGATGCCGGTATCTTTGCGCAATCCAACCACGAAGATCATTCTGTTCATTATCTACTTTCCCCCCGTCAAAATCTATCAAGCTACCCTCAGATACCCCCATCCAATACCATTTTATTAAGCTACTGGATCCTTCAGATGCGATCCTCTCGGTTGCTTCGAGTGGCTCTGGCCAAGAGATCCAAGCGCCAATTCAACTAAGCAGAAAGTGCAGCTGACTCCAAGCACCAACACTTCTATCTATATGATGGCGCTTATTACAATTGTGCAGCCATGGTTGACGAGGCTCATAGTCAAAAGTCTGAAGCTGAAGTTGACGAGGAGCGATCTTTGTCTCTCGGCTGATCCCCACTGATGGCGTTGACGGTGAGGCGTATCTTTGTGGTCTTTTTGTTTGTTGTGGATTGTTTTTGGCAAATGACGATACCCGGATGCTGGCACCAGTCCGAGGTGTTATTTTATTGTTCACCCCTGTGACGATGCTCATCTTTGCATATTTTTCCGATGCCAAGAACTCCACATTGCTTACTTCAGTTGCGCTACTTTGTTTCTTTCTTTTTGAATCTCACCTCTCTTTGTTCTTCCGCTACACTTCTTCTGTTGTTAGCGAGGATACGCGGAGACGCAGGATGCCTTTCTAGACGGAAAACGCTTTGCATTCTGTGGCCATCGCTCCTTATCTTCTTACCCATGGCGTACACCCCGGAATGAAGTCAGTTGAGTTACAGCTCATTCAGAAGGACGGTCAGATCGCACTGCGTCCGATCTCTTTTGTGCCGCCTCGGAGGCCATTGCAAAAGCTCCACATACATCCCAGGAGAGTCCTGCTACCGGTAATGGCTCCCCGATTTTATCCCCTCGGGATCTTATCACCATCTGCCTCCAAGGAAAGTATTCTACAATGGGATGGAAATGGCACCTCACCTCTAGGTACTTGGAGGTATTGACCCAACGCAATTGCACCAGCAAATGCAAGGAATGTCAGTTCCTTTGTTTTTCCTGGATGCCCTATTGGAGACAATATGGAGGAACAGTATGTCATGCAACATTACTGTGACTGGTGACTCCAGCTGAGGGCAGCTGGTGCATCGATGGACCCTCTTCTCCGAGCAAGCTATGCATGTCAAATCCGTGGTAGCCAACCCCAGCTCCAATTTGACGCCTCAAAGATACGATGCCATCAAAAGGGACGTGGCGGATCCCAAATTTTTACCAGGACAGGACCGTCCCAACAGATACAATAGGTTGGAATGGGGATTGGAGACGTCTTCCAGTGACTAATAAGCCCCTGAAGATGTACATCGTTTGCCTCAGATTAAAAGCCAGACTGCAGTAGTGATTGAAAGATTTCAAAACGCCATGTTTTAATCTGTGGGATCCTTGGATCGGTGCTACGTGTCCTCACACATTGACTGGCACCAGGAGAGTCTACAGGTAGCAAACCATGTTTTGAATCCCACGGTCTGGAAACGAGTTGCATGGGTCAATGGCAAGGAAGGACAAACGACGCAATCAGCAGAGTTCCTGCTGCAGAATCAACAGACCAACTGCTGAGCCAACAGAATGCTGGAATTCTTGCTACCATGCGTTGAGCTGTTGGGCATCATTTTTTGGGCAAACCTCTATGGAACGAGAATTCTGGAAACGAGCCATGGGCGGGCATTGCAGAGGCTGCAACGTCCAGGAGTCCGAGCCCCATGTCAGTTTGCAAGAAGTTGCAACCACATAGAAATCGAGCATCCAGATTGAACTAGACTACATGTACATGTAGTCATGAATGTATCGATAAACAACTATCCCATGGACTCGGTTTTATCTGCGTTGCCGCGCTCCCTGTTTCGGACCCTTCGTTGTTGCCCAATCATCAGGAGATAACAATGGTGTTGCCGACGGTTCAAGTAGAGCCTGTGGTACTGTACCGGTACCGGTTGTCCGTTGTCGTACGCAGAAGCACATTATTGCGTACAATGCCCGCTTTCCTTCCAGTGCAAGTGCTAGCTAGGAAACTTTCTACAACTCATCCGTAGTTGGTAATGAAACCACTGTGTAGGTTAACTAATCTAAATTGCTAGACTATGTAAGGTTTACTCGTTATCGTTTGCATCGCAGTGTACTGATTACTGATAGGCAGCCCCATCACGCGATTCAAGAAGTTTCAGACCCGACACGAAGCTCTCACCGATCTGCTGTGGGGTCGGGTCGGCAGTCGCCGATCCTTCACGTCTGAAATGATGAGCTGTATGGCCCTCGCCTAAAACTACTGATGAAGTGGACTGTCCGCGGGAAGCAGTACCAGCATTACGTACCGGTGCCAGATTTCAGCCCAATGGAGGCAAAGCTTCTATCTTCTACAGTGTACCCTCCAGTGATGTACCATTTGTGCCGTAGGTGTCCTGAACGCTCTTCTCGGTCTGGAGTGGGCCATTCACCCTGCCTCATCGGTCATCAGGTAATATGGTTCTTTCTTCCCTTGGATCCAAAGATGACATCATACTTCTTCCAAAAAAGAAAGAACCGAACAATCATGGCAGAAGGAAGCAAAGAATAATCTCGCTGCGGTCGACTCTGACAGGTACTCCAACAAAATCACTCCTACTGGTGCTTCGTCTCAACTAGCGATCACGGTCGTACCAACAGTGCTGGTTGCCATGGTACCAGTATCAGAAGAGAATCAGGTAGCGTGTTTTACTCCGTTTGACTTCTACTCTGAGTTTCATTCACTCCGACGGCAACGCAATTCGTGGAGTTGCGTTTGAAGACTTTGCCGTTGTCTTTCCCGGGAAATAGTGGGGGACAACCTCTTCATATTTGGGGGTGAAAGCCCACTCTTGTTGATAACAAGCACAAGATCCCGAAAGTTATCCGTATTTTTGTGGGGGTGCTTCAAAAGATGGAGCGTCGGCTTGCTGGACGGGAAGGGGCTTTGGCCTCCTGTTAAATCAATGGTCACATGCCGTTGACACAATGACGTCATGATACAAGCACTGTAATATTGTCAGTACGCTTCGAAATGTCCACAACGGGCCGATCCGTCTTTCAAACCCTTTTCGCCCAGAGCCGTTCACATTTTTGTTCGGAGGACAACGACACACACAGATCGATAACAACAAAAAGAGCGAAGGCGTGAGGTTGTCATCATCTCTCATCATAGGAGTAGATAGAGGAGGGCGGAGACAGGAGTGTGAGACCCATCACTCTTATCTCTAGTTTAGTTTGTTGTCTGGTTTTGCCATAGAGTTGGAATCCAGATCTGTCGTCGTTAGTAGTAGAGAAGGAGTTTCGTGAACAACAATGTTTGCTCGAAATGGGTCCTCCAATGGGGCAAGCGCTGCTGTCGGCGGAAACTCCCGTCGGGCCTTTAGGGTAAGTACTAGTAGTGTGTATCTTGAGAGAAAGAGAGTAGGATCGACAGTGCCAACGAAGACCTCATCCTAAACTTGACTTGTACTTTATCTATTTGGCGGCTTGTGCTTTATTCTCTGGCTGTCCGTTTGGGAATTCCTTCCTTCATTTTTTCCCACACTACTATCATCATCACCACAACAACAGGATGTAACAAACGCCAATCGCAATGCGACGTCCAAGTCATCACGAATGCACGGAGGAGTGGAAAAGAAAGGAGGAACTGGACATGGGAACAAGCTCCAGATTGCGGTGGACCAGGCCCCTTCAAACGCCACTATGCCTCGCCAGCACAACAACAACCGGTTTGAAGAGTCCGTCATGGATGAGAGGAACCCAGCCATTGCAGTTCGTCCAGCAAACATTAGCATGTTCCAACGACCCAGCAACGTACCAAATCCAAATAGTTATCAGTACTCGGGGCAAGTCGACAACATTGACGAACGCGACATGGATGATCCTCTCTGTGCCACAGAGTACGTCCAGGATATGTATGCTCTTTTCCGCGAGAGAGAAGCCTCGACGTCCGTTCGTCCCGTCTACATGGAAAACCAGACTCACATCAACGAGCGAATGCGCTCGATTCTTGTCGACTGGCTTGTGGAGGTCCATCTGAAATTCAAGCTGGGTACGTCCCATCAACGAGCAGTGCTGCGACAACAATCTTCCACCCATCTTTCTCACTCTGTGTATTCCATTTGCAGTTCCCGAGACCCTGTTCCTTACCGTGAACATCATTGATCGCTATCTGGAACGAGAAGAAGTCTCACGACCAAAGCTTCAGCTCGTTGGGGTAACGGCTCTTCTGATCAGCTCTAAATTCGAAGGTGAGGCAGCCGTTGACGGACCACAGAGACTTCACGTCATACAGGCCCTTACCTTTTTCATTTCTTGACTTTATAGAAATCTACCCTCCCGAGCTCCGTGACTTGGTGTACATCTGCGATCGAGCATACACGCGAAGTGATGTAAGTTTGCCCCTGCAACTCGATCGAGCATTGTTTAGTGGTTCCATTTTCCTTACATTTGCTTCCTTCTGATGGCATCAGATTATTGACATGGAGGAAACCATTTTGAAAACGCTGGAGTATCAGATCACAATCCCAAGCGCACATGCCTTCCTTGTCCGCTATTTGAAGGCAGCTCACGCCGACAAAAAGATTGTCCAACTGTCCTGCTACATTTTGGATGGTACCCTACACAGCTACCAGCTCCTACACTATCTTCCGAGCCAACTTGCCGCTGCTGCTGTTTTTATTGCACGTCGATCGGTAGGTCGCAACTCGTGGAGTCCCACTCTATTAAAGTATGCCGAGTATTGCGAGGAGGAGGTCGTCCCGGTTGCACGCGCAATTCTGGCCGAAAAAGCCTCGACCTCACCGGAGCTTCGTGCAGTCAACAAAAAGTACACAAGCAACAGATACGGTGGAGTCGCAAACACGGTTCTTAATCTGGACTTCTAAATGTGTTTTGCAATGAGCGACAAGCTAGCAAGAGGCATTCATCGCAATTCATTACGATTCGGGCAACCACAGCGCCGCTGTACTTTTGGAAAGTGCAGCCACGTGGACTGCTGATCTTTTTCAACAGAGGGTTAATAGGTGGAAATCAGTGGGTCTCGCCATGTTGTTGGAAAAGACTTCCAACTACCTACACAACCGCATTATCAGAAAGCAACAGGTGATTGTTTCTTTTACATATCACAACGATAATTCTAAATAAATGGCAAAGTTTATCCAACATAAATGATCTTCTTTGTCCACGTAGTTTCATTTGATGAAAAGAAGGCGGACCCCCTGGCAATGTGGGTTTGTCTTCAGAGGCCGAAACCAATGCCTCGCGGTATCGGTGTTGCTCTGTGGAATGCATGCATCCTTCTGGTCACGGCGGGTGGAGCTCATCGCAGAGTGGTCAGAGTAGTAGTTCATGCTTCGTCGCCACTGTCTTCGCTCCAGCTGCTGAGGATCCCAGGGTTATGCATACCAGGGCGGGCTTCCTTCCAACCAAGGTGCTCTCGAGAAGGACTACGCTGTACAGCGTAATTGGAGATGAGATATCGCTCCGTATGTCTGGCGGAGCACCACGCTGCCAATGGAGCTGCGACTGAGTCGAGTCACTCGAGCTTGCTGTGAACGGTCCCACGGCTTTTTCGGGGCTCTTGAATGCAACTACCGTAATCCTCGTCATATAGCCAGCTAGGAGCTAAAGGTCGTGGGTCTTCCGTGTTCTAGAGCTATTGCCGACTTGGAGACATCGCCACACGCCACCGTATTTGAATCTGCGTCCGATGGAGCTACGGGGTATGGAACGATTGCGTAGACGGACACGTTGCATCCTTCTCGGTGTCACCAAGTGGAGCCCTCTTGACGATCCCCTCAAAGAAAGTGGCAGGCCCCCTACCAGTATCACCATTTTCAATTTGCGATGGTGCCACGGCGCAACGATTTTTCACTTCCGACCTTTGGGGCCCCACCCAATCCTTCACGTCATCTCGAATGACCATACGGTACGATTAGCCATGCAATCCAAATTTATAATTTACAGAGTACAGTGACAGTCCCCGCGATTTCGTTCTTTAATGATGTTCACCAATCGGGCCGCGAGAGAAACACAATTGATCATTTGCTTTTTGTTCAATCAATTCTCTCGGCGATCCCGCGGTGACTTGGAAAATCGCAAGGTGCGAGCAACCAGTGCACTTAAATGACTAGAGCTTTTGAGGATCCAGCCAAGGCCGTTTCTTGCAACCGTTGAAGTCTCATCCCAATGGATCATGCTTTTCACCGGCATTCCTTTCAGCCCAGTCCAGGCAAGCACTGGTACTCCTCTAAAATCTATTGACCAAAATTGTGTTGTGAAGGGGTCCGTCCGAGTATGCATTTGTGGCATCTTCAAGCATCTCTTGCGGCTTGCTTGGTGATTTTTGTTTATATGTCCACACTTCCATTGACGGCTTGCAGCTCCATGTGTCCTCGATGATCATGCGACTGAGGGTTGCTCATGTTGTCCAGGTCGTTGTCCATTTCATGCTTCGGGTGATTGTATTGTTCTTCGTGCCTTGGGGTATGCTTGGGCCTTGGCGGCCGTGGACTGCCAAGAGAGGCTTCCGGCGGTGCCTTTTTCATTGAGTCCGATGTCAGGTACCCCGGATCGGAGTGGGTGGAAGCGTCTGATCCATTCTTCATGACACTCACCTCCGAGAAGGGCGGCTCATCGTCGTGCCTTCTTCCTCTATTGCTACCAGCGCTGGCTTCTCTCCTCGCAGCATGTGGTAAGGATGAAGCGGTTGCTGTCTCGTTTGCTGTGTAGGATGCGGCTTCACTTCCACCTTTTTCGTTCTTCCGCGACGCGGCAGCTCGTTCGGAATCTACTTTGAGTTTCATCGCTACCGAAGTCGAAGACGTGCGGCAGACAAATCGTGTGAAGCGTCTTCCAATGTTCTCAAAGACTTCTTCGACCTTGTCGTAGCTGCCGAGATTGTTCACCGTTTGACGACGTTGGTTCTTGACTCGAATGATCATACGAATGGCCTCAATAACGTCCTGACCAGACGCACCCCATTCTACCAACAGTCGGTGCCGCTCTCCTCGCGTCAAGACCAAGTCCATCTGCGAGCGACGCGGAGGTCTCGCCTTTTCAAAGTCTTCTAAATCCATTTTGAATGTTTTCCCATGGTTCCATCCGATGCTGCAAGAGGCGAAATAAACAATTATACAGTATGTAAGTCAAACAGGCGCTGGACCGAGCAGGAAGGAGACGAAGAAGAACAAGAATATACTCACGACACAGGGACGCCTGAAGAGGGAGAGGAGGAGGAGAGCGGCGCAATCAAGTGAGAAAATCGTTACGATCGTCATGGTACCCGCTAGCTAGAACTGAACAAAAAGCCCACTTGGACAACGGAAGTTTGGCACCCAGCAGCACCAACGCAATACCTTCCTTACCTGAACTACATGATGGATTATCTCCCACTACTCGTTCAAACTCTCGTATCTCTACAACCGAGAATTGAATCAACGTGGATCCGGGCGACTTGTCAAAGGCGCCACTGGAGTCGTTACCTCGCCTTCGTTGGGGAAGGTGACGAGTACTTCTTCTTTCCGGCATAATGGTAGTAGTGGGTCTTTTGCTAATCAATTGCCTTCCTGCTCTGGAATGAGCATTCACAATGAGACGAAGAGCTAGCTAGTCTCGACTGCTACTTTATCCGATATTGGACTCTACTTGGTTGTGGGTTGGTTGTTGTTGTTGGGTTGTTGTTGCAGCGGAATGTTAGCAAGAAGTTTGTTTGGCTGTCATGGTCCGCTGCTTTGTGGCTTCCTCCGCTGCTCAGCTCGGACCTTCCTGTTGTTTCAGTGTCTGCATGGGGCTGACTACACGTACCATGGTACCATGGTACAAATCCCACGTCCACCACCGTTCAATTGGACGATTAAATCAAAGTCTATCGTAGTCTGGATAGAACAGTCATCAATACTAGCTAGTAGTCATGGAATCAATCAACGTATCAGATATTGGACGCTTTACCATGGAATAATGCAAACATTTCTAAGGATCATGAATCTGTTGCATGTTTTGACACTTTTATAAACACCCAAATAGGCTACTTGATAAAGTCATGTTTTACCAGCATCTCAGTACACTTCTATCACCAGTATTACCGGTTTCAAAAGACAGCTACTTTAACATGCTGGCGATTTAAGAGGTGATACTCGCGATGATCGCCAAGTCAGCGCCACTGGAGCCACCATTAATTAAACATCTGCTTCTGATGGCGACACTGCCGTCTTTGCAGTACCAACAGACAAAGAGCTTACTGTATCTACGACAAATGCATCGTAAAAACTCAGAAAGCTCTGTTAACAATCAGAAGCCGATCAGTAAGTCAATTCAAAGCCGTCGCCATTGGTAAGAGAGATCGAAGAAATAATCGAAACAGCTAGATCTACATGTATCGAAACATCGAAACAGCGCGAGGGAAGCCACTCCGTATTCGTGGTGCTCGGTGCTCGGGGTCGGCGGCACTACATGTACATGCAGCCAGAGCCTGTATTGTTGTTGGTGAGGTTGGAGCTAGTACAGTACATGTACAGGAACTTGGGGACTTCCAATCCTGCCACACAGCTGCACTCTACCTCACAAGTGGAGGGACCAGCATGCTAGCCGCATCAATGATAGGATCGACTTGCTTTGAAGATGCCATCTCAAAATAGGTTCGGTTCAAAGCACTGCACCTGTAGATGAGCTTTCGCCTACACAAACCTTTGGAGAAAAGACAACACCTTTGATTGTGAAAATTTGTAGTTACTTTTCACCAGGCATGAGGAATGCTGCGGTTTTGATGCATCATAATATAGAACATCAAATGTTCAACATTCATTGCACAAATCTGGCTGCTGCGTCCACAGTCATCCACAGCCAGTTTCCCAGCTCCTTAGTCACAGAAACTCTGAGTATCTAGCCGCCGTCGCTTTACCATTACGGTATCAGTTACCACACCAATTGAGAGCTCATAATATTACATGTTCTGAACCCTGGACCCTGGACAATTCAAGGCACTCGCATGCGTGATTGGATCGTTCAAGGAAGACTGCTTTTGTAGAGTACATGTAGTTGAGGTGAATAAGAAATCTTTCTATGTTGATTTGGTTACCATACATATCTACCAAATAGGCGAATATATAAATCACATTGCCCTCAACTACCAGCTAGCAAGCTGAGGGCCTTTTGAACTTTATCTTGTGTGTGTGTGTGTGTAGGTGTGTGTACGTTGAGTGCTGTGTGAGATGTGTGATGTTGTGTGAGATGTGTGTAGACACTAGTAAGAGTTAATCTACGACGAATCTACCATTGGATGTTTATCCATGGGGTATACCGTTGCTTGCTGATTTCCAAATTCTGAGCTTAGGAATTTCGCTGTTTGCTTCATCAGTGGAGCAAGCTGGGGATGGCAAAAGATACAAGCCGGGTAGGCTGTGAGAAAAGCAAGGGTACCCTGTTTGTGGTGATTTCGAATATAGACACATAGGAGCTGGTACGGTATAGACCGAAACCAAGCTAAACTAAACCGTAAATCCAATACCTCGATGGGCTGGATGTCACTGTCGTTCAAAAGGATAGAGGTCTCAGCTTTCGTGGAAACTACAGGAATTTTGCCCCTTAAATCCATCAATACCGTTCGAATCGGTCTCAACGAATATATTCGAGGTTAGGGTTGAAGTTAACACGTACGTCAGTATTTATTTATTTATTCCTATTTATTTATTTATTCCTCCGTTTTGTGGCTCGCACCTCCTCTCCGTGTTATGATAAACTCCTCACTCCTCGATAAACTCCTCACTCCTCACTCCTCGACGATGGCATTCAATCCGTCGCTTCTTCCTCTTCAGGCACATCCTCCTCTTCCTCTTGTCCTTGTTGTTGTGGTTGCCCACTACGATAAAGCTTCAGTAACTCTGGCAGCCTTGGGTATTCCTTCTCCAAAGGAGGCAACGATGTGATTGATTTGAGATACACTGACCGACGCTCTTTGGCAATCTCCTGGTCAAGCTCCGACTTCTTCCTCTTGCGGCCTCTCTGCTTCTTTGCTTCCAAGGTCTCCTCTAGCTTCTGCTGGACTTCCTTCTTCTTGCCGGTGGCAGCATGCCGGAGGATATTGAGAGCCTTTTTGAAATCATCGCGATAGCACCTCAGCCTTGTGTTGTCGCGCTTGCCTTGTTGGTGGCACCTCTCCATGACTTCCTCCATATGGCTCTTCATGCCTCTGAGTCTCTCCAATGCCTCTTTGAGATGTTGCCATGAGTGTACTTTCATTGGAATGGTCGGCATCAATCGAAGCCACAAGGCGGTTGCCAAATCGATTGCCTTGTGAGCGTCGACAACGTCCTCATCACTCATGCTTCCGTACGGTTGGTAACAGTAATGGGCTATCACGTCCATGTATTGGAAGAGCCTTTTGAATCCTTCGCAAAAGAGCTCCACTTCGGCAGGATCGGCTTTGAACTGGCTCCGCTCCTCTTCGGACAAGCTTGTCAGATGCTCCAACAAGAGTCGTTGTATGTCGTCCATTATTGGCACTGCTTCCCGGAGCAACCTTCTACACTCATTTCCTTCCATTGCTCCTCCATGGTAAGAGGATATGTGCACATTGTAATCCTTGTCAAGTTTCCTTTGGATGACCATCCACAGGCTTTGAGCCGTACGGCCGTATTCCTTCTTGTTGTCCTCTAACTTTTTTAACGCTTTCTTTTTTGCTTTCAGTGTGTCGGAAGCTTTCGAGTGCGCCTTGTGTGCTTCTTCAAACCAAGCCTTTGCCAGGTTGAGGTGTTCTTCGTGCCGAATGTAGTCTTGCTGATGCTCGGTATCTTCAAATTGGACGTCTGGATTCCCCACAAGCTCCGTCATCACGTTGTACATTTCATTCCAGTGTTCCTCCGCATCAACCAAGTCCTTCCACAGCCGACCAACCTCGAGTTCGGCATCCGCTTTGGCAAATCTGGCTTCCATCAAATTCACAGGCACATTCTCAAGTCGATACCAAACAATCTTCTGCAGGTAATCATATGGAGTGTTGACTAATAGAACAACAGAGTGGAGCGGTGGCGGCAGGTAGTTTGTTGGCTCGATGCAATCAAAGAGAGGTAAGGTCTTGATGCCCTTCTGCTGGATCGGATTTGTGCGCTTCAGTTCTTTCTTCTCTAGTTTGTTGTATCTTTTCCTCATCAGCCTCAGTGTCCATGCTCTGCCTTTCTTTGTAGGATCCGTTTGGAATTGAGTTCGCATCAACTGACACTCCCAGCAGTGTTGGCCCGACATATTCTCCTTGCCAAGAGCAAGAGCGTAAAAGGCTAAGTCTCCAGTAATATAGAGCTCGATTGGAAGGCCGCCAGGATGATCCATGAGTTTCTTCAATGATTCGTTGACGGCCTGTGAGATTCCGCTCGATAGAAGCACTTCCCTCGTGTCTTTCCGGCAGTTGATCATTCCGATCAGTTCATGAGATTCTTTACGGACTCTTTTGCCTGCAATGAAAAGGATTGATAATATGAACACGAAACGCTCCTTGGCCGTGGTCCGCAGAAAGAACAACATGGACGCAATCATCGGCTAGTGTGGCCTCCGACTTGATTTCCTTCCTGATAACCTCCTCAGCCGACCGAACCCAACCAGTTCGATTGGTCTTCTCTTCACGAAACTTGAGCAAGGTAGGCTGGACGGCGACCTTTGCCTCGAGTTGCCTCATTTTCCACTCTGGGTTGAGAGGATTGCATCCTTCTTCCATAAAGAAAGCTCTCATGCCTCTTACATTTTCATAGGTCAAATTGAGTTGCTGGCACATAGCAATCTGCCGGTGTGGATCCATCTTTGGCACTCGAATATTTGAGGTTTGAATGATATCCTCAAAGGCTTCTGGCTCGTGCTCTTGATGCAATTTGGTTAGGTGGAAGCAGAGGGCTCTCCTTGGGAAACTATCTCCGTAGACCATGGCCCCGTACACCGTCGGCAAGTACTTCCTCGCATTCTTAATAAAAGACTGTGGCGAATTGGCTGGAATGACGGGAACCAGATGCAGACCAAGTCCCCTGCTTCCACCGTACTTCTCCAGCTGAAGGATGCTGGCTGACGGTAATTCTTCATTGATTTGAAGTGCGATATGCAAAAAGCTCTGGATCGAGGATCGGCGCAGTGGACAGCAATGTTTATCAAGGAAAGGTGAGTATTTTCCCAGGTTGATTCTGTTGGTCAAGTCATCGTCGTTGCCGGCAAACAGCTTGTTTCTTTCTTCATTTGCCTTCTTCTGCAGGCCTCTACCCATTTCCTGTATCTTAGATCTAAAGTTACCTAAGTCGATGTCGAATTTAAGTAGCTTTGGATTATCAAGTTGCTCCGGATCAATAATAGTCTCTAGCAAGTCCCAAATGTCTCTATTACTCTCGTGCTTTATATCATTCTTTGCCGTCCTTGGGGGATCTTCGTTGGTTGGTGTTACAGTTGCCGGTGCTGCTCGCGTGGGCTGCTTCGTATCAACAACAAGAGTGTTGAGGAGGAAGCTCTTCCTCCTACAGTAGGTTTCCCACCTACCAGCCAACAAGGCGTGCATTTCGGTTTGATTCCATCGTGTGAGATCTTCAGTTTTGATACCCTCAAATGAAACACAGAGGAAGGCAATGTTCTTCCTGTTGGTTCCAATCTTTATCTTCCTCTGATCAAAGTTAATGTAAGTGATGCTTCCATATCGAAGCTGGTCTTCCTGACTCAAAAACTCTCTTCGAATTGCATGCCTTTCGAGCAGAGCACCTTTGAGAGCTTTCACGGTAAGTGCTTCTTCATTGTTGAATGCCCTGGTTATCTTGTGGACCCAATAACTCATTGGAATCCACTCTCCTTTAACACACTCATTTGTCGCCACAACAACAAAAGCTCGCTCTATCTCTTCAGCGGTAGGCATGATTGTCGTCTGAATTTACAGGACCGGCTCGGGGAGGATGTTCTATGGATATTGATGGAGGTTGCCTCTGCATCGGTCTTCTACCTTCAATCAGGACCTTGTTATCTCGACCTCGACAGCAGCAGGCTTTTTGTTGTTGGTGTTGTTGCTTGTTAACTCCAGGTCGAGGTACCGTCGGTACAGTCGAAAACCTAGAGTGTGGATTTGAATCCAAAATGTGAGGCGGAATTTCTGCATATTTTACTGTGAGAAAAAGAGTACAAAGCCACATGTACCAGGGCTTGGAGAGTCTACGGCTGAACGACAGTGGGTGAAAGTAGTTGTGATGTGGTATCACTACAGTATGCCAAAGCTGCTTGGTCCGAACCTGGGTCTTCCACAATCGAGTACCAGGTATCGTACCGTACCGTAACTGTACACTGTACATGTACAGGATGACTTTATTTACCGCTGACAGGTGTCAAAATGTGAGCGTTTTTTATGGTTATTTTTCAATTTTCGGAAATGGGAACCCAGAAGGGGTCATTTCGCGAATCCTGCTTTGAACTCAGAGGATCACAAAAAGAAAAGATTGAAGAAAATAAAATGAATTTTATCACCATGGCAACAGTGTTGACCAAATGGCTATTAGCTTTACCAATACATTGAGATAGCTAATGCTTTCAGAGGACTAGCTCCCCAACACACTAACAGATACTCCCCTTGAAAAGCATTAGCTATCTCCAAGGTTTGTCTTGGAGCCTCTATAAAAAACCAGGCTTGGATTGCATTTTGTTGTCATTTTGCCATGCATTTCTCCATGGGAAAGGTGCTCCTGTCCTCACTCTCAGCACTCAATCTGCACTGTAGAATCTAGTCGAGGAATGGGTGGCTTTGCATGAAGACTGGAGCACCAAATTCTAAGTTTCAAAGGAGAATTGAAAACTAAATGACCACAAAATGGTGCAGATTTCCTGTGCACCTGTTTGTTGTCGGTCAACCAGTCGATACGGAGTAGAGTAGATGCCGCTTGTTCCTTTTGTAGTATCACTAGAGCAGGAGCCTTGTTCCTTGTTGTGGGTCTGCCAGAAGAGTGACAGTGTGGTCGGTCGCTGGAAGAAAGGTGGATCGGCTCAAAGACCGAAAGATCGACACGAAGACCAAATTGATCCGTCGAACAGATGCTTGCATGTTGCCATCGCTTGTTATTATAGTAGTTGCTTGTTGTTGCCATAGAGGTGTCGTCGTTCCGTGGAAGAGGAGGCGTCATGGTCGCTGCTCCGTGGAAGAAGAAAGAAGTCATCGATCAATCGTCAAATCCGTCGAACGATCGAACGGCTGCCACTGCCACTATCAACCAAACAAGAGGAGCCTGTCATTGTGGTGAGTATTAGCCTTTGTTAAGAGGAGTAGCCGCTATAGAGGAGATAGCATCATCTTGATAGAGTCAAGAGAGTAAAGATATCGAAATACGAAATAATGAACATACGAGTGGCTTAGATCGATCGAACGATCCGAGTGATGTCAGTTGAGGTTAGGGATGAGGTTATTCTGGTCCTCTAAGTCTTTTCACGGAACGCTCCAGGACGTTCCAGTTCGCATTCGAATGTCGTACCGGGAGCGGGCTTGCGTTTGTCTCGATAGTTCAGATTCAGCCTGTAGCTACTGGTGCTGGTAGCCGTGATCCAAAGAGACGAGGCTCAGGCAAGACAAATCTGGTGTAATCAAGATGGCTTGAAATAAGACAGTGAAGATGAGAACTCAGCGCGAGAGATGACTATATGCGTCACTCCTTAACTCTTTTCTTTGTAACATGACCTCTCAAGGGAAGGTTGGTGGCAACGAATTGACACATCGAAAGACGAAAGGAAGTGCAACGGCAAAAGTTGTTCCAGACCGACGATACATCTACTAGCTATTAGAGCAACTAACAGGCAAAACCAAACAAAGAGATATTGGGTGAGTGAAGAGTAGGAATGCCTAAGAGTTTGCTTGCTTCGATAGTGTTTTCGTAGCTGGGCCGTAGGTTTGGCTGATCAAAGCGAGTTCCTTTTTCTTAGAGAACTGCGAATTCGGGTCGACGCATCGTACCGGTACCGGTACAATACGCTTCTATCGACAGTTGACGTTGACAGAATCGAAAGATTCAATCACTCGGTCGAGTAGAGATAATTGTGCCTGTTTTTTGCTTTCTCACTTTTGATTTCTTCAAAGTAGAATTCCAGAACTCGATCCATCCAATTTCAGTTTCAGTCCGAACCCAATAATGATGCAACCATCTATTCGACGCGGTAGCCATGTCATTCGCAACAGTATACGGAACAGTGCGTTGGGGCGTGCTCTGCCATTTGGAAGCAAAGAAATGAGGACCAACGACCAAATGGCAGAAGTTGGCGAAGAAAGTGGAGATGATTCCGACGAAGATTCCTTCCAGAGCATGTCCAGCAGTAGTGGTGGCGGAGACGACGACTTTATGGGGACTAGTGGACGAAGGCAATCTCGGCACATGTCCACCATGGGAACAAGTGGTCTTTCAAAGAGTATGGTCAAATTGCACAATGAAGGAGACAAAGCAGTGCAGCGCTCCAAATACATCATCATGCTCGTCCTATTGGCCATTTGTTCTGTCGTTGTGGGCATGACCTATGTCTTTTTAGCACAAGAGCGAGAACTGGACTTTTCATTTGGAGTGAGTTTTCCCTGTCTCTACATGTATTTCTGTGTCTCTTGCGTTGTTCTTCTGGAATCGAATTGAATATTTCAATCGAATCGCTCACCAAACAATTTGCCGAAATATCATCATCATCACAGTTTGAAAATCTAGCAAAGGAAATGCTCTATCGGGTCAACGTTAGAACGAGCACCATGGAAACTACCTTTCGATCCCTGGCGTCAGGAGTGACATCCTATGCCACGGAACACAATGAAACCTGGCCTTTCATGACAATGCCAAATTGGAACGCCAGAGCTCTCAATACCCATCAGCTTTCTCATGCGGTTGGGCTGGGAATGTCACCCATCGTCCAGGGCACCAACATTACCGAGTGGGAAAACTATTCCGTTCAGGCCAGTCAAGTATGGATGGACGCGGCTAGGCCATTCCAACAACAAACCGGGGCACTCGTTGCCACAATCAACAGAGACAAACAACAACCAATGCTCATGCCAGAATCACCCAACACATATCCAGCTGTCACAGACTATGTGTATCATTATGCAGACGATGGCGTCAAGCTTTCCGTGCCACCGTCGGTCCCACAGGTGATTCCCGTTTGGCAACTGGCACCCGCCCCTCTGTACAATGCAACAATTATCAATTTTGACATGCTCAATCAAACCGTCTTGGCCAATGCCTTGGAGAGGGTCATGCAAACACGACAAGTTGTACTGACACCGGCGTTTCCGGAGGTCGACTTGTTCTGGAAAGGAGCAATTCCTCCTGCGTCAGCCCTAGATGCCGATCCGACAACGCAACAACAACCTGTGAGTGTCTTTTTGCAGCCCATTTTTGAAACTGTAACACATTCCGGCAGCACTGAAGCCGCTGCGACAACCAGTACGGTGATTTCGAGTGATGCCTCCTTGCAGCAGGAAGACGCGGTGGTAACATCGGAACCTCCTATTGTGGGAATCTTGCAGGGGGTGGTGCCCTGGCATGCTTACTTGGACCGAGCCGTGGCCAATCCGGACATTCGAGGACTCCATGTCGTCATGGAATGGATAGCCACGGAACCTTGTGCAGGTCTGACGACACCTCAACCGACGGATGATCAGATTCATCACACGTTCACGTACAGGGTTGATGGGAAAAAGGCATCGTTTATGGGGTATGGTGATCTTCATGAGGCTGTTTACGAAGATATGGTGGAAACGATGGATTTTATTGTTCCAACGAATCATCAGCAACGACAATCACCCAACATGACGTGTCCCTTCGGACATTATCAACTGAGAGCCTATCCCAGTGAGGAGCTGTATCAAACGAACTACAATCCCTCAACCGTCAACTCTTGGTTGTATGCGTTTGCTGTGGTGGCCATCTTTTGCATTGCTACAATGATTTTTCTTTCGTACGATTATCGTAAGTAAACATGGCCAACCAACAAATGGTGCAAAGGTGTCGTCATCTCACTTCTCTCTGTGTCACGCAAAAACAGTCATCCAGCTTCGTCAAAATGCTGTCATGGATACTGCCATCCGTTCGAATGCCATTGTTACGAACCTATTCCCAAGGTAAGAACTTGTCCGCATCTGTCAGTGCTGTGCGTTTTTCCCCCTCTTCATTCGTTTCAATTCATCGATTGTGTCCTCGATTAATATAGCAACGTCCGCGATCGTATCATGAAAGAGGCCGAAGAACAAGCTCAAGCAGAATACGAAGAATATCGGCGTGCACGAAAAGCAAATCGAAAGCGACGTCTTGGCCGGAAGAAAAAAAGTCACGAATCGAATGCGACAGCGTCGGCGGGCCCCTTTGGAGTAGTCGCGAAGAATCAATTGAAAGATTTCCTCAACGAAGGCGATGGGGTCAACAACAGAACGAGCAAAGCGAGTAGTCAAGGGGAATCCGCCGATGGATTTGACGAAGAGCAAGGAGGACCAAGAATAACTAGCAAGCCAATTGCGGACTTGTTTCCAGCTGCCACTGTCCTGTTTGCCGACATTGTTGGTTTCACAGCCTGGAGTTCAGTCCGAGAACCCACGCAGGTCTTCCAGCTTTTGGAGACGTTGTACCATCATTTTGATGAACTTGCAAATCGTCGTCGGGTGTTCAAGGTCGAAACCGTAAGCTTCGCTTGGGGCTCACCAAAAGCTGTAGTCGCACCGACCAACTCACCATTGTTCCTGCAATTTGCTGTCATTGGCGTATCAGATTGTAAGTAGTCTTCGTGCTTGTTTTGGGAGGAAGCAAAAAGTATGCTGACCCATCCATCTATCAATACAGGGAGATTGCTACGTAGCCGTTACGGTGAGTATCATAAAGCGAACAAAAGAATCGTTGAACTGTGTGTGTGCCTGAGGCATTTTCTAACTATGGCAACATACTGCCATGAATTTTGATAGGGACTTCCCGGTATGTTATAGCCCGCAGGTGCTGCAGCTCTCGCCTTCCAGTTTATCTCGATGCTTACGACTTCCTTCGAAATGCCACAGACCCCCGCCCTGATCATGCCGTTGTGATGGCAAGGTAAATAGAGCTTTGCTACTGTCGCTCAGCCAGAATGCGTGGTGTTGCAGCCCTGACGCTTCTCTTCCTGCAACTCCAGGTTTGCTCGTGACATCTTGACAAAGATGAAGGATCTGTGTCAGCGGCTAGAATGTGAGATGCGCTTCTGTTCGTTTTGAATTACCATGGTACCGAGGAGAATTGCTCACCAATGTCTGTTGCCACCTTTCGTGTCAGTAATTTTGGTAGGTTTGCGCACTTCGTGCTGCTTCGTGCTTCGTTCGGCATCCATCCTCTCCGTGGCTAATATTATTGCCGTGTTTGCTCCAGGGCCCTGATACCGGCGATCTCTGTTTGAGGATTGGTCTTCATTCTGGAGCTGGTAAGATCCGTAGTCAGTTGATGCCGCAGCAAGACTCTTCGCATCTCATCTAATGGCGAATCGCTCGTGTCTTTCTCTCGAACGCAGTTACTGCTGGAGTGCTTCGGGTAGGCCGTTCAGCTTTGTCTCTTTGTGACCATGAAATGCTTGCCTCTGATTGTCATTCGCTTTCCCCATTGTATCTAGGGTGAAAAAAGTCGCTTTCAGGTATGTTGCCTTGATCCACACTTCACAGTTTTGCTTTGATGCATGAGATCCGCCCTGATTGCTGCTTTCCTGGAATCACTCGAAACTTGTTCTCGTTAGTTGTTCGGCGATACAGGTACGCACTCCCCGGACTTAGTAGACGTCAAAGTCTTCCTGCCCAACAGGATTCTTACCTTCTCGAATTCTCTGTCGTGACAGTTAACACAGCTGCCCGTATGGAGAGCAACGGCGCTCCCAACAAGATTCACATGTCTCAAGATACAGCAAGAATCTTGCATGAAGCAGGAAAGAAATGGTGCAAGAAAAGGGATGATTTGGTGGAAGCTAAAGGCAAAGGTACGCTCTTTCTGTTGGTGCTATTAGAACCATACCCACTGGTACATGTACAACTAACTAAACACGATACATTGTTCCCCGTTTCAAATACTAGGCAAAATGCAAACGTATTGGCTTCAGACAGGACGCGCCGTGAATAAACGCCTATCTGCTAGTGTCCACATGGTAGACGTTCCAGATATCACTCCCGCACTTGCAACCATGAAGAGTCGAAGAAATTTAATGATGGCAGATACTGTAGGCGAAGTACAGAAAAGCCAAAGGAATCTGGCGAAAGCAATTTCTAAACGAAAACTCAGTTTGGGCATGGTGTCACCACCTGGGAGCCGAAATAATAGCATGAACATGCGAAAAAATAGCATGAACATGATGAACAACAGTTCTGGACAAGATGGAGTTGCAGTTATGATGGATGCCAGCAGCCAACGAGCTTCCATCATGAGGCGAGCATCAGCTTCGAAGTCAAAGCGGCAGGTGGCAATCAACTCTAAAAAGACTTCTCGTTTGGTGCGGTGGAACGCTGAGGTTCTTTCTCGTCTACTGAAACAAATAATGGCGAGGAGGAATGCCGTAGAGGAACTGGGACGAATCGAGGCGGATTCAAGCGGCGAAACAGCAGCAGAGGATCACACAACTGGCACCGACGGTGGAACTGACGACACAAAGCCCACAACGGTACCGTCCGACACTTCCGAGGATAGCTCTGACATTGATTTTGATCGTCGTGAAGTCCGAACGACAGTTTTGGAAGAGGTAGCAGAGATCATACATCTTCCGACCTTTGACGCGGAGGCCGCGCGACGTCAAGAAGACCCATTCAATATCAATCTGTCAAACGAAGTGAAGGACCAACTTCTTGCATTTGTCTCGGAGATTGCATCCATGTATCGGTGAGTAACCTCGACCGGCTTTCGCACAGCTTGGCCCACGTTGTCGGCAGATTTCGTTTCTCAATCCTCGTTCTCTCCATGACAACAGCTATAATCCATTCCACAACTTTGAAGTAAGCCAATACCAAGCTCTGCTTCAAAATTGGGTGCATTGGCAGCGTGGGATACTCACAAGGTTTCCTTGACTCTCGCCCCCCTCATCGTAGCACGCCTCCCATGTTACAATGTCTGTTGTGAAGCTGCTGAGGTGAGTGCTGTCGTCTTGCAAAATCTAGTTGCTTGTGTTCCAGTCCTTCTCAGGTCGGATCTTCGTTTTCCTTCAGCCGCATTGTGGCCCCTGATGCAGTGGTTGATTTGGCAAGTTCGGGTGACCAGCTAGTGAAGAACATGCATGTACGTTCACTTCGTGGGGCATTCTTTGCCAGTCCATTCGATTCCTAAACCTCTTCACCGAACCCAACTGGATGCTGGTCGTCTTTCTCGTTGCACTGCTTGCTTGCCTCCCCATCTCCCCCCACCGTGCCCCCCCCCCTAAAAAAAGGATCACACGTATGGGTACGTCTATGCAGGACAAGATATGAAAGACCTACCACCCTGAAATCTCTCACTGAAAATGTATCGTTGCCATGTTACTTTTGTTCTCAGCATTACGAGTGACCCTTTGACTCAGTTTGCGGTTGTGCTAAGTGCCCTGATACATGACCTTGACCATCCAGGTGTCCCCAATGCAACACTTGTGAAGGAAGGGACCAATTTGGCTGCCCTGTACAAGAACAAGAGTGTAGCTGAACAGGTATGTGCTATGAGCACGATGGATGTGCATTTCATCCTCCCAAGCTCACATTCTTTTGATCTTGATCTGCCCGTAGAATTCTGTTGATTTGTTCTGGGAGGTGCTGATGGACGACCGATACAAGGAACTACGATCAACCATTTGTGCCACCAAGGCAGAAAAGAAGCGGTTCAGACAGCTGATCGTCAACGTCGTCATGGCCACGGATATTGTCGACAAAGAGCTCAAGGATCTTAGGAATGGACGCTGGGACAAAGCGTTCAGTGATGACAAGGTGTTGGAGAGCCCGCAAGATATTCGTGACGATGTGAACAGGAAGGCAACAATCGTTGTAAGTGCAACTCACGATTCAAGTTTTATGGACAAACATTTCGATTTCTCAATACACAGTTCTACCATCCCTCCACTAGATTGAGCACTTAATTCAAGCATCGGATGTTGCTCACACAGTAAGTGTGCCAGACAGCAGAGGATACACCCTGCCACGTACTTGTTGGGACTCACTTGTCATCTTCCTGCTGGTTATCACTTTCAGATGCAACACTGGCACATTTACAGGTGAGCGGTTTGTGGGTCTTGTACTCTTGGAATATCCTTAGTAGAGTGGTGTCTTACTCTTTCGATTCGTGTGCCGTGATTTCACAGAAAGTGGAATGAACGATTCTTTGAAGAGATGTACAATGCGTACTTGGAAGGGCGCGCTGATAAGGACCCAACAGGCAAGTGCAGATAGTCGCATGTGCATGTTGGGATTGGTTGTGTACAGGCAGATTGCATTCTCACATGTTCCCTTGCATCCATCCACTCAAGAATTTTGGTACAAGGGCGAAATTGGCTTTTTTGACTTTTATATCATCCCTCTTGCGAAGAAGCTGAAGAACTGTGGTGTGTTTGGTGTCTCGAGTGACGAGTATTTGAACTAGTAAGTTTCTTCCAGGATCAATTTGAGATGGGGGCATGGCAAGGCTGTTGCTGTGAGTGGCTGATTAAAGGTGTTTGTATTGCAATTTAGTGCGGAGACAAATAGAAAGGAGTGGGAAAACAAAGGGCAAGAAGTTGTAAAGGAGTACATTGCCAAGTTTGGCAGGAGGGATATGGAAGCCAGTCAGCAATCTTCTGCCACTCGGTCGTCTCCCAGTGAGATTGGCGCCAGTGGGAAGTTGGAGGAAGCACCCGCAAGAGCTGTGGAAGAGGCCCCCTGATCAAACCGACATATTACATAAAACACAACCAGCGTAATTGCACAAACCAAGCATGTATCAACTTGCACTTTATGTACCCGTTTGTAGCTATCGGTAGCCAGGAAGCATCCAGGGTACGGCGGCTAGACCATAATATCCAAGCCCCACACCTGGACCACCTGGACCACCTGGACCACCTAGACCCATCAATGGTCCATCTCCAGGCCCCACTCCTGGTTCCACAACTGGACCAACTCCAGGCCTCATGCCTGCCTAGACCTCTACCTCTTCCCGGCCACACTACCAGGGTGAGGTTCAGACTTTCCAAAAGTTAGTGGTATCTGCAATGCTCGTCAGGTCAGGACTGAATTTGAAAAGCGAGGTATCAAGCGCAAGCCTGTGCGCACTATGAAAGACATTGGTAAAGACGGCAACTGAAGAGATGAAGGGAAGAAAAGTATATATCTACATGTATCATGGTCAGTGCCTTTAAAGAAAAGTATAGGTATCACGGCCAAGCAATGCATTGAAAATACTGGCAGCAACAACTGAAGAAAAAGAAAGACGTAACTGCCAGAAACCTTGAAGGTGTGGTTGTATTTCAGTAGACTAGTGTAGGATTTTTGTCTGCTCTCCGCCACCAGGAGTCTCCTTCCCCTTGCCCACCATCGCTGCTCCGGACTTTGCCACGCACTCGTGTGGCAAGCAGGGTGTGGGTCCACCATGGTGATGGCGCCATTGAAACGAGGCAAATCGAGACCTTTTGTCTATGATTCCCTACCCCAGTTTTTCCATCTGCTCCCGGAGCGTACTGTAGAGGTAGGTGGTGATTTCCCAAGAAATCAACATCAGCTAGCCGAACAGGAACCGTAAAAGACCGTCCACAATAACAGTATGATTGCTCTTGGAAGGATCGTCCTCCCATGCATCGGAGGGTGGCATGGAGGTTTGCTGCAGTGGAATCTTCCAATAGTGGTACCAACGAACAATGGTTCTCATTTGTTTCTGCTTCTTCTCCTACGAAAGGTAAAACCTTCATCATGGACCAGATCTGTTAGATGAGCAGTTGCAGTTGCACTTGCCTATTGCTGGACAATACCGTAGGTTATCGAGGAAGTAACTTCTTGTTGTTGATTGGGAGAGGCAAACATGTTGATGATTTGATGATGTATGTTTTCAAGCAGGTTACGAAACTCTGAATGAAAGTATTCTCACTGACAACCACGCATGAATGATTGAATAGAGTTGAATTGAATTGATCGAGATAGGAATGGTAGATTGCAAAGAAGCGAAATACTAGGATGAAATATCATAATAGTCCACATGTGATCCCGACTCGAACTTGTCTGAGAAGACCAAGTTGACCAGCTTTTTGGCGGAATCATGTGGATCAATCAATTTCTTGTCAAAAGCAGGCTTGAGGCTCTTGTCTAACTTGGGCGCTGCTCGAATCTCTTTGACCATGTCAGTTTCCAGGGGCCCTGGTGCATAGTTGAGTACTTTTATGCGAGGCATTTCCTTGGCCATGGTGGCATGATAATTGTCTCTAGCAGCCTTGCCTGCCGCGTATATTCCCATGGTGGGAAATGCCTCGACGGCCAACAAGCTGGAAATGTTGATGAGTGTTACTTTTTGCGTGTCTTTCGAATTTTCCTGTACGAGCTGTGCAAATCGACTGGACAGCCACAGAGCAGACGTGACATTAAACTCAATGGTGGCTTTCATGCCCATCAAGGATGGACTGGACGAGCAGGGACCCAGATATCCCAGAGACCCGGCATTGTTGACAAAGACGACGCGATCAAAGCCAGAGAGATTGACTTCTTGGAACATGCGATCAAAGTGGGAGTCCAGTTGATCCAAATCGGACAAATCCACGGCAAAGCAGGAAAGCGTCACTCGAACCTTGGTGGACTCATTGTGATGCATGATGGTTCGACCCAGCTCTTCCAACAAATTTGCCGATCGGGCCGCCAGGACAACATGCAGTCGATCCAGTTGCTGTCGCTGCTGCTCTGATGAGTCCATACAGCAAAAGCCAGTCGTTATGGCCTTTCCCAGACCTTTCGACGCCCCCGTCACAATCAATAGCATCTGCATTCCAATCTTTTACAGTTCCGTCTGTGGCTTGATTTCATTTATTTCTTAAATTAAGGTGGTCGCACCCAGGATGTAAGCCAGCTAAAGTCTGCTAATAATAATGACGTACGAAACATACGATTGTTCGCATATCTTTCGCAATTGTACGGAATCTGGAATTTCGCTTTTCGTAATATTGCTCGACCGCCAAATTCTAGCTTGGAGCCAAAATTGAGCACGTTGGTGCACCCTAAGCATATAATTCTTTCAGTCTATCGCGCACGTCGAGATTTTCATGGGTTTTTGTCCCGCTCAATCTTTGGAAGATCCAATTCTCGACGCATTGGGCAACAAAGGCAATAAACCTGCGCGAAGCAACCAAGCCTCATTTTCGTGGTGTAATGGCAGAGTCAACGACACCTGTACCTGGCTACTGGAAGCCATCCGCTTCCATTGAACAAGCCAAGCTTTCTGCCAGTGGAAATGGTTGGAACAATCTAGCTGGCATCAATGATTCTTGTGTCAGCACTGGGAGATCAACTAGAAATGGCAATAGTGGCACCAACAAGCACAAGAAGAGGATCCTTTTTGTTGACGACAGTGATAATGAGGAAGCCACGGAAGACACCACCACGGAAGAGGCAACCACAGAAGAAGAAGATAACGAACTCACCGTCACTGAATTCAATACGAAAGCCAGCGGACGCATCCTGTTGGAGACGAGCCAAGTCGAAAAGCTGGTATCCGATTTTGCCAAATGCCCTCATTGCGAATTAGACGACAAGCCCATGCCATTGATAATGTTCATCCACAACTGCGGCATTGTGTCACAAGTTGGACTCAGATGTGCCAACGAAGAATGTGATTACGTCTACGAATTACCCACTCCCGCAAAGACAACAATGCATACTGACGACAAGTACGAAAGGCTGACGAATTACCAACTTAATCTGTTGCTCGTCCTTGGGATGATAGCGAATGGAGACGGTGCTACCGAATGCGGCAAAATGCTTGGTTTGATGGGGCTACCGAATGATACCACGATGGGCAAAAGCTTTCCCACGATAGAGCAAAGGATTGGCCCCATCTTGCGGGAATTGAGGGACGAAATCCTGATGGAAAGTCTGGACGAGGAAGTGAGACGATCAACCACGGAGGAACGTTACTTAGCTTGGAAGACATCTATACCTGAGCAGCACAAAGACCATCCCGTCAAAATAAAATTGAAGGGCTCGTATGATGGCGCTTGGCAGCAGAAAGGATCGGGTCTTTTGTACAATTCATAATCCGGACATGGCAGTCTTGTCGGTGCCGCGACCCGAAAGGTTATTGCTTTTGGTCAAAAGAGCAAGAAGTGCAACAAGTGTGAACGGCACGAAAAGCTTCACCCTGACGCCGATACCCGTCCTGATTATCCGGAGCATGCATATTGTCCCCGCAACCATGATCCAACCGACTCGTCAGGTGCGATGGAGGCGGCATTGGCTTTGGAAATTGTAATCGACCTATACGACAATAAAGGCATTATTGTGGAGCTTCTTTGCTGTGATGACGACTCGTCCATTCGGGCGGATTTGAAGTGGTCGAACAAAGACTACCTAACCAACAACAACACTACCGTTCTACCGCAGGTGCCCAAGACGAAGGGAAAGAATAAGGGTGAGCTACAAGACCGTCCTGACAAAGGGAAACTACCCGGCCATATTCCCGAGCCAAAGTTTTGTGCCGATCCCAACCACCGCCGCAAACAGTTGACCGGGGAACTCATTCGTTTGGATTTGGCCAAGGTAGCCGACAAGAAGACAATGACGAGGTTGGATTCCATTCGACTTGGCAAGAACTACGGCTATATGGCTCGCACACTCAAAGACCGCGATGAATCTGAGTATGTGGATGTCGCCTGGGCCTGTTTGGAGCACCACTTTGATGCCCACGACAAATGCGGTGCTTGGTGCGCTCGGAAAAAGGCAACGGCAGCTGAGCAACTTGCTAGCAAGAAATACTACCGCGACAAGAAAGATGATGCGGAACTTTACGAACTGCTACGGAAGAAAATGGGGCGCTACTGTGAGCTTGGGCGACTGAGAGAGATTGCCCACGGCTTGGACACAAATGCAAACGAGTCATTCAACAGTGTTTGTACCTGGTTCGCACCCAAGAACAAAGTCTTTTCCGGGTCCTGTTCGCTGGCCAATCGTCTTGCCTTTGCCATCGGCATCGTCTCCCTCGGATATGTCGAGTTTTTCAACCGTCTTTTCCTCAAGCTAGGAATTGACATGACAACCCATGTCGAGCATTACCTCACCGTCAGGCAGAACCAACGACAGAAACGATTGGACCGGCTCAAGACTCCGGAGTACAAGCAGTACCGGGCGGAAAAGAAGAACGAGAGGATCCGGTTGGAAACGATAGCCACGAAGAAGGCTTGGGCAAAACGACACAAATGCTACCGCCCGGGCATGAACCTGGATCTTCCGCAAGAGCAGCTTCCTGCTGAGGCCGCACGGATCGATGCCGAGAATGCCGCAAAACGGCCTGCAAAGAAGAGGAAAACGAACAATACGACAACTAGCAAAGGCAAGTTTTGCCCGTTCTGCGGTAAGAAGGGGCATGTTTCGACCAAATCCAAGAAGTTCCTCAAGACAGGCGATTCCAAGGCTGCTTTGCTGTTCGATAGGTTGACTGGAAAGCTGCTATCAGAGCTGGCTGCCAGCACTCCAACTGCAGCTTCTATTCCAGCTGCTAGTGCTTCTAGTAGCCAGCCAGCAAGCATCCTAGAAGCTGAATTTGAGGAGGTAAGCCCAGAGGAAACAGCTCAAGATTTGGCCCAAATGGTAGAGGATGGAACCAAAGATTTGGCTGATTTGGAGTGCATTCCCTTTCATGCACTGGATGGTGACAATGAGGAAGACCATGTTGAAGCCCTTGATGCTGATGATGATAGTGATGCTGGTAGCAATGCTATCTAAACTAGAGAGAATGTAATACCTTTGTTGTTGACGACCCGATACTGTAGCCCAGCCACTCGTATGTTCGCTCGTGTGTCGATGTGTTGATGTTCTGATTGTATTGACATGTTCGGTATGAAACGGCTAAGATTGGAATACATAGCCGTTGTTTTCCTTTGCGTCCAGAATTTTGTCTTTCAAATTTGATGCTCACATTTTTGGTTTGGGGCACCCTGACTGGATTGCGCGTCTATAGTAAAATAGTACAAAAAACACGTTTTGGGCCTTCTCACCGGGTTTCAAAAAAGAAAGAGAGATTCCCTCTTGTTTGCAACGAACAAACCAAATCGCGATCAGACGAAAATTGTATTGGGTGTGTTAGAGACCTCATTCTCTCGATGCCTGCTGATTGTATGGCCCTACAACCATACATTTAGCAGCGCCTAATAGTGTAAGGAAGAGAGTAGTGGGTGGTTCCAGGGCCATACTAACAGCAGCCATCGAGATTTATCGGTTGGAAGCAGCCGAATCGAAGAATCGATCGCTGTTATCCACCCATTCAGAAGGATAACAGGGCCATCAAACATCACCCAAACCTCGCCGCTTACACCTCGCCAACACTATTAGCAACCACTCTTGTATGTATAGAAGGCTGAAGGCTGCAGCGTTCAGTGATTACAGTCGGCCTTTATCAGCAGCAGTCGATTCTTTTGTTGTTAGTCTTCTCTCGCGATACACTCGCGATAATTCCCTTTACACGCACCAATATTGTTAACAGCTTTTGGCCGGCTTACATCCTGGGTGCGACCACCTTAAAAGACGCACACCACTTCTATACTCAATCGTACGATCTCACGACTGGAGAGCTCAGGACAAAACCCACCCGCCGAAGCCTCGCATCCAAAATCAAAGCAAACCACCGACAACAAAGACACTTTTGAGCCGCCCCCTTTACGCTTCGTCTACTACCACGACAAACTCCTAGCTAGTATGCAGGTAAGCTTGTGGACGGACAGCCCTTTCGTCCTTGAGAGAGGGAGCCCTGATTCGATTCGTATTGGCATTCGCCTTTATTGATTTCTGCGGAGGCGCAACTGGACCTCGAGGTGGCTGAGAATGGGTTGGGTCTCCTCCGCTTGGCGGCATTTTCCTGGTGTTCTCGCGTTATGATGTTTTTGTGCTGGTGTCTTTGGCTGTGCCGGTGCCGCTATTGTTTGTTCGCAGTGTATCTCACCCGGTCATTTTTCGTTCCTTGTCTGTTGATTATTTCATAAAATGGCTGTGGTTATTTGGATTGATCCTTCTTGTTGCCCTTGATTTTTCACGCGAGAAGATCTTCATCAAGACACTCACAGGCCGTAAGCAAGCCTTCAACTTCGAGCCCGAGAACCAAGTGTTGGTGGTCAAACAGGCCCTTCAAGAAAAGGAGGGAATTCAGGTCGATCAGATCCGATTAATCCACTCAGGAAAACAGCTAGCTGACGACAAAACTTTGGAAAGCTACAATATTGCTGCTGGAGCCACCATTCACATGGTCTTGCAATTGCGTGGGGGAAACTAAAAAGGCGGATGGTGTCGAGTATTAGTATTTGGGTGCCGTTTGTTGGTGAAACCATCATCGTGCGGTGAAAGAAAATCTGCAACAAGCGCTGGAATTCACGGATTCTTTATCCGAGCAACAATCCACAACCGCATCAGTTTTCGGCGCTCGTGTTTGCGCTTTTTAGTATTCCTCTCATTCCGAGGGCATGATAGAACTGTACTAGACGTCAGGTTTCTGAACCGTAAATCGTCGTTCCTATCAAATTTAAGGATTTTTCTCTGGACAGGCTGGGAACAACCACATGTCGATGGGTTGTCCTTCACTGGCTGTGATGAGGCAGTACAGCACTTCTGGAAGAGAGTTTTCTGATCCGTCCACTGCCCTTCTAGTCGAATGTTGAGGACGTCTTGTCTCCGCTGGAGCCGTTGGAACCAACATTCTTCAGAACAGTTCCCTTCGGTGTTCTCAGGTTGATCGGCCCCTACATTGTTCCTCAAAACCAACAACTATAGACGTTGAACTACCTACTAGAAGCACTGGTGGTTGGGGAGACAATTCTTCGCAGTGACGGGATATCTCGCTCCAAAATTTCGGACAGACGCTTCACTTCGTTGTCATAGTTGATGGACGGAGAGGAGGGCATTCTGCTCAGTCCTCCCATTTGCTCCAATGACGATTGCAAGGGTTCTCGGATACGTTGCCACAAACTAGCAACGTATTCGTCTCCTTCTCGGATCTCACGGCGATGACAGTTTTGAAACGATGTGCTCAATCCCTCAACCGACATGAGTTCTTTCTCATGAGCTCGTAGCTTGGCTCCATTGTACCACGTCAATCCTCCAATTCCTAGAATGGACGCTGCCACTACAGATCCCAGGACGGCCTCCATGGACCAAGCCCCCGAGGAGGCGGCCGCTGCGAGTGGACCCGCATTCCCGGCGTACCAAATGGCACCGGTCAACCCAGCACTTCCAGCGGTCAGTCCTAGCTCCTGATATTTGCAATCCCAGTAATGCCGATTGTACCGTTGTCTCAGGTCTTGACAGACCCGAGTATGCATTCGCAAAACACAGACGGAATCGTAGAGGTGGGTGATGACATTGTCGACTCGCCTTTTGGGTGCTTTCATTACTTCTGCTACAACTTCATCTTTGGTAGCGTATAGATCCGAGAGACCTCCCTGAACGGCTGATGCAGGAGCAGTAGCAGTCTGAGCAGATTGATCACCTTCCATATCTTCTTCTCCGTTACTAGTTGTTGTTGTATTGTTGAGCTTCTCCATGGCATCCTCTACTGGTAAGCACATTGTAAAAATGCGAGGTAGATCCTTTCGAGGGATTACTTTGGAAAGATTCCAGCACAAAGAACCGTACGCACGGGCAAAGTCATGGATCTGTCAAGTAAGTAAGTGTGTGAGACTTCGTACTGTAGATGCATGTGGCATTGGGAGACAACAGTAAACGGCGACAGAATAGAATTACCTTTTCAAACTGATCTGCTTTGTTGAGTACAATCATCAACTTGTGATCCATGCCACCAAGGGAATGCAAGAGAATGGAAAGAGTCTCTCCTGTAGTCCCTGGTTTGTCTGGATCAAAGAATAGCAAGACAATGTCGGCTCGTTCGGCAAACCATCGTACCACTCCTGCAAGTAAGATAGTCAAGAGAACCAAGGGATCGCCATGATGATTGATGAGATGGAATCAAATCGAACATGATGACAGACATTCCAAAATAACAGAGCACTTTTTGCATTGATAGTTAGTTGACGTACCGGGAAAGTCATAGCCCCGATCCATGAGACTGGCACTGCTGTCCTTTGGGTTTCCCTGCTGTAACATTCCACCCATACTGGCTGGACTATCGATCATTCCAGGCGAATCTACCATCATAAACTCGGTTGTCCGAATATCCTTTCGTACTTTGAGTTGTGTGTGATGGATCAGAGTGGGACCAAACTGGCTGAGACTGTTGAATCCAAATGCTGGATTGCCATAGATAAACGCTGGTCCATCTTGATCCTGATCTTCGGGTCCAGCCGTGATGATGGTGAAGCAATCATCGGTGGGTGCCACTCCTGCGGTTTGTACATTTCGGCCCATGACGTAATTGATAAAGCTGCTTTTTCCACTGGAATGATTTCCCACCAAAAAGACAAAGGGGAGGAGCGTATTGTTGCCAATCAATGTTCCTTCTACGCCCCCGTCTGCTGTTAGTTGCTGTTGTTCCAATGGACCACGAAGCTAATTGGAAAATATGGATTGCATAATATGAAATAGACAGCACAGAAAATAGTGAGGGCAATGATGTCATTTTTCTATTGTTGTGTCCACAGATACCGTACACACCTTTTCATTGAGTGGCATCAAAGACATGTAGAGTTCACCACAATTCTTGAGAACTTGGGCTTCTTGACTTTCATTTTTCTTGTCCGCACTGCCATCTCCATCGGTTCCATTGCCATGCGCAAATTTGTTCCAATTCCAGGTCCCTCCTGAACTCGACAAGGATCTTCTACATGTGCTAGCGACAAAGGGTACAAAACTCGACGGAGACCGAAATGTGGCCACAGCCCGACGTGACAGGGGTGATCTAGCAAGACGTAGCATTACTGATCAGATAGATAGATGGATAGAAAAACTACCGTATTGGAAAAGACAGAGAGGCCATGAATGACGGGGAGATGAAGCCGAGAAAGCTCTGGCTGGAATGGCGAGGTGGCGTTTCTTGGAAAAAGTCGGTATCTTTTGAGTTCGACCGCTAAGGTTAAAGCTGAATCTTTGCGTTAAGCCAACAAGGCGGATTACGACACCCCTCTTCCCTCCTTGTCTCTTTTCCTCTCTCCTCGAGTGTCAGGCTCCTTTCAACCCACAAGATCCGAGTCCAGTCCAAAGTCCAAAAGAAGACTTGCTTGGTACCTCATTAGTCAGAACACTCTGAAGGCCGACAACACATTCCGCAGAGGGCTTTCATGGTTCTCACGTCCTCACTACCGTATTCTCCATGCATGTAATGGACTGCAACTAATCGAATCGAATTGAAGCAAAAATGGATTAAGTTCGGGGCTGCCCTGTCGAAGAAAATCAAGATCATCTTTGGTTATCCATACGATCGTTGCAAGAACCCAGCCGCGACAACAATGACCAATGGCGACTCTTCACTCAGGCAACACAGAGGCGACACCATCACCAGCAGCAGGAATACCAGATTGCACACTCTCATCACCAGACTGCAGATTTTGTTGTTGGGTATCCTCCTGGGAGCTCTGCCTGGGTTGTACGTGGGAATCCCCTCTTCAACTGACATTGCCGACACGCAACAAACACATCCAGAGCTGGATTGCGATCACAACCATGCACTACAGCTAGATACTGCCAGCAGTTCTAGCAGTGCCGGCAGTCAACAGGAACAAGAAAGTACAGTCAAGACCAAACACCCTGACTGGTGCCCAACGGCCCAATGCACAGATACCGATCTGTGTCATCCCTGTCAACGACGCTTCCTCATTGTGATTGCCACACCCCGATCGGCATCTACCACTCTGACGTGGATGTTGGACGAATTGCCAGGGATTCGCATGGCAGGAGAAAACAACAATATGCTCACTTTTATTTTCAATGCCAACAAGGCGGTCTTCAATCACTCTTCCTTTCATCGTGGAAATGAAGAGAGGACGTCTTGGGGACACAATCACATACCCAACCAAACCTTTGCGTGTGCCGCCCAGGCCATGATTCAAGCCATTAATCCACCCGAGCTACTACTAACGACAGATCGAATCCATCTTGCAGACAAGCTTCAGGAACAATCCACCATTGTGGGATTCAAAACCATTCGATTTGAACGTGGCGTCGATGGAAAACCTCAGACCGAACAAGAATGGTTGGAAAAGGTGGAATTTGTCAAGGAAAATTTCCCCTGTTCTCGAATCTTGGTCAATATCAATTCCAACGTTACACGACAATCCGAATCCTTCAAAGCCGCGAAATGGGGAACGATTTCCGAAAACAGTCTGCGGAATCGAATGCTCAAGTTAAAGCGGATCGCCGAACTGTTTGGACCTGAACGGGCATATCTCTTGGATTCGGCAGAATGGACCAAGAATGTGGAGATTCTCAATGCGGCTGTGTCTTGGTTGGGCTTTGACAGAGCATGTCATTTTCGGGAGTTGTTGCAATTCAATACGGCTGGAGCCAAGGGATTCACACATTCCAAGACGAAGCTTGACTATCATTCTCCCCGCTGCAAAAGACTCGAGTAGCAACTCGGTAACCACTTGAGTTGGGCTCACAAGGGCTCACCCATATACCGGTATCCAACGAAGGGGCCCCTGCACTCAAATCCTTCGTGCGCGTGGCTGTGACGAGCAATCAAAGTCATGGCCAGACCAATCAATCTGCAAGGGCGAAAACTAGTAACTGTTGCTCGTTTCAGTCCCTGCAATCGCTTCAACCAAGCACTAGCTAGAGGAAGGCTTTCTTGGATTAGGTTTGAAATTGAATGGTTTCACCGCGGCTTCCCAGGTACTTGTTTGGGTCGTACAATAGGATCATGCTAATCTGCTTACTACCAGTGGTAGCTACGGTAGTCTATGGCAACCTTCCTTTTTTTGTAACATCACTTAGCTAGCATTTATGAGAGCTGGTCAGCGTCTCCCAGAAACGACGATAGTACGCTGCCGTAGAGGATTTCATTCTCTAGCATTCCATAGTGAGAACAGCCAGCAAGAGTCATGTGTTGAACTCGGTCGAATAATCCATCCCATCCCTCGACACATGTTTCCGTGACAAAGTCATGTTGTCCTCTTAGAATCAACGCTGGTTGTTGCAGTTTTTCGGGAATGGGTTCTTCTTCTTCTTGCGCTCCTTCTGAGGCTGTGTTCTTGGAATCTACAGACACGACTACTAAGGATGCCTTGTAATCCCCAATCGATTGCAATCCTCTCAGTCTCGGCGGCCCTGCTTGACTGTAGGAATCCATAAGGGGAAATGGCATTGGTACCAATCTGCACTCGTGCTGTTCACGAAATGCCTTGGGGACCTTTTTGGAGAGTGTGGTAACTCCGTCATCATCCGAATCGTCCTCTTCTTCGTCATTTCCAGTCAATTCTCGACACAGTCGTTGGACTTCTTGTTCGACAATGGCTGTGGAAGTTGGAACACTGGCCAAGACGGCAGATTGACATTTTTGTAGTTCTTCCAAAGAATTTGTGTCGCGGCAATACTTGAGGTATTCAAAGAGCAAGATTCCTCCAAAGGAATGCCCCAACAAATGGTATTTATCAAACTTCCAGTGTTTGATCAAGAGATCCAAATCTCGCACCATGCCGTCGACATCCAGCCGGGACGTCTCTTCTTCGCCCGTCTCTGGATTGGTTCGCGTGAGCGCGGACGGTTTGACCACGGTTTTCGACTGACCGCAACCCAACTGATCGTACACCACAATGCTTCGGTCCACCACGACATATGCCAGAGGCAACAAGTAATTGCAAGGTATCAAAGGCCCTCCATGGAGCACCACCAGAGGCGGCTTTTGCTGCAATTGACGTGGTCGAAAGATCCGGTATTGAATGGTGCCTCGATTGGGAATATCCAATGAGCCAATCTTGCACATGACACCCGTCATTCCAAGCGGTGGAGGAGCGCATCGTTGTGGCCTTCCAGCATTGGTGGTGTTGTTGGCACTGGGTGGATCAAAGAACTTGGAGGGTAGCATGGTGCTTGAGATTACTAGAGGATGTCGAGGTTGGAAATGTGGTGAATTCGGTGAGAAAGTGAGTGAGAAAGCCGTTGGATCTTTGAAAAGATACGATCCACTGTGCGACCTGAACCGGAAAAGTCAACAACCGCACCAAACGAAACCACAATGGCGAGACGGCGAGACCTAGCCAGGGCCTAGCAGGCGAGAGGCGAGAGAGACAACAAGGATGATGGCTCTGGGGCCGAACAAACAAAGCCATGGCCCACTAAAGACTCTTCTCCATGGCACCCAACGAGACGACGGAGAAACGCGATGGATTCAAACCTCCAAGCGAGAACCCTTCCAACATGAAATTCCTCGACGGAAGAAACGACGGCCGAAAAGAAACGGATGTGCATTGGGGCCGTTGTTTCTTCTCCTTGAATGAAGCATCTCGTCTCATTCATTCAACATCTGGTCTCATTTTTTCAAACTTGACTCCTTACGACGCATTTACTTCCAGTTTGATTATCAGTCTCCTTTGACAATGAAGACCGGGCTTCCTTCCTTCCCAGCAATCTTGGTAATCACGATTTTGATGATTACGAATGCCTCTGCAACGATGACCCCTCCCAATGGTGCCAGAGCACTCAGTCAAACTCTTCTGGGAAGTAGCAAGGGAATCAATTTTGGACGCAAGGTGGAATTGTCACACGACGGAGAACGATTGGCAGTGGGACAAGATGAAACTGTGACAATCTACGAACGAACAAAGATCAAGTCCAATATTGAAGACATTACCACAGACAAAGCTTGGAAGAGAATCCAGGTGATACCTGCCACTACTGACAAGCCTGTAACCCATCGGATCTCTCTTTCTCCCGATGGCAAAGCCGTTGCCATTCGACACAAGGAAAACGTGAAGGTCCATGTGGTGGATACTGGCGAGCTGATGGGAGCTCCTGTCAATGTCTGTGGCCCTTACAACATTTGGAATCGAAATGTCAAGCTGCATCAGACACCTCCTCATTCCGCCTTTGGACAATATACTATGCTCACGGTTAGCTGTGAAGGTTCCAATGCACTGGCTGGTGTGGTCAAGATTCTGCGATTTAACGAGAATGACAATCAGTGGGACAACCTATTTACAATCACTCCTCAAGAAACGAGAGGCCTGTTTGGTTGGGAAACTGCCATGAACATTCACAGCGATGATTGCATTCTCATTGCCATTGCCAGTCCTCTATTCGACAATTGGCGAGGAATGGTCCAAGTCTTCAAGCTCACTCCAGACGGACAGGTGACTCTGCATGGGGATACCTTGCAAGGAGAGAACCGAGGAGACAAATTTGGAACTGCCATGGCCTTTAACACCGATGAACAGCCTCATTTGGTGGTGGGTGCTCCCGAGTACGCCAAAGGGCATGGTTGTGTCAGTGTTTTCCACTTTGACCGCCCCAGTGTCAGCGAGGAAAAGACCTGGCTTGCAATCGGAGACAGCCCCATGACTGGCACTCAGCAAGGTGACAAGTTTGGTTCGCTAGTGGCCATCTCTGCCAATGGTGACCGCATTTTGGGCGCATCAGCTGCAAAGGAAGGTGGTGTGCGCAGTTACTTGCGAACATCTTTCCGAACATTAGAGCTTCTTGGGACCTTCTCAGATGATGAAGCTGGGACTTCCTCAATTGCTCTGAGTTACTCAGGATCAATTGCTGCTTTTGGTACCATCAAAGGTTGGGACTCAAGTGGTGCAGTGGTGGGACGAACTCAAGTCTTCTTGGATGGGAATCCATTCTGTGGTGTTGAAATGCTAGGTGTTTCCATGGATGATCAGTTCCTTAGCCGAACACTTTGCCGCAATGGGCCATCTGTCATCACCACACCAGATGCTTGCATCAACCATAACTCGGTCTTCCACTGCACCTGGGTTGACAACCTCAGTACTGCTCCTCCAAGTAGTGCCCCCAGTGCACTTCCTACTTCTACTCCCAGCATGTCTCCTTCTGGTGTCCCCAGTGGTATCCCCAGCACCTCACCCGCTGCAAACCCAAGTGCTGCTCCCAGTTTGACTCCATCCCTGAGCCCCTCTCAAGTTCCCACCGGAAAACCTAGCATTGCTCCGAGTGTGGAGCCAACTGTACCTCCTAGCATTAGTCCTTCAGCATTCCCCAGCATGACCCCCAGTGTCCAGCCCAGCCTTGCTCCAACCGCAGTGCCATCAGCATCCCCAAGCTTTCTTGATGACAGCATTTTTGGTGAAGGCAGTGAATGGGATTTGCCAATAGTTTCTGGCATGGCTTGTGCCTCCATTATGGCTGTAACAGTTGGTGCAGGAGTATATTTGAAGGTATGGACAAGGGGCGAGGATGAAAGCAGCGGTGATAGTGAGATTGAACCTCAGAATGACACAGATGTTGGATTAGATCTTGAAGCTGCAATCCCCACAGGGGTAGACGGTCCTCTTTTTGATGTGTATCTGGACCCTTAGAAGAGCAAGGGTGGGTTGTGGTGCACCTGCCTGCCTCCATAGAGTAAACTTAATTGTACTAGCTAGCTTTGACGTCAAAAACAAAATAATTTCTTCTTCCACTCACACCATATCTTTTCTCAATTTCTTGTTGTGGGTGTGCACACGGGCAACTGTTCCACCTCCAGTCAACATGGATCTGATGATGATTTGGTTGTCGCCACAAAGGAGAATCAAGATATCCCTTGGAAGGTTGAGTCTCCGACGGGCAAACAACCAAGCCGGCGAAAGGCGAAACATTCCAATATCAAGGCCCATGCGAATCCCATAGCCCATCTTTCCATCCCTTTGTTGTTTCCAAGCCAAAATGCTTTTTCAATGCCTTGCCATTGTCAGCACAGACAAAACTCAATATTCGAATTCCCAAACGCACGACGCTCAATTGGCCTTGTTAATTGAAGCTACTCATATGCTGCCTCGGTGGCTTTCGCAAATCTAGCCCTCGTGTTGGTCCCCAAGTTTGTCGCCCTGATCGCATGGAACCTAGTCCCAAATTTGACCTTTTCTTTTCCTAGCCAAGCCTGCCCCCCTGACTGCTTGTGTATATATTAGTAGCTTCACTACTCTAGCTTCCCTACTAGCTAGCTAGTACCGTACTGCAGCTAGTACATACATGTAGACGCCCTAAAGAGAGCCACCGTAAGAGAGATAGACTCACTCGACTCGTCACTCGACTGTCACTCGTCACTCAGCCATCACGAGAGAGTTCACACAGCTTTCGACCGGCTTATTGAGACGACGAAACTCCCCTTTCGCTCATTTCTTCTACTCATTTTTTCAACTTTTCAATCGCTCATTTCTCCGGAACTCAGCTTTGTTGTACAAAGCGAACATCCATCTGATGAATAAACAAGAGCGCTCTTATCAAAGGCAAGAAGACTCGTTCGACATGTGGGCTGGTGTCATGGACGCCAATGATCAGGATATTCCTGAATTCTTCACGGCCAAACCGAAGCGTCGAGGACTCAGGCTCGGTCGGAAGAAGTCCAACGTGATTGTTCGAAATGCAGGCCACATCATGCCTTTTCCTGTAAACGTTGCATTCGAAAAGTTCTCCGACTTTTCACGTCATTCCGAATGGAATCCTTCCATCAGCAGTGCGACCTACATAGATGACTCTCGCACCAAAGTTCGATGGACACGCGAGACGATGGGCTTCACCATTGGCTGGTCAACCATTACCACAGTCAAAGACCCGAACAAGGCACTGGCGTGGAAGAGCATTGAAGGAATCAAATTAGAAAACCGAGTCATTTTCCAGTCCGTCGATGAGGGCAAGGGTACACTGATGATCATGTCTACCAACTACAAAGTGCCAGAGAAAGTCTTTGTTCCATCACGCAAAGTGGTTGGAAAGTCAAAGACCCGAGCGTACAACAATACATATGAAAGTGATCAGATGAAAGAGATCCTGGTGCGTTTTGGCGAGATTGTCGCGAAAGAGCTGAAACATGATGAAATGTACTTTCTTTAGGTGGTTAAAAATGGTGCGTGCGATGGTTTATGGGCAATCACGGTCTCGTTTAGTTTAGTGTAGTTTAACACAGGGAAGCATTCAATATAAACAGTGAATCAAGAGTACTCTTCTTTGCCTCGTATTGTCGTATTATTGTGAAGCTTCTAATGAGTTTCGTAGCGCAATCGAATCTAATGGCAAAGTAAACTACATAAAGTGGACGAGAAGAAGAAAACTAAAGTTTGCTCGAGATGCAACCGAGTTTCATCAATTGTGCCGGCTTCAATCCATAGTTTTTGCTGTGCGGTGATCACAGTGGCCCAAACCCTTTCCCAACGTCAACCGTCGGCCTCTACTTTGCAGTCTTTGGAGAGCAAGCAAATCGAGCTAGAAGATACTAGCTAGTAGTAGTGAAGTGGACCATGCCGGAAGGAGAGAGCGATAGAACCAAGCGCGTCAAGCGTGAGCTTGATGAGGAAGATAAAGGGCCGGATACCCATGTTTCGTCCACAACAACGAAGAAGAAGAAGAAACGGCCACTTCCGGATTTCCGAGATATACCCACACCGGGGCACTACCAAGTCTCCTTTATGCATAGATCTGTGGTGACCCATGTCATTACGTCCTGGAAACATGCATATGTGGTCACTGCATCCAGCGATGGAATTGTGAAATTTTGGAAGCGTACTCAGGTTGTTCCACCCGAAACCAAGGGCGACGATCTCAAGAAAGACAAGGGCTCCACACCATGTCTTGAGTTTGTCAAGAGCTTTACAGCTCATGTCGGTCCGGTTTCAGCACTGGTCATGGAGGAAGTAGACGCTGATGTTTGTGTGTCTGTTGGGCATCAGGACGGCATCATTAAGCTCTACGACGTTTCGACGTTTGATGCTACTGCCATGATCAAAACCAAGGAACCCATTGGTTCTCCCCACGCATCCTTCTTTCGGACTGTGACAACCAAAGGATTATTTCTGGCAGTGGCTTCATCTCAAAAGTTGGATGGCAGGATCTTTGTTTTCTCCATGGATGACTCCAATCTAGGATTAGTCCAGACCATCCAATTGCACGCGACAGCCACCATTACTGCAATGGCATACAATGCACCGAATAATGCCATGTATTCAGCGGATTCCAAGGGTATCTTGGAGGTATGGGATTGCAGTGGGACGAACAGCGACAATCATACGGAAGCACAAGCATCGACCGACAATGAGGATGACCCCAACCACAACGACTTGGCTGCAAGAACCATCAGTGTGGGGGCGCCGTGCACAACCAAGGTTAATGGTATCAGCTACGCATCCAAGATGGATACCCAACTCTATCAACTGGTCAAAAACAAGACCTATGCCATTGCCATGTGTGTCCTTCCCAAAACAGGAACTCATGTATTTGTCTATGGCGCCGACAATCGAATTCGGATTTTCCATCATGCTTCTGGAACTGTGGTTGTGAAATATGATGAACGACTCACAGTATACGACAAGTCATTTTCCAAATACAATATGGACTCCATGGACTATGGGAAACGAGCCGCTACAGAGCGCGAAATGGCAGGCACAAGTATGTGGAAAGGAACGGACGACTCGTCGTCGAGCAACAATGCCCTGCTACAACGCTTATCCCTGCAGGTGGACCCGTCAGGGCGATATTTGCTCTTGCCAACACTACTCGGGGTGAAAGTGATCGACTGGCAGCGCAACAAACTAATAAAAATTGTTGGAAAGTCGGATGCAAGCCAGCTGAGATTCATTGGAGTGTGTCTGTGCTGGGGAGATGCTAAAATCAATCGACAGATGCAATTGGCTCGGGGTGTCGCAGCGCAGTCATCAGATGCCAAGGAAAAATCTGCCGAGGATGGGATCAAAATTGAAAGCGATGCTCTGATTGTGACGCTGGCATATGACAAACGTCGTTTCTACGTCTTTAGCCACTTGGATCCATTGAAACAGGCAGACGAATCGGAGAACGATACAACCGCAGAGAACGATCCCGCTGCAAGGCGTGATATTTGGAACGAACCACCAACAGCGGAAGATCGTTTGGGAATGCGTGCTGGCGATATGGGCGGACAGTACCAAGATGAAGCTTCCAGCAAGTTGGGAAGTACCGCGATCCTCCGAACCACAATGGGAGATATTCACATCAAACTATTCACATCCGAGGTCCCAAAGAGTATTGAAAACTTTTGTGGGCATGCGAAATCAGGTTACTATGACAATGTCATCTTCCATCGAGTTATCAAAGGTTTCATGATTCAAACAGGAGACCCGCTTGGAGACGGCACAGGAGGAGAGAGCATCTGGGGCGGAGAATTCGAAGATGAATTTGTCAGAGAGTGAGTCTCCATTGCCGTATCCAAGAATTTGTTATGCTTTCTGGCCATGATCGCACTGCCTCACTGAAGTGTTGTTTGTTGTTGCCATTCTCGTACACCAGTCTAAGGCACGATCGTCCCTTTACAGTCAGCATGGCGAATGCAGGACCGGGAACAAATGGGTCGCAGTTCTTCATCACCACAGTGCCGACTCCTTGGTTGGACAATAAGCACACAGTGTTTGGCAGGGTTGTGAAAGGGATGGATATATGCCTTCTGATAGAAAATGCAAAGACGGATGACGGAGACAAGCCACTGGACGAAATCAAGATTCTGAGCATTGACGTAGAGTAGTAGTGCTACATGTATTTGTTGGTGTACCTCTAGATATGTTTCCCGTTGACCCAGGGGCGGCGTTGGATACGGTAGTTGGAAATAGACACCTGGACCGCGTGTGACCTACTAAATGTTGGCATGAGAACCTAGACTATTTGAAACGGAGTGTTTCAGAACGCGCGTGCAAAAGCATGCCCGAAGGACCAAGGGGCTGACGAGCCGATGAGTCGTTGCCCTACTAGGCCTACCGGTACCTACTCGTACTTTCCACATTTGGATATGACTATCCAGCTTTCAAAAGAAAAAATTACACCTCATGATCATGGTGTTGAAGCACGACAACGGGGATGACTGTCAGCCTTCATCATTGGCAAATGCTGGGGGGGATTCTCTTGTACGTGAGTGATTGCAAGCAACACGAACTCTAGGCCCCCGTTTGCAGCAACACCGTGCTGAGTTTGGTTGTCACACCTCGAATCGCTAGCACTTGAACCACTCGAAACGAACCATGGATCGTTTGCCATCAAAAAAGCATTCCTAGCTAGCTGGTAAACGTACAAAGTACTGTTCTGTTCCTAGTAAAATGTTTACTGTTCTAATGTTTCAGCGGTTAACCACTTCATGAAGTCCTCCTAACATCATCTTTGATTCCGCGTCGCTCTCTGTTGCCTGAAGTCCGTACCGCAGTATCCCGTTAGTCAAGCCGGACCTTGCTCTTACCGAAGAGTTTCCATGTAACAGCATTGCACGTTCCTCCTCCAGCGCTGGCTACCTTTTCGGTCAAATTGTTGTCCCCGCTTTGCGTCATGTGGCTCATTCGATGGTACGATGATTCGTCTTCATCCGCTGATACGAGCCAACCAAGAAGTAGCAAAGAAGTTGATTGGAGCACAGCACAAGCAATAATTACCGTAGGGTGTCTTTGATGAAACGCAACGAAATTATTGCACATGAAAGTGATGAGTGGCAATCCCTGGAACCAGATTGTTCCCACAATAGCAAAGCGGAAATAGAATGAATGAAGAGCGTTGTGTGTACACTTGAAGCGTGTCATAACTGTGGCCGCCAGCATGACGATACCCGCAAAGGATCGCAGACCCATTAGCACTTTACCGGGGGCATGTTCCAAGTCGTGGTAGCTGTCGAAATCGTCCTGGTAAGAAAGTCCCCAGTGCGCCAGCGTCAAGTGAACCATGATCGATCCTGCATAGAGCGTGCTGAACGGATTGATCCAGCTCTTCGCCCCAGTCGGATTGGCCAATCCAACAAGGATTTTCTGAATTACTGTCGCATTGTCTTGGCTATGCTGGACAGAAATGACATCAGTTGGCAGAGTCCATCCAGAGGCGATAGCCAACAACAGGAAGCAAATCATTCCGTCGCAAATTGCATCGGTGTAAGCCGACAATTCCTCCAACCAGAACCAAGATTCACCATCGTAGCGATAAAAGTTCAAATGCATCAATTGAAACACCGACGCAGCAATGTAAAAAGTGATAGCTCCCAGAACCATGAAGTTGGACACATGGACAATCCCAGACGAGGTCAAATCGCAGCCAATTTTGAACAAAAGCATGAAGCACAAAGCGGCACCAAAGAGCATGGTGAATGTGTGAACTCGGCTCAACGAAAATTCGTCCGTAGAAAAATGTGTAATGGCTTTTTCATTGAGCATGTTGTAAATTTGGAGATAATATTTCACCCGGGGCATGGTAGCGCGGTACTCGCCCTCCAAGCTGCAATCATCCATGACAACATACCAGTAGTGATGGCGAGGCACGTAGTCAGTTGATTCCTCTTCGACCGGCTCAATTCTCAAGTGAGTCTCGGACCTCCATCGTGGCTTCTTGTATCCCCATTCTTTCATCTGTGTTTCTGTCTCTGTATCAAAGGTGATATCAACCGTGTCGCGGGCAAGTTGTGCCTTTTCTTGGCAGGTCGAAAGTCTCTTGACATTAACCCAATCATCGTCACGATAGAGTCGCAGTTTGAGGTTCTGTTCGTTTGGATATCTTTCCGTTGAAAGCAACACTACCTGCATCAGGCCAGTTGCTCCTTCAGCAATCGAATAGCTTGTGATAACCTGATCGGGTTTGGTATTAGTCAAGGAGAATCCGCCGGTGTTGGTTGTGGCCAAGGCCGCAGGAGCTCCAAGGAGCATCCATCCCAGAATACCGATGCATCGGCTTTTCTTTCCAAGGAATGTCATTCTCTCAATCAAACTGCTTGTTCAGGGTTGCAGATTATTGTGGTCGATGTTGGTCGAGCGCAATGTTGACTGCTCAGCAAAAGATGTTTCGCTTCCATGTTAGCGAAAGATTTGGGGCGATTTGTGTGAACGGTCAAAAGAGATGGCAGGACCGAGGACCCTGTTCTAATTACCATGAGCGCTAGTATGTTCCGTAAACACCCAACGGTAACTGCCGGGGGACACACAGTCGCTATCCCACGGCGATCATTTTTCATCCGTGTGTAAAGACAGTCCGGTACATGTATCGTGTCGTGATGTTGGATCCGGCCAAGCTATGATACAGCAGCTAGCGGAACTGTACCGGTACACCGGTACCGGTACATGTATGCATACATACGAAGGCCTTAATTAAAAGGGTACGATAGCTGTACAAGCATGCCGTGACGAGAACAAAGTGGCACCAGGTCGGAAAGTTGCAAACTGAGCATCTCGCTCTCGCGAAGCACAACCTACGCAAGCTCGAATAACTCATTATCCAGGCACCAGCCAGACCATGGATGATGATGATCAGTCCTAATTGCCCGTTACACAGAAGCCGAAGTTGGCAAGGTTGGGGATCTCGATTCTGTGGCAGCAACATGTATGACATACATGTATACGTACTGCGGGACCGTCCGACGGTTTTCACACAGGATTTAAAAAATCTTAAAATTTCCATGACTGACTGACCGTTTATAACAATCCCTTAAACAATCCCTTAACTCATCAACTATCCCTTAAACAATCCCTTAAAGAAACAATCCCTTAAAACAATCCCTTAAAGCTTGGACTATCCCCTAAACAATCCCTTAACGCCAAATGGAAATACCATACAACTATCCCCTATTTCTTCAACTATCCCCTAAACAATCCCTTAAATAAACAATCCCTTAACAACAATCCCTTAAATCTTTGACTCTCCCTTAAACAATCCCTTAAGAAACAATCCCTTAATTGTGCTGGTCAAGTTTTTTGTCAGTCGTGGAAGCTTTTTAAATCCTGAGTGAAAACCGTCGGACGGTCCGGCACAGTACGTGTATACGTTCATACGTTCACTAATACCAGTAGAAACTAGGGTTATTTGAGAAAGATGTTTGGGTACCAGGTACACTGCCTAGACCTCCACCAATTTAAAACCCTAGTAGCTAGCTAGAAGGATAGGCTTAAACTCCTGTCAGCGTGGGTTCTAACGGATTCTAACGAAGGCACAACGCAAGCTTGGATGCCAAATCTGTGTAGGTTGCTGCATTTTAAAACTTGGCTTCTTTTTGAAATTTGTCGACTCATGAACCTGAAATCCAACCTGTACAATTAAGTATCCCACCATTTGCCATCGGCTGATTGCATCCGCTATTGTACGGAAGCATAATCCTGTTGGTACCCATTGCATTTTGCATTATCAACCATAACCGTTGCATTATCCACCAAAGTTCCCAAGGCTCAAAAAGATGGACAACCAACTTATTTTGAATAGGCAGGAATGAATTCGACCGCACCAGTCTTGGTGTTGACTCTTGTCTTTTTGATTTGTCGCAGTTGTTTCTTGGACATGGTCTTGAGCGTAGACTTTAGCTTGGAGTTGTTCAAGCTCTGGGAGAGTTTCTTGGCATGCTCATACTCATTTTCGGTTCTTCGTTTTTCATTCTCCAAACGACGTTCCTTCTTGTCTCGAATGGCTTTCACTCGCTCTTCTGTCAACTGTTTTTGGAGTTCCAGCACTTCTTTGCGATGCAATTTTTCAGCCCGCCGTTGTTCCCACGTCTTCGTTTGATTGTTTACTTTTGTTTTCGTCAGACTTGAAGAACGTTTAGTTGCCACCTTCTTCCAGCTGCGTCCTGAAGCATTTCGCCCTAGAGGAATTTCAGCTTTCATCTCTGATTTGTTTGCTACTGCCGTAGTGGTTGAAGTCGTCATGGTGGCAGCTATTAATGATCTATGGAAAATAATGTGCTGTTTGACTTTGTTTTTGTTCTTTGTGGGAGTGAGCACTTCAAGTTCGGTGGCTGCAGCGCAGGGCCCATTACCCATTCGACCCACCTGACCAACACAGCTCAAGCAGCTCTGCTAGCTTCTCTGTTCTCTGCCGGGAGTTCGAAGTCAGCTACAGTACCTCATCAAGCCAATTTTTGTGCTGTACCAGATACCAGGTACCACTAAGTGTGTGCACCCTCTTACCTTGACTTGCTTTGGGAGCCACTGCTGCTATGGCAGTTCCTGCTTTTGGTGGTACCTACACTTGTTTCTCTTTGGGGCAGCGTTGGTTCATCTTCACGGCACACAGAAGGACCGGTCTGTCAATACTTCTGGGCCCTTGAGGATTGCAAGCACAACAATCATGCTTGTGTCTTGTTCCATTTTGGCAGTTTGCGTCCTCTGGCTGGTGGTTGCAAGCGCCTAATAGTAAGATTGGGTCCTCTGGTTTGTCTGTGCCAGTTTGCTCGGTGATACTGGATCACTCAAACCCTTCAACCCATCACATCTGGCCTCTGTTGGCTCCAGCAAGAAGGACTCCTGCTTAGCTATTAAAGATCTCTTAGTAGGGTTACATGTATGTGCATAGTCGATGCAAGCAACCAACGCCGGTCAGTTGGTGCCTTCACCAACACTGGAGCAATGGCCGGAAATCTTTCGATGGACTTAATTTCCAAACAACACAGCCAAAACGTGACTTCCTGATCATGTTGCATCCTTTCCCGTAACGGTGTTCAATCCATAATAGGTGCTTCAAACACCCCTTAGCCGCCGTCTACGGTGCAAACTGTCGTTCTCCCGTTTTGCCAGTTTGGTCATGTCCTTGACAGTGATGATTTGTCGTCGCTTTTGTCGTCTTTCGAGAGCCGGCCACTCGATCTCTATAATGCCACCCTGTATGACTTCCCTGTCTGTTGGGGCGGGTGTTGGGGAATCCACTGTGGGTGGTGATGATGGGAGGGCTGATGATGGGAGGGATGACGGGAATGCTGATGGCTCTGATGGACTTTGAGTGGGTGACAAAGTCGGCAATTGAGTAGGTGATAATGTCGGTCTCAGCGTTGGCGAAGCTGAAGTAGGAGCAGCAGAAGGTTCCCTAGTTGGATCGCGCCCGAGCTGATGGCACCTGGATTGTTGCACGCCATCGTCAAGGTAAATGCTCACCCACGCGTAGTCAATGGGAGAATACGGCGAAAGGGTTTCTCCAAAAATGGCTTGTCGTGCCATTGAAATGACGGACGAAGCTCCTTCTGCAGTACCCACCTCGCAAACCTCGACAACAAGATCGAGTCCTGTTCCCTTGTAGTTGCTTAGTTGTTGTGCTTGGCCAGATGCGAGGCCAGCAATGGCTTCCGAGTCTGAAACATGATCTCTTGCGTATGTGATGGTGACCGTATCAGCATTCATACCGGTATCAATGTTGATTCCTTTGGCTCGGTTGTATTGAACGTAGTAGTTCCCCACCCTGATAAGGACAACATCCGACTGGTGCATTGGTTTGTCGTAGTCCACGAATGTGACGAGCCGAAACAGTCGAGAAGACTCTACAATGGGGTCAATGTGCACTGCCCTGTCCTGGAACCAACCAGAAATCCAGTTTTTGTGGCCATTGAAGCACTTCAACGGAGACCCGACTTTGTACACAGTAAAGCCAAGGTAACCACTTTCATCGCCATATGATTCTGATTCAAACCCTGAATGTCGAAATCCTAGATTGTGGGCAAGCTCATGGATGACAACTGCAAGCGGGTGAGTCTCAATGAATCGATCTCATGACTGCTTGCCTCAACGATGAAACTACTTACCAGACATGGCTGAACATCGGCGCTTTTGGAAGAAACTCCAATGAGAGTGGAAGTATGTAAAGGCTGTCCACTTGGAACTTCCATCCATAAGCGCATCGTCAGGAATGCAGTAAATGATGTGATCAAACTGATCCAGAGAACCAACTCGTTCTTCAGTTGCTTCCAAAATGTCATCTTGAAGTGATCCAAGGATTTCTCCTCCGGCGACAGGCTTTTGCATTCTCACGTGTGTTACCCCATTTTGAATATTGTTACCAGTTGCCGGTTGAAAGTCCAAAGCTCCAAAGGAACAATCTCGGTACTGAGATGCAAAATCATGGCCGGGCGCTCTAGATCCAGTGCCAAAAATGGATCCTTGAATATCTACCATGGACAGTTCTGGGTGCTCGTTCATACTAGTTGTGAGTTGCACTGCCAGCACGTTTCTTTTCCCCGCAATGGGAGCCAGGTGGCCACTGAGTCGGCGACGGTTCGAGATCATAGAAACTGCTGCATCTTCGTCAATGACAACTCTGTGACTGTTGCCATCGACGTATCCTTTGGAAATGCAAATGGTGGCATCTGCTTCATCCAGTTCCTCGCGGTGGGTATTAGCAAAGGGCTGTGGCAACTCGATTCGGTATCCAGCTCGACTTTTGTGGTAGGAGTGTCCCTGCAATCGACATAGGTAGAGTTCATCGCCTTTCGATGCTGTGGATTGTTGTGGAGCCCCGTCATTCTCCGCTCCGCCATCGTAGAGATATCCAATGACATCAATCAAGCAGACTAGTTGACACTGCTGATTGCGACGATGGTTATCCTGAAGCGAGCAAATTATATCCATGAGAAATTGAGAAATCATTTACCAAACTAGACAAAATGCTACCGTTTTTGCTCACCTTGGCAACCACTTCTTCTTGTGAGAATTCTGTCGACTGGACACCCTTCATGCCGGCGAGGATGATAACCGAAGGAAGAAGAAAAGACCACATCATCATTGAGCTAAAGTTGGGGCAAAACTATTAGTAGAACGATGTCAATTCGGACAATTGTTCTTCTTCGCAGACCGTCCAGAAAAGTAGGGAACAACTGCAACAAAGAATGAGAGGGCAGAAACGGCCATCACAATTCAAAAGAATAATGTGACGATCTCCTCTTTCCTTGCCCGTTGCAGCCAACAAAATGCCAACAAATGCCGATGGCACGCGAGGCACGCGATCATTCTTTTGGCGCGAATTTGGGTCTTGCCAAAGACTAGCTACCGGTAGGCCACTTCCAAGCTTCCAAGGCGCAACAGAGGACGCGCTCGACCCTCGACGCTCGACCTTCGACACTCTTGCGACAGCTCTGCGACTCGACTTCACAGACATGTAGATAGCTTGAAGATAGGTAGCTAGCTAGTAGGTCGAGCTGTTTGGGAGATCTACGTTGAATGCATTTGCTTCAAAGAACTGATCGTCGAGTTCTATACCGATGCTACGGGTACACAGCACGAGTGCAAGAATGCTTGCTTCCTCGAATGCGGCCAGAAGAGGTGCGGGCTGCATTTCTGGTAGCTACGGTACAGTACCGCCGTACAGTACGGTACGTTTCCTACTTCAGTGTGTGGTGCTCTATCGTACCGGTACAGCCGGTACCGGTAGGTATCAGCCGCGCATCTACTACATGTAGGTAGCTTATACCTCGGAACACCCAAAGAAATCAACGTAACACATGATCGGTTGAGCTACTCAGGCGTCGCATCTCGCGGGAATAGAAAGGGCGACAAACGGAGAGTTGTTCAGCCGCTTCATCGCGTCGTTTCCGCAACAATGGATCTGAGTAACAGAGACGGAGGAGGCATAGTTGGTTCCATTTCAACCGAGCGAAAGTGGCTGGAGCCACGTTACGTTGATGCGGTATTGCAATCCAGTAGGATTTCGATAATTTGACCATGGTGAGGAACGGCTTGGAGCGTACACTGAAGATAGGTCAATGCGAGGCTGAGCTTGACGACATCAACACCTCTCTTCAACGGATAATGGCAAACACGATGCACTTGTTGTCAAAGAAACAGCACGAAATGGATCGCTGGAAAAAGCTTGCCGCACTCATGTGGGATAATCCGAAGAAACAAACAACTGTGGAGACTAGGACCGAAGAAGATCGGCCCCAGTCACAAGACAGTCCTCCTTCTACTAGTAGCAATACTATCCCGGATGCTCTCCCCCCTGATGTTGGGACTGCCCTTTCCAAAGAACTTGAAAACAATGTTTCAAGCAAGAACGGAAGCACAGAAGTGGAAGATGTGAATCTGGCAAAGCAAACTACCAGCCAGGGACCAACGGATGATTACTCTCAATCTGTGAGCGAAAGGGATGTCAGCACTATCATCAGCAGTTCTCCCTTGAATGAGAGCATTCTTTCAGCAGAGACAGTGTCCAAACTTGGTCGTGTGAGGCAGCGGGAAACAAAGGTGAGAGGAATCCTTTCCGAGATGAGGAAGCGGGTTTTGTGGGCTGCAACAGATCAAAGTCAAGAGACGTGAGACATTTTGAGTCGAGTCTATTGCATCAATTTTAGAAATACGCTGCCGGTAACAGGCTGACAATCGATGTATCAAATGTATGTTGCCAGCTAAACGGTTTGGTATCTACCATACCATGGCGTCCCGCTGGTAATGGCACGGTATATATAGCCAGAACCTATAAGGTATGGTACATGTAGCTACATGTAGTAGATAGATACGGTATATTCCTGTACCGGTACGCATTTTGCCAAGTGTAGCTGAAATCACGAGCCGAGTCCCTATTGCGTCCCGTAACATTGTGACATCCCCAGACACGGATACTAGCCGTTGGCACGAGAAAACTTGCTGGCTTGTCGAGTTTTCTCTCGCACTCTCTTCTGGTCTTCAACAGAAACATCACAATTCTGGATCCCCACCATGCCTGAAGCAAAAACTAACAGACGTAAATCAATCCTCAAGAGGCTAAGCTTGAAGCCGTGGCTAGGTCGCTTGCGCCGAAAGTCAGCAGAAACAGGACTTCGGTCACCAACAGGTGTCGCTGATATTTTTCAAGAGCATGTCGATGACGCACCTTTCAAAGAAAAACCTAGTACAATTGTCCAAGACATCAACGTGGAAATACCCTCATCGGGAGAAGAGAATAAGGAGAACCTTCAAGTTGCCGCTAAAGTTCCTGCCAATCATGATGTAGTGGATGAGAAAAGAGGGACGATCCTTCGAGATTTCTCTTCTTCAAACGTCGTCGGCAGAGACCATGCTGATGCCTTTTCGGGCACCGTCTTCCTGCCGAGCTTTCATCGAGTCAGTCCCTTGAGCTGGGGTAGCACCGGCAATTCCATTTTTGGGCAACAGAGTTCTAGCGCAAACATTACCAGTTCGACGGAAGATCAAGTTTCGGCATCATCAACATACTTCACTCCGGTTAACAAAGATGACAACGAAGTAAACAATGATGAGGTAGAAGAAGATAATGAGAAAGAATCTGATGAAGCCAAGGAATGGGCAAACGGCAGATGCATGGTAGAAGAATCGGATACTACTGACGCTGTGGTTGGTGATCAGGAGAGCGCACAAGACCCCGCACAAGTTTCATCCTTGGGCCCGCAGATCGGTACCCGTATGAATAATGGACAGCCAGAAGTCAAGGGCAACGCTGGAATGACCAGAAGTGGAGAAACGGATGAAGACGAAGTTGGTATGCCTAGCACCGGAGACTTAGATGTAGAGGAATATTTAGATCAAGGCAGCGACGAAGATAAAGCCACCCCAAGGAAGACGAAGGCGCCATTCAAGGAAGACTCTCACGTTGACAATGACGCACAATTAACAGATGATTTTGATATTCAAACAGTAGGGTCCTTTGAAACTGCCATCCAGAGTGAACGGGAGACCAAAGCAATAGTTCAAAAAGTGTTAGATACTTCTTTGGACACGGTGCCTCAACCCTCGGAGCCAGACGACAATTTATGTGTGACCGCGAAAGGCACAGGAGAATCACGCCAGACGGAACAAGGAGGCGTTGATGATGAGGATCAACACAAATGCACAAGTGGGATCACAGAGACGAAGGCGGGAACCTCCCCAGGGCAAGATGACAATGATGCGCCCGAAAATCCTAATGACGGTAACGAAACCGAAGCAGAGAAGGATCAAGAAACCCCACAAGACGATGATGTGCACGAAAATCCCGGAATGGAAACCAACAGAAACAAAACCGAAGAAGACAAGGACGAATCAACCCTTGCTGATCAGGCTGATGAAAGCATGAATCCAGAGGAATTGTTCAAGAAAGGAGAAACCGTGCTTGTGGACATCGTGAAGGGGAAGTATAAAAGTTCCAAACAAGCGAAGATCATTGACATTAGGAAGCGTATCAAGCTCCTCATCAGTGGCGAAGAGCACTGGCTCAACCGATCGTCTCTGGAGTTCAACGGGAAAACATTTCCAGACCACGTAGATCAGGGCGCACAGCAGAAACCAAACAAGACGGCGCCGAATCCTCCAGAGTCTTGCACATTCCAGATCCAGATCTACGAAAGGGTCAACATCGTCAAGGGAAAATATGAGGGCCAAAGCGGCACTGTCATGGAGATAAAAACCAGGATTAAAGTATTGCTTGATGGAACTGGCGAGAATCCGTGGTTAGCCAAGACATCCTTGGACGGTCTTGGCGTACAAGCAGACCCAATCCCGACACAGAGCCAGGCAAACGGAACATCGTCAGAGAAACCCAGCGGCACCAAAAGGGAGACGTCAACTGGACGAACCAGCGGAACCTCGAGGGCAAGGTCGAAAACTACTAATCCTGCAGCTTCGGCATTGATAAATGAAGATTGGCGTATCGCGAACAGCGAAAAAGGTGGCGACAGCTTTGGAGCGTGGCGAGTGTTTAAACTTAAACTCAAATCGAACCCTGAAGAAGCAAACCTGCTGTCTCATTGGTTGCAAGGTAGAATGCTTATCTGCGAGATTCCTTTGGACAAAGAAGAGCTGCCGGTGCTTACTGAATCCCCTCCGAAGATAGTTGAAAAAGACGGGTCAAAATTCGAGCTGATCGTTTCTAAAATCCAAAGCGATGGGGACAGAGTAGCTCCTGCTGGTGCGCCTGCATTGCAGTGCATTCATCTGTATTACTGCCAAGTGGAAGGTCCGGGTTTGCAGCCGATCGCGCTTCAAGAGGAGCTCGAGAGAATCGCCGACTTCGGCGGCCTCAATCCGGCAAAGGTTTGTCCCAGGTTGGAGCTGCTTGTGAGCCCTGCATACAAATGTACGGCAAAACGCCAAGATGGAAAGACCCACAGCATCTTTGTCCTAAAGCAGAGTACCTTTGGTGAGATTGAAGAAAACGGCAACGAAGGTTGTGGTTTCATCTCCAGAGACTTATTGGAAGAGTTCCTTGGCAACGGGGTAGCCGCAAAGCGCACATATGCCATTCAAGTGAGAGGTTTCTCTGCCCTTGGTATGTTCAAAGGCATGCTGGTCACCAAGCTTATGACACCAGGCGAACCCGCCATCCAGATTCCTTCATCAATGATTGTGGTAGGTCCTTCGAGGTCGAGTGACCCTGAAGAGAAAGCGCTTCTTATTATCAACCGGAATGGTGTCCACCCCAACAACACCAACCGGCAATTGGGCAAGGTTTTGCAAGGAGATGGCGCCTGCAAAACTTTCAAAGACCAGCAAGGAAAGAAGAAGATCTCCGAAATGTTCCACCGGCTTTGGACTGGATTGGGCGTTCCCAAGGAAACTCTCCTCGAGTACACCAAGCGATGCAGAAAAGTAGAAGAGCAAAACCATGGATTTGTAGTTGGGCTTGCAGACCCAACGTCCGAACTGCCCCATGGCACTGTCTTCATTCCCGGTTTGGACCACACAGGTGAAATTTTTGTTACTCGGTCGCCTTGTATTGAAACATCAGATGGCAGATTGGTCCCTGTCGTCACTTCAAAACCAGACCAGATGTCAGCAGAAAACTGGGAAATGCTGCAAGAGCTCCCGTTTGGTGCAATCATCTTTTCCAATCCCAAGCCAGGTATGACTCCAATGCCTGTCCTGATCGCTGATGGTGATCTAGATGGCGACCTCTACTTCATCTGCTGGCATAAACCTATCATCGAGCAAGTCACGGTGAAGCCCATGGTCGACGTGCCATATAATGACAGCAAGAAAGCCTTCCCATATCAGCGTGATTGGCTGTCAAGCGCACAAGAGCGTATGGTCGATGCTGAAGCGTCTCTGAAAGTGGCACAGGTCATTGGTAAGCTTTACAATAAGGCCATCAAGATTGCACAAGAAGCAAAAGAGTCCTCCAACTTCCTCGAGGATAAGGACTACCGAGCATATGCCAAGGCGTACAAAGAGTCTCTCAAGATTGGAAAGCACGGAGGTAAGGTGCCTCTCCCAGCGCGACTTCATGACCAGCTGCCTTCAAAATTTCGTGATATCCTGGCGGACACTGAGGGGTAGCCGGTCAAGAGACAAGCCCCCTTTGCCGCATTTATTAATTGACTAGTCCAGTACCACCATTGCCTTGGAACCATCTTCCGTGATTCTAGTTTTGTCGCAAGATATTGATTGGCACGTAGACTGAGAACCCGCGACTCCGAATGGGCAATCGCAATAAAACCGTGTGTAGGACCCAACAAAGGTTTTGTGGTCGCGGTGGCAGTGAACCAGGCAGGCATGACAGATCCCTCGATTCAGTGCAGGGATCAGCTTGCAGTCGATGCAGTGATACATTGCTTGAAGAGGAACACCCTGTCCCTGACTGAAGCGCTTCGAGTGTTGTTTCACAATGCAACAATCGAAGCTGCACTCCTGATCCGTTCTTCCATGACTGGTCTTTGATTTTTTGCTGAATGGTCTTCCGTTGACAAACCGAAGGTGTCTGGGTTCATCAGTCTCGTAGGAGTACAATGCCGCCACAGATGAGCTCCATTTTCCAATTCCTTTGGCGTCGACTTCCACCAGGGATGGCAGCCATTTGACAGTCTCAGCCAGGACATCTGAGCTAATCTTGGGGCAGTTGTTGACATCGAGCACAATCAATGAATCAAGGGCACCTATGGCCACGATAGAATATTTTGTCAATTGGGGAAGAGCAGCAATCTTCAAAGACCGTATAGTACATGGAGCGTTGCCCTTCTTCGCTGTCCTTTGAAGTGTGTTCTGTCCGCTGCCTGGATAAACGTTTTCCCAAGTCCCCTGATGTTGGCACAAGGCAAGGATGCCATGATCAGATATCTGAAAGCATGCCGAAAAGTCGACATCGGCAAGATTGGTACAATATCGTCCGACTGCTTTCACGGCGTCGTCCCCAATGCAACACGCCCGCATCTCGAGACATGTCAAGGAATTGGCACAGACGACCGCCAAGACTTGGACTTCCCAATCTCGAATATGCTCGCAACCGGATAGGTAAACCTCTCGCAAGGCTCCCATGGAACGACAGGCAAAATACGGGAGAGCTCCAACGACTAGGCCGCGACGTGGAGTTCCAATCCCATTAAAGTTGATGCGTGCCAATTGCGGTAATGCTGGCTTGGCTTCCTCAGGGTATCCTTCTGGAAAGCATTGTTCCGTCCACAGATTGGGAGATATTTGCGTTGGATCATTCATTCCTCCAAAAGCGGATCGAGTCCAGCGGGCGAGAAGATTAAAGCGCAGCAGCTCACATCCAGCGAGTTCCAAACTTTCCAATGTGGTGGCTGCCAAGAGTAGCCACGTGGTAGCTTGTTCTGTGATTCGCTTCAGCCCGGAGAGATCGAGATAGCGTAGTTGTCGTAGATTTTTGATAATGGTAGAGACACATTGATCGCTGATGGATTGGGAACAGCCACCCAACCCGAGTGTCTGAAGGTTTCGGAACCGTGGGGACCGGGCAATTGCCAACACAATGGCTTCATCAATTCTGTAGCATCCTTGAAATGTGAGATGTCGAATGGCCGAAACTTGATCGGAAGATTTATTGACTGAGGTATCTGCTGACGAATGCATAGGTGGAGGCATAAGAGCTCTCTGGAGCATTGTTGGATCGAGCAACGCACAACCTGAAAAATCAATGCTGATCAAAGTATGGGAGAGCTGTGGCCCTTGAAAGATTTGTTTTAGCCAATCACCCTGGTTTCCCACCACATGGCGCATACCCGAGAATTCAATTCGTTGCAGCTTGGTTCTTCCTTTTAAATCTGCCTGTGATAGTATCACATCCATCAGTTGTCGAATGCAAGATTCTTGATCTTTGCGAGTATTTTTCTTGGCCGAGCTTCCATGATTGCGACACCGATCCATTTGCAACAGATAGCTAAAGTGGAGTGCAGTTGCATTTGATAGAGCAATCTGAGCCGCCTGGATCAGGGATTTATCCTGGGTTTCAAGAACATGAATGAGGTCGGGGGTATCCGAGAAGGAAAGGATTTCGGCTACCAGAGCCTCGTTCAGCCTCGGTAGGGGATATCTGATAATTGCCATCTTCTGATCTTACTTTTGTCTTGTTTTGTTTTGTGACAGTGTTGTTGTGTACAGTTGTGTGCGAGGAAGGGAAAGGATAGTATCATCGTCGTCGACATCCCTCTTTCTTGGTCGTCTTTTCGTCGATGAGCGAAGCAGATGATGATTCGATTCGAATGATTCTGGGTGTCTTTTGCCAGCTGTCGTGTCACGAAGTTGAGAGAGAGGGCGGGCTCGGGTTTACGGCACCTCCTACATGTACTGGTACCTTGGTACCAGTACCAATCGACTCGATTGACTCAAAACTGGACTGACTCGACTCGACTCGACATAGTTCGATCTCATTCCATTCCATTCCGAAGATATTTGAGAAGCCCTCGAAGCATCAAAGATCCGATCTTTGAGGGGGAAAGAAGGCATCGGAAGACCAATTTCAATAAATCAGTTAAAGTTTAGGTTTAAGATAATAATTGTGTAGTATTCATAAAGCAGTTCCCTGTGCTAGGCAGATCCCTCACACGTGTCCGGATGAAAAAGGTTGTCACCAACCAAAGTAGATCATAAAGCGACTATCTCGCTGCTCAGGCAAGAAAACCACATAGCCAGGTACCGGTAGGTAGAATTTGCTATTCAGAAGATCCAATCTTTGACCACGAAACCACGAAAGATACCTCGCTCAGGCGCGAACTGCGAACTGGCACCTCCGCCTTTATATTACTCAGGAATACATTATTTTATTCAGCCTTTTGCAGCCAAGACCAGGAAAGAGAGTTTGGTTGTCAGCAGACATTCTCATAAAACACCAGAAGATAAAGAAGACAAAAAAGAAAGAAGATGAGTTGCGATATTGGATTGTACGGCCTCGCTGTGATGGGGCAGAACTTTGCGTGAGTTTAATATTGCGCTTTATTAATTGCAATTTGTTGGATGGGTTCTTCATTGTGTGGCTCACGTTGGAGGTTCTTGTTTTGATTTTGATGTTGTCAGCCTTAACATGGCGGAGCATGGCTTCAAGGTTGTTGTATGCAATCGCTCTCCTGCAAAAGTGGATACCACTGTGGAACGCGCCAAGGCCGAAGGCGATCTGCCATTGATTGGAAAGAAGGATGTCAAAGATTTCGTGGCAGAAATCAAAAAGCCCCGAAAAATCGTCATTTTGGTTCAGGCCGGAAAACCTGTGGACGACACTATTGCTCAGCTCTCCGAGCATATGGAAGCTGGAGATATCATTATCGATGGTGGTAATGAGTGGTTTCCCAACAGCGTTCGTCGTGGAGAAGAATTGGCCAAGAAGAATATGATGTTTGTGGGTATGGGTATTTCTGGAGGAGAGGAAGGAGCACGCAAAGGACCCAGTTTGATGCCTGGAGGTCCCAAGGAAGCGTATGACTTGCTGGCTCCCATCATTACCAAATGTGCGGCTCAGGTCCAAGGAGAAGCTTGTACTGGATACCTTGGGCCAGTTGGGTCTGGAAATTATGTCAAAATGGTCAGTCAAATTTGATTTTCTGCGAAAACACCATTCAGTTCCCAAAACTCACACTCGCTTGTTTCGCTTTTAGGTTCACAATGGAATTGAGTACGGTGATATGCAGCTGATTGGTGAATGCTACGATCTTTTGAAGGTATGTTGCAATCTTTCGTAGCAGTATCAGGTATTTATTCCACCTTCATTCCCTTCCTTACTCAATTTTTGTGGTAGAATGTGGCTGGAATGGGCAACGAGGAAATGAGTGCGTTGTTTGAAGAATGGAACAAGGGAGAATTGGAATCTTTCCTCATTGAAATCACCGCAAAGATTCTAGCCAAGAAGGATGATTTGACCGATGATGGGTTTGTTATCGACAAAATTTTGGATAAGACTGGAATGAAGGGCACTGGGCGTTGGACTGTCCAGGAGGCTGCCGAACAGAGCGTTGCTGCCCCCAGTATTGCCTCTGCTTTGGACAGTCGCTACCTATCCGCACGAAAGGGTGAGCGTGAAGCTGCCTCCAGCATCTTGCAAGGTCCCACCGAGTTGCCTCCTGTGGACAAGGAGCAGCTTATTTCGGATCTCAGAAAGGCTTTGTACTGTGCCAAGGTCACTTCGTATGCCCAGGGATTGGGCATCATCAGAGCTGCTTCTGACAAGAAGGAATGGGGCGTGGACCTTGGGCTCTGTGCTCGCATGTGGCGTGGAGGTTGCATCATCCGTGCTCAGCTCCTCAATAAGATCTCGGATGCTCTCAACCGCGATGAAAATCTGGCAAATCTGCTCGTGGATCCTACCTTTGCCAAAGAGTTGAATGAGCGTCACATGTCTTGGCGTCGTGTGGTGTCTGTGGGTGTGGCTAGCGGCATTGCTACCCCAGCTCTTTCTGCATCTTTGGGATACTATGATCAGTACCGTCGCGCTCGTCTTCCAGCCAATCTCATTCAGGGTCAGCGTGACTTTTTTGGTGGTAAGTTCACTAGCTCGATGGTGTGGCTATTTGCATTCGGATGCCGGTGTCTCACGTTTCCTTCCTTCCTTTGCTTTTGCTTAGGACACACCTACGAACGTACTGATCGCGAGGGAGTCTTCCATTGTTTGTGGGATGACACTCACAAGGACATTGGAGATGTGGCTGGCCGCACGGCTGGTGAAGTTTAGACACATGGTGCGAATGATCTGGCTGCGATTATTCGAAGCCACCCGATCATTCAACAACGGAACAGCAGTGGCTACAGTACCACAAGCGCTTGGCGTGAACGAAACATGTTGTACGAGTAAGACTTAGCCAGACCTAGAGACAATGCGTATTGTTGTTTTGACGAGTTTTAGATGGTGATCTTGGCTCAATTCGGTAGCAGGAACAAATTATTAATAAAAGTCTTATTATTGATTCTCATGCCTCGTCTACTAGTAGGGCACAGTAGCTAGCTAAGCAGCTCATCGCCCTTTGGTCCTAGGATTGCTTCTGATCATGTAGTCTGCTTTCTCGTATGGCCCGTTCTCTGTTTCCCAAACCTCGCACTCGTCCGAGAATTCATTCATTTCACATGGATTGATGGCGCCATATTGTTGTCCACCAGGGAAGCTGATGACACGCAAGGATTCGAATTGCAAATTCCCAATTCCATTCTCGAATTGAGAAACATCCTGTGAACAAAAGATCATGAAGTAAGGTTCAATAAACCATCGCATAAAGACCACAACTTCTAACGCTGCATGCCCCAATCATCTTACCCTGCTCTTGGGAATGGCAGCAATGAATTCGAATTGTAGCTTTTTGTCCTTCGTTGTAACCGACTCAATCATAGCAAACTGCCCAGCATCTGTACTAAGATCAGGATTGTTGGCAAGCACGGATTCACCCGTGTTATCGTAGGTCACATAACCATATACTCCCTGTTGGGATGGGCTGGGTTAGTTTCATGGTTGGTTGTTGGTTTGGTTCGGCGGTGTCCTCTCCTCCTAATACTCACCACTTTTTCTAGATCCTTGGGACTCTGGGTTTTCATGTCGACATCTGCAGGTTCATTTGCAAAGAATTATCAGAGATATGGAAAACCAATTGAAAGAACTCATCCCACCAAAGTTGACAGTCCCTCATCCACCATCCAACCAAATTTCGTCATACAGCCACCCTGTCAAACGAGCTCTAACTACTTACCCACAGTGACACACAACCCCTGCATACCTTGCATGGCTTTTTCTCCTGGAATGGGTTTGTCCTTGGGGCATGGTCTGGCGGAGTATACTGGATTGTCGAGATCGATCTTAACTGGTCCAATGGCTTGAGCTGTGGGAGGAGACGAAAATGACGAGATCAATGTCATCCCAGCGAAACCAGATGCCGCCAAAAAGGCACGACGGGAAGCACTATCATTGCCACTACTGGTGGCAGATTCATGGCAGACTGTTTGGACCTTGTTGGGATGCTGATTGTTGGTAACAAAAGCCGAGGCAGAAGCTGCCAGCAAGAATACCATATGATTTCGAAACATCATGGTCGGATAAAGGAAAGGTCGGCAGAGAATGTCAATGTGAGAGATCGGAGGCCTAGAAGGTCAGCAGGGCAGCTATGGTTGACTCAGCTACAGCATGAACATGGTCGTTGCTGGAAGAAACTGAAGAAACGCAAGATTCTCGCCGTCAAGAGTTGTCAGGATGATATAGTGGATCCAAAACTGTGACGTCAGTCGCGAAAGATACCACCCACCAAATCACAAATCAACCACGGCCCCCGGGAAGGCTGGACCGAAACTGCTGCTTCATGCTAATGCGCAGTAGTCTACCCATCTTTCGTCAGCTTTTACTATCTTTTGTTATGCCATGCAATCCCTTTCTCTCTTTTCTCACCGTAGTGGAAGGCTTCTAGTTCTTCCTCGAGGCAGATTTGCTATTAGGAGTCGAGCAAGCAGCTATTATCCACAGCCGCCGCCGCCTCTCTTTGACCTTTGTGTTCGACGTGCCTACGGCGAAGCATTGGAACGAGTTCGCGCCCACCCACACGAGGCTCGCTTCAAACATCCACGCAACTGGACCGCACTGCACTGCTGTGTCGAACACGTGGCGCCATTGAAATTGGTCAAGGCAATCTACGAGGCAAACCCACAATCGCTTACCACCACGGATTGGCAAGGGTTGACACCCCAAGATGCAGCCGTGGATTTGGAAACCAAGGAGTTCTTGAGACAACAAACTGAATTGCATCAGACGGCCAAAAATGACACCGGGAACTCTACTACTATCGAGGAAGCAACTGGTGCCATATCGGAGCAAGGTACTAGTAGCACTGGTACAATCTACGACAAGGCAAATGATCCCATGCTATTAGGAAAAGTGCTGGTACACGCAAATAGCTTGTCAGACAAGATATCTGAACTGAACGAAACAACCAGAGCACTTCAGAACGAAGTTGATGCACTCAAGGCGACTTTGAAAGGAATGGGGGCCAAGTAGTCAGCCTGGGATGTCTTCCTTTCTACGGTTGCTACCAAAATTTGGAGACGGTGTATGGCCACATGAAGGGCATTGACTACGGTACCGGAAGTCAATCTGCTTCATGATGCCTCTGAAGGAAGCTTTGCCAAAAGGGCATCGGTATCGGGTGGTACCGGTACTGTAATTGTTTTGTTTGCAGATGGAGCATCTCTGCGCGGTAAGAGACCCCCCACTAGTTTCCGTAGTTGTCCTTTCTTGGTCGACGCTATTCGGTACGATATGCTGCCAGTACTGGTACTGGTACGGGTACCGGTACCGACAAATGTCACTGCTTTTCGAGTTTAAAAAAAAGCCCTTTACTTCGTAGCTGCAACATAGACCACCTACTAGTACCGGTAGGGTTGGACGAGAGCAGACATGCAGCTCCTTTCCAGCAACATTAGATCCAAAGGTATCATTCTGCCTCCTTTCGTTATAGGCAACCCCGAATGTGCTGCATACCAGCTTTCACATATCGAATCAAACAGAAGACTTCGTAGTGTTGATTCACCTCCCATGAAGCAAGTCTTTCACCCAGCCGCACTGCACTTGAATCGCTTCATTTCACAGTGCTGGGCTCGGCGATAGAGACGCTTTCGCTTGGCAATGACAGGTTGGACAGTCTTGCATGGGCGATGCATGAGTTGAGCAATCAGTACAGGGTTCTCAGAGAGCAAGTAGAACGATGAAGCTACGTCGCACTTGGATTGGATGAGTGCTTTCACCCACTTTTCGTGATTGAGAGGATTCTCCAACAGCGAAGCCCGTTGTGTTCTCGCGTTCAAAGCCAGCCAAAAGTCAAAAACCTCTTCCGCTTCTCTTGGTAGACAATCAGAGCACCAAACATCAAATTTCTCAAGATGCACGTTCTTCTCAAGTACTTGCTCAACTATTGAAAGGAGACCAGAGCAAAGAGGCAAACATCCGTGACATTTGAATGTAAAACTCTTCAATCTCGAGACGGTCAGTGACTTGAGGATTTGAATAGTCTTGTCCCGTTCAACGCTTTCCCAGCTCCAAAGTTCAAATGTTTGTAGCGTTTCATTGCGTTCAAGGGCTTGGCAAATGGCGGCACTTGTTTCTGCGCTGATCTCTGAGCAAACTATATCAAAGGTCGTCACAGTTCTGTTTTCTGCGAGGCAACGCATAGCCGCCGCTGCAATTTCCTTCGGCCATGCATGGGCACACAGATGTAGCTCCTTCAATCGGGAGGACGCGAAAACTGCTTCAATGCCTCGTTCCGTCACAAAATGAGGCCGATAGCCCAGCCTGCAGAGCTCCGACCCTTCGACAAGCAGTGGCAGCAAAGGGTCAAGGAACCCTCGAGTATCCGCAGTCAGCTGGGTTGAATCACGTATTCGAATCGTTGGCAATTCTAGAACCTTTAGGCAGGGCGTGCACTGTTGTATGGTCTTGACAAGAGATATGAATTCTTCCGCGGTCCCTGCTGTCAGCACATTTTGGCCACAAGAGAGAATGGAGAGGTTTGCAGCTGAACCACGCCGAAACAGTTCTGCAAGGGTTGCCACGGGGAGATCACAAGCATCATCATCCCAGTCGCGGAGAAAGTGCAGATCTTTCAATAGCTTCCAATCTGCGAGAAACGACACAAGAGCTCCACCTTCTTGCTCCAATGACAAGTCAATAGCGTTGCTTTCCAAATGGATCAACACTCTCGATGCGCCCCCAATGAGACTTTCATCTCCCTTGCTGACATGTACTTCGCCATCTAGGAAAACTGCTTCCAGGTAGGTTCTTTCTTCGGTCAATGCGTTCGATTTGTCCGTCGTCTCGTCCATGGCCAGCTTCCAGTTTTTGACCTCCGAAGTGAGGTTTCTTTTGGCCCAATTTTATTTTGAAATGTAACCCCTAATGAATCCCGGAAGGATTTGCCATCAGTCGTGCATGGATCGGCGAAAGCAACAGTCAACGGCTCTTCCTTCTCAGCGCTTCCGCCTCATTTTTTTGGAAATTCGAGTACGACAAAAGGACTGTTGATTGTTTGCAAAGAAGGAAGTCCTTGACCATGGCACCAAAGCATAACAGCGACAACAAACATAGGAACTACCAGGCGGACCACGTTAGTGTAAAGCTGGAGTCAGTTCTGCGTCTTCGTCCTCTGCTGAAGAAGGAAAAGGGGGATCAGGTGGTCTTGGAGCCTTGTCGGGTCGAAGATGGACGTCCCCAGACGGCAGTCCTTCATCCAATGATTGCAGTCAAGCAAACGCAATATAACGAATCTCCTGCAATGAAAATGCTTTCAACTGAAACTCTCCATCTGTGCAAGGACACAGAGTACCACTTGGACCAAATCATTGGAGAGGAATGTGACCAAGAGAAAGTATACTACAGCATCGGGCTTCCGATTGCTCGAGAATCAATGGACATGCTGAAACTGAAGAAAGGATACAAAGGATCCCGAAAGACCTGCAATCTAATTGTCTGCATGGGAGTTGAAAACTCAGGAAAGACTCACACCTGTTTTGGAGCTGGATCGGCCAATGTCTCCAGACGACGGTGTCCCGAAGATGGCATGGTGCCTCGGATTCTCGATAGTCTCTTCTCTCAGTCGAAGCACCATGTCAAGAGCAAACAGAGTCTCACTTTTGGAATCAAGATAAGTCTCATCCAGGTCACTCAAGAGAGAACGGAACAGCCAAAGCATGATGATGACAGTGTCGTCCATGATCTCCTCTCAGCAACACCACCCAAAATAACTTCGCCCATGAGAAGTGCATCACCCTCACGCATGGCGACTGTCAAGAATCTGGTTGCCACGTTGGAACGCACACGTGCCAAAGTGATGATTCCATCCAGCAGTGCACAAAGTGAAGCTCTCGTTATCATTGAACAAGACGAGTCCATGGACTTTGTTTCGAATGCAGTGGTAAAGACCGTCAATGATGTTTCAGAGGCCCGCCAGTTGATTGCGTCCGGGCTCCAAAATGGACAGAGGTTTACTTCACGCCACAAGAAGTCGCACGTTTTGGCAATCTTGCAACCCGTGTTGTTGGGGTCTGATGGAACAGTCGAGCGAGAAGGTGGAAAAATCGGGATCCTCGACATGGCCGGCATTGAACAGTCCTCTCAGAAGAAACGCAACACTGCTATTCGCAGACACAAAGACAGCGTTGGAGCAAGTTGCAGTGGTCAAAACGACACTGCACTGAATGCTGTTCTGCATTGTGTTCGAAGTCTTCAACACAACTCCATGATCCTGTCTGGAAAGACACCAGCTCTCGATATCGTGGATGATGCCCACAATGGCATGACTATCGATGACAATGCGAGCGAAATCTCTTGTGTATCAGAGGAAAAGACAGGAAAAGCAAAAGGACCAAGCTTCAAGATTGTACCTTATCGGCAGCACAATCTGACTATGCTCCTTCAGCCCTTCTTTTCCTCTGGACAAACATCCAGCTCAAAGTTGACGCTACTCATGGCTGCCTACCCAGGCCATCGAGACCACGCAGAGAAGAAGTCGTTGCTCAGTGATTTGGAGTTGCTGTTTGAAGTTTCCAGAGATCCCGAGGTTGGGGCTGCCTTAACTGGATGCGAAAAGAGGCCATTGTCTCCCATTCACGAAGCAAGGAGGAGATCATCTAGCTGGGGAGATGATGAGAATGTGGAACCCGCTGAGAAGCCCAGTGAAAAGTTTGAAAAAGCTCTTCGAGAAGAAAGTCCCCTTCCTTCGGCTCCTTCCTTTCAAGACGACGAAGACGTGGTTCCCTTGCCGCCGCCCTATGCACCCAGGGCAAATATCCAACAACCACCCCCCAGCGCTCCCATGGTAGTTGACTTTCCAGGGGTAGTGTTACCGGCATCTAGTGAAAACGACAACACGTACAACGACAGCTCTCGTGGTGTTATGGGCAATCCCTTGGATGCTGACCGATCCTTTGAAAACAAGCCACCTCCCAATTACACGCCCAGCTACGGAAACTACATCGTGGGCAAGCGGATGACAGAACCAATGAGAGAAAGCGATGCTCACAACATCAAAAGACCCGAAGAAGCGCCGACTCACAAAACTGAGTCATCATCAACCAAAGCATGGCTATATGGTTTTTCGGACACGACGAAAGGTGCCATCAGTCAGGCTACGAAGAAGGGTATGAAAATGATTGATAAGATGGGGCTCTCACCAGAAAGACCGGAAAGAACCGAAGCATTTCATCCAAACCAGCCCCCTTCGGCAGAGAAGCCAACCAACACTGGAGGAACGCTCTCCTCGACAATCCAAAAACCAGTTAGATGTGAAGTGTTGCCCAGAACAGATGTTTGGCATTCTGCATCCGTTTCAACTCGCCCAGCGACGAAGCGGTCCAACAAGTTCAAGGGAAGTCATGGCGAAAACACAGTATCCCAGAGAGAATTCAAGAAGCTGGAACGCCAAAACAAGGAGCTGCTAAGCCGAAACGAACAGCTTGATGACCGTTGTGCAGCGCTAGAACTGGAAAACAGGGAATTGAAACGCGCCCTGGAAGCGACGGGGCGGAAGAAAGGATGGAGCAAAGAAGACGAGGAAGAATGGAACAATAAACGACGACAGTTTGCCGCTCCTCCTCTAATCCAGTCACCTCTTAACCAGCACTTGCAGGCCACTCAGAGAGTTTTCAACACGACTGGTCGATACAACTTTGCAGTTGGACAGCCTCACTTCACACTACAATACCCAAGCTACTTTCGACGAGCAAGCGACTTGGATCGACGAGATCGAGAAGAAAGCGAGAAGATGACCTCGGAGCAGGATCCGCAGACGGAGCAGACAAGTGAAAGCGGCGAGAAACGAAAGGAGGCAGAATCCGAGACGAAATTGAAGGTGTTCGCGAAGCAGCTCGAGAAAGTAAAGAGGCGCCGAAGCAGCCTCATTCCTGGGGTTCGAGAGCGAGAGGGGGGCGACTTCTAGCACTCGAACCAGTACAGAAAGGACAACGCACAAACTCACTTCCCCGTAGAAACTTAAGAGGCAAACGCAATGGAACAACATATAAGGATAGCAAACAAGCACAACCAAGACCAATCCAAGTTAGCTACTAGTAGATTCGAAGCATGCAGAGTTCGCGAGAGTGTGTGTTGTTGGTTGACATGAATATAGGGTTAGTTTTCTAGGATAAAGTCAAATCAATGAGACCACCGCCTGGTTTGCTTGCTTTGGTCGGAGTGGAAGTTTCAGAATCCTTTTGATTTAGTTTCGGTGGTCTAGCCGGCGGCTTGCCTGAGTTCGCAGCAGCAGCAATAGCCACAGAGGGAGCTGAAGCTCTACCGGTACTCGCGCCGGCACCACTACCGGTAGCACTTGTCTCTTTTGGTGGCGCAGGGAAGAAAGGCAGTGCCCGTAAAGCAGCCGGTTTTGAATCTGTTCCCCCAAAGGAAATCGACGGCAATCGTCGTAATTTGGCTGGCGACTTGAGGCATTGGCTGCAATACCATTCGGGCGTCTTCGGCATTTCTTTCAATGGTGGAACCAGACAGCCCAAATGATACGCCTTGTGACAGAGGTCACACACCAGGAGGATACCACCGTCATCGCAAACTTGACAATAATCATCTTCGGCCTTCCATTCACGTTTCAGCCTAGAATATACACCGTCCTCGTCCCTCCCCTTCCATTGATAGTACTGCACCAAAATGGACGAAGTGCTGCGCCCCACTTCCTTGGCAATCTTGCCGAATTCCTTGCGACTTGTTTGAAAAAGCTTCACAGATTTCAGAATCTCATCAAAGTAGAGCTGGCTGGTTGGTTCCTTGCTTTCTCGGAACATGGTGACAAACTCTTCAATCGCATTCGCAACGTTGTAGTTGGCACGATGCAAAGATTCCATCAACATGAGTCGGGAGTTTAGATCAATTGCGTGCGCCAGGAAGCCGTCAATATCCTCGGGTCGTTCACCTCGTTCAATGGCAGCAGCAAAAAGCTTTGGATCCCATATCTGATCAGATCTACATCGAGAGCAGGGTAGCACGACGAAAAGGGTGAGTTCTCAAACCTCTATCGATTGAATGGATGCGTTGTACACTCACTGAGGAACATAAGACATGTCTGGCTCGAAGGATTGTGATAGCATTCGAGGGGGGATGCTGGCCTGATACTTTCTACCCACACGGACGCTAGTCTTGGGACATTTCTTGGGTGGTTCGCGGGGAGGCGGTGGTACTATAGCGTGCTCTTGTGGCTTTCGTCGACGGCGACGTGGTCTTCCGCCCGATGGGGATCCATCCTGGTCGTCCGATTCCTTTTCCTTTCGCTTAGCTTCAGCCTTGACCACTTCAGCTCTCAGCCCTTCCATAGGTCCTACAAAGTAGTCGACAGGCAGGAGCTTGTAGTCTCGGAATCTCGCAGCGTCCAGACGTCCCAGTCTGCTGGTGGTCTTGGCTCCTTGTTTCATCAGTTTGGCTTTCTTTGCAAACACTCCAATGTACCGAGTATCCGCGTAGACATCCGTAGCCATTGTGTAGATTTTGCGTCTAGCAGGAGTCACACGAGGTTGTTTTCCAGCCTTTGCCTGGGGCATTGCGACGTCAGACTCGTCTGAAGATGGATCAGGTGTCCCCCCAGGCGGTACGGCAGCAGGAATTCTTGGAATGGGGGGTTTGACATTGTCCCACAAAGGCCTTCCTTTGGGATTTGTCCATGTTTCATAAGCGGCATCATTGTTGTTTTCTTGGGACCACAAATTGGCTAGTTTGGAGTAAGGGTCAAGCGCCATGTCCTTTGCGTCATTGTTGAGGAATCCATTGGGCAACACCACCTTTGTCACTTCTTCCACTGCAGAGGGGAGCTTTGGTCGAGGCTCAGTTGCCGGTGCAGATTGCTTTTCGTCTCCTTTTGCAATCAAGACATGTTGCTCTTTGGACAAAGGTTCAGGTTCAGCCCCAGATGCTGCACTGGTCTGGCCAGCTCCTTTCGGATCAGACCCGTGAGTTGTGCTCGAAGTGAGGTGCCCGTTGGCTGAACTGCTGGCTCCTTCCCCAGCATCATTGCCACCATTGGATTTCGAGTTTTTCAGTGCTGAATCCTCTTTCTTTGACGGATGATTCCCATTCTGCTCCTGCTCGCTGTCATTCGGTTTGGCAACAGCATCCTGTGGCTCTGCATCTTCTTGAGCTCTTAGCTCGTTTCCCTCACCATCCGACATGCTGACAGTTGGTTTCTCATTTGCTGTCAACTCGTCACTCGTTGCTTCATGACGTTTGTCAACTTGGGTTTTTGCCTTGACAGCCAACGAGGATTGAAGCGACGTTGCTTCTCGCAATGACAGCTCCTTGGCAGTCTCACAGGGAGGTGCTTGCTGCAGCAAAGGCATGGCAATGACTTCCAGACAAACCCAAACTTCCTTCTTTTCTGCCTCTCAGTCAAGGCTGATCCAGGCTTCCACTTCTAGCCAGCATACAGCAACACTACCTCGCCGCTGATCCAACTCTGTTCCCTCAAGTGCCTCGCCCCTTGCTCAGAAGCTCCAATAAAATGATGCTGCCAACGACGAGGCAAAGGAGGGAAAAATACGACCATTTTAGCAAGAAGCAGCCGCGAACGTGTAGAAGCTGCGTAGCTCCAGTAGTGAAAGGTTTGTGCGAGAAATTTAGCCAACCTCACATGGAAACCTCAGACACCACCATAAGTGAAGGTACTAACTGATGGTCATTTTTAAATGCTATATTCAGGATGTATATGAATATATCAAAGGTCTACTTTCATCCAACCACCATCAGAAACTCTTAGGTGAGCTGGGATATCAGCTTCTAGCTAGCTAGCATCAGCAGAGGCCAGAGATGATGGACATGTCCTTTGCAGTATGACGGAAATCATCCGCATTCCAAGGCGTCGTGTGTCGGAGAGCATGCCCGCAAGGACTAACCAGCGAACCCGTTACTCAAAAATGCGTGCAAAGACTCACCAAAGTGAAGAGTCATCTGATGCAGGTACAGACACGCACAAGTGTCGTATGGGCACTTGCAATCTCGACGGGAGCCCACCACAAACCTCCCGGACCACAAAGACAAACCAGAGTAATTACTACTGGCTGGAAGCAAACATACCATCACAACAGGAATTGCTGGGGCAACTTCAGCTAGCAACGTAGAATTTCTCGGGAAGATGGGTGCACCCAGTATGAGGTGCCACCAAACGAAGATTGTACGTGCTGCCGCCGCCTACTCAGCATTCTTGGATGACACCACCACCATTGGGCTTGCAGGTATGCTGGGAGCACTGTTTGGAAGCAAGCAATCCAAGTGACCGTATGTCGACCATTGTAAAGTAAGACCACTTCTAAGTTCTCAGGATGCTCTTTCTTCTGAGTAGCTTACTTACCAATCTAATCCCACAGTGGCAGGCGCTCTTTTGGCTGGTCCACTGGTGATTTGTGGCTTGGCAGTATCATGAAAATCATCCGCATTCCAAGACATCGTGTGTTGGAGAGCATACCCGCAAGGACTAACCAGCAAACCCGTTACTCAAAAATGCGTGCAAAGACTAACCAAAGTCATCTGATGCAGGTACAGACACAAGTGTCGTATGGGCACTTGCAATCTCAATGGAAGCCCAGCAGTCAAACCTCCTGAATTCCTGAATCACAAAGACGAACCAGAGCTAAAACTAGCTCGAGAAGCATGCATGCTACCGAAACAGGAACTGCTGAGGCAACTTCAGCTAGCAACATAGGATTTCTCGGGAAGATGGGTGCACACATTAGGAGGTGCCACCAAACGAAGGTTGTGCAGCTACAGAGCATTCTCGGATGACAACACCACCATTTGGCTAGCTAGTTGGTGTCCTCGGAGCACTGTTGGGAAGCAGGCAATCCAAGTGATCACACGTGGACCATTGTAAAGTAAGACCAGTTCCAGTCCTCAAGATGTTCTTGCTTCTGAGATAGCTTACTTACCAATCTACTCGCACCGTGGCATGCACTCTTTGTCTGGTCCACTGGTGATTTGTGGTGGCACGTACCCACTATGTGGACTCAACACAATGTACCAGTGCAGCAGTCTCGGGAGTAGACACCTGCATGCAAACATTAGTTGGCTGAAGTGGACACAATGCTTTAAATGCTTCTATGCTTGTACCGTACAATTCTACTCGTGGAAGCAAGAGAAGAGTTGGTAACCGACAAACTACATGATGATGTCAACCAAGCACTGGCAAGGATGACGCTGAATATAACTAACTGCAGAACTGCAGAAGCCATCACCACATGCCAAAACATCTGAGAAGCTGTGCTGTGATGATTCCACCTGTACTTGCAATAAGTGAAGATCTCAAAAGAACATCAGCAAATGCTTCCAGAAAGGTGATTGTGACAACCATCATTACGGCCAACAGGTAGGCAGGTTGCTAGCTAGTTGGTGCAGCTGACAATGCACCTGTGGATGCAGAGAGAACTGAACAATGGGTAACAGCATGAACAACCTTGATGTCAGAATGCATATTGATGATGTTCTTGCAGACAAAGTTGCAGTGCAGAACCAAGTGACACCTTGAAGCAAATTTAGGTGGGGGGTTTATCAGGTTCTATGGCTGTGGGCCAAATAGTTCCACCTGCCAAACTGGGAAGAACAAGAAGGTAGCAGTACTTGATGGCAGTACCAGTGCTTGCAAAGATGGACACGTGGCATGGCACTGTCATTGGAAGTGAGCCTTCCTGTTGATTGCCTATTAAATACCATGCTACTGGTACCAGTATTGGCCTATGTTCATGCAGCTTCCATGGAAGCCAGGTTGCATCAATTTCCCAAAGCTATTCCAGTTTTAGAGAAGAAGGTAAGCACAGAGATACCTTTACTTTGGGCAGAGAAAGTGCATTCAACCTTTCATCTGACAAAGCATTCCAACTTGCTAGTTGGACGCAGCATGCATCATCATGTGAGTTGAGTACAATAGCATACATCATTATGGTCTGGTCACTGACCTCAGGGCCATTCAGCCAAGCTGCCTGCTAATCAAATGGAAGCTGTCTTCTCCACTCTATTCTGGCGGTTACAGGAACAATGCAGTCCATTTTAGATGCGATGATGAAGTTCTGATGACATGCCAAACAAATGTCCCCAAACAATATTCATTCTGAACAAGTGAACCAATTGTTATAGTTGGGATATTCAGCAACGTTTCTTCAATAAAAAGCACTAAATGCAAATTGGCCTATCAAAAAAGGAGATATTCAAAAGGGTTTGGCTTCCTTTGCTATGAAGAGAACTTTCAAGGGATGTTGCTTTACAATTGGAAGTTCTGATTTGGAAAACCTGTGGTCAGCTTTGGTTTTGCTGTGTTCCCAATGTAAACGCACCACAGTACCGGTTGGTTTGGAAACGAAGAAACGGTCTCCGTCCATCTTTCTCCACTTCTAACAGTTGTTCACTTGACGCCTTGGACTTCGAACCATGTTCTGGTCATTTCTGTGAGGCTCACTCCCATGACAAAGTGGAACAGAGGATGTTCGTAACCTCTAAAGATTGCATCCAGGCAGCTCCAGAAATGCGCACCTATATTTCGATGCTATCTACCCGCACTTCAATTTCTTCAGCATGGGCTGCTACGTTGACCTGATTTGGCTGCTCCTGCTGCTCTTCCTCCTCTTCCCCAGAGCCGATGCCTTTGTAGACACGGTCGCCACTCCCTCCTCCAGTTGAAGGAAAGACACATCCCAGAGAGCGGGATCGCCCCAACAAAGTCTTGCGAGAGTTTTTCTTTTCTTGAATCTTTCTGAGACGGTCTCGGAAAGATTTTACCCTGTCTAGATCCACTGGCTCACTCGTATCAAAGTCACCCTCTACAACCTCATGAATCACTGAGAGTGGCTTCGCTTGGTTGAAGTCGCAGTATTCAGGCATCCGTTGAAAGGAGACACTCTTCGTGCTCTTTCGTTGTGACGAGCTCTTCTTCGATCCTGGTGACTTTGATCGACTTCTCCTTCTGTTACCGGCACTAGTAGTACCCACAGAAGACTCTTTCACTGGAAAGGCATCTTGTATCACCTTTTCGTCCCAGCCATCCCTGGTTGAATCTTTGGGTACATTGTCGTCGTCCCTGGATTCTTCTGCCTCTTTCCTCATCCGCCTGTTCCGGCGAAACTTTTCCCACTTCGCATTTGTTGCTTCGTGGCCGATCCTCGGAGTGACATCAGTTCCAGTTATAGCGGCGGGCTCCTTCGCAGTGTTACTATAGACATAGCGGTCGTCCCTCAATTCTCTGCAAACCTCTTCAAAATTTGGTAATGCAACATGTGTCATCGAGGCCTTTGACATGGCAATCTCTTCCGCTTTTTGTCGCATTCTCTCAGCCGAAAGTTGATCATAGTATTCGCTTCGAGAGTATCCTCCGTCAACGCAGATAACCTGACCGGTGATGAAGCCAGATATCGGAAGACAAAGAAAGGTAACCAGCCCGGCAACTTCGGTAGCTTCACCCAATCGTCCAAGCGGCGTCCTTGCTGCCGCTGATTTTTCGCCCTTGGCTGCAAACGGCCCGTGGGTGTCACCATGGATTAGCCACGGCGCAACACAGTTGACTCGGATCCCTTGTGGACCCCATTCACAAGCCCAGTCGCCGGTGGTCTTGATGACAGCTGCCTGGGCAGCCGGATAAGGAGCGTGTGTATCAGGACTAGTAAAGCCAACCACACTGGCAATGTTCACCACGCAGCTTGTTGTTCTTGATCCATGTTTTCGTTTCAACTGTTCGTGACAGATAGATGTTAACATGAACATGGAGTGGAAATTGGATGCCCAGATTTCATCGGTTTGTAGTTCGTCTTCACCATCGGCAAGGTGTTCCACTTGTTGGCTCACATTGTTAACCAGGATGTCCAACGGCTTTCCATGCAGCCAAGTGCGAATTGCATCAGCAAAGGCATATCTTCCACTGGCAGTTGACAGATCTGCCACAACCCCTTCAACATCGTATCCACCTTCCCTCCAAGCACAAACCGTGCTGACCAAATTGTCTTCGTTGCGACTGCACGTCAAGACGGAGGCACCTTTCGTGCAGAGCTCACTCACAATCGACGATCCTATACCCTTGGTGCCCCCTGTCACCACCGCCCGTGCCCCGAACGAAAATCTCCAAGGATCAGTCAACGACCCGTTCATGACGATCAGTACATGGAGGGTAAACCAAGGCCAGCAGCACAAGTCTATTTCGAATGCTTTGCTTTCGAATGATTGCTCTTCAACATCAAACTCAAAAGGCACGCATTTTTTAGCTCTTTTGGAAGCATAGTTTTATGGATCCTTCTTGGACGGTTTCATTCGTGCGCCTCGAAGGAATTCTAATTACTTGAACGTTGAGGCCGCCGAATTGCTCTAAATACCGACATGGGAGAACAACACACGGGCCGACCTTGTGGACCAACTAAAGCCCCACATCTTGCATCGTTGCAGAGGAAATTTTGGTTGTTTTAGTATTGGATTGGCTAGCTAGGTACCGATACCGGTAGCTAGTACTGTAGACGTAATAATATATAAGTAAACAGGCTTTCTCGGACTGCGAAACTTGAGATCAGAGTTTCTAGCAAGCTTTTGTTCGGTGGGTTCAGAAAGCGGTAGATAGATATTGGCGCTTGGCAACAATGGTTCTCGCCTTCCCCGCTACGTATGATGGGATTCCGGTAGAGAAGGAATCCTGTCACTGTTTATGTACCGTAACCACAATGGAGCTAGTTGGATAGTTGGATTGGCCACTGGGCATTGGTGGTGACAGCAGCAAGGGAACCGTGGTGAGCGGAAGCAAAAACGACGGCACGACTCCAAGGCCATCAATCCACCTTAACAGACCTCAGAATCAAGATAAATCGTTTGGCAGTACAGTACTCCACATCCGCAAAAGCTTGTATTGCTGCTGATATTTGCTGCTTTACCAACGAAGCTTTGTCGTTTCCAGAACATGTAGACCCACTAGCTAGCTAGAGATGATACTGACAACTAAGAGCCCTTCACCCGTTCCTTTGTCTGCATCCACTGAAAACAACAAAAACATCATTCCAGTACGTTCCTTTTAGATACTTTTATTAACGGGACCGTGGGTTTCATTTGTCACACCAGCTACTCTGGCTAGCTAGCTGGCGTCATCTTTATTTTAAAATTAGCATGTCCTCTCCTCTATCTATGTCATAGTTGGCCTGCCTTTGAGCTGTGCCGTCAAGTCAATTGCCGCCTGCTGTAGATCCCACCCCAGCTGGTTGACTTGACTTGACTCAGTCTTTTCTTGATGGCGGGTGCAGCGATGCCTCACTGGAGAACAGCGGTCATTGTGCAGGGTCATTTCAGCGTTGGATCTTCGGTTGGCATGGAAGAGGAAGACCATAACTTGCCAGCCCAGAACGCCGCAGCAAGAGAGCACCATCAAGAAAACCCAAGAAATTTATTTTCATGCCCCCTCGTAACAACGACGGCTACACGATGGACGTTGACGGACCAACTGCGATGGATGTGGACGTACCAACCGCAATGGAAATGGAGGACACGGAGGACCACGGGATGACCAATGGTGGTCCTGGAGGCGGGTTTAATGAATCGTCGTCTACGGCGGGGTCATCGGGTGGAGTAGAGACTCCACCCCAGCCCCAGCAGTCGTATCGTATTCCTCGCCGTGGGTCCATGTCGGCGGATGAAGAGCGTGAGCGTCGTGCTAGTATCAAAGCAATTTTGGCTGACAAGTCGATCAGTCCGCAGAGCCGTCGTCGTTCCATTCAGCATTTAATGGATGGACGTCGCAACAGTTTGGGAACTTCTACGCATGGCGGCAGTGTTACTTCCGGGGGCTCTAGCGTGGCCTCGGATGCTTCTAGCCATGATGACACTGCCTCTTATCATTCAGGAACCAGTGGACCTCCCTTAACAATCCATACCACGCCTCATGGGTATGAAGGAGACGATTGTTTCGAAGCAAGCGAGCAAATTCGTCGCATGGAGCAGTCGCGTCCTCCCTGCACCCACTACGAACGCAACTGCACTATGATTGCGCCATGTTGCGGTGCTGCCTTTGGCTGTCGCATCTGTCACGATGACTGCCCCATTTTGCCTCCCAAGATTGAGCTGAGGCACCGCATGCACCGTTCGGCCTCGCTTCCCAGTAGTTTCACCACCATGGAACAGCAGGTTCCCCAGGATAGCCATCACAATATTGACCGCTTTGCTGTCAAAGAGATTATTTGTCGCGAGTGCTTTACTCGACAATCCAGTAAAACGTAAGTGGGCCCTCTCCTGATCTATCTTGGTTGGGTGACTCGACAGTGGTTGCCCTATTTTTGTCTTCTGCAACGTTGAATTCTCACACATTCTATATCTTTTTTCTGCCTCCCCTTGCAACAGCAACAATTGTATCAAGTGTGGAATCCAGTTTGGAGAGTACCACTGCAATATCTGCAATCTCTGGATGACCAACGACGAACGGCCCTATCACTGTGCCGATTGTGGATTTTGTCGGGTAGGGGGGGCCGAGAATTTCCAGCACTGTCACGATTGTGGCATGTGCATCGATCGAAGTCTCTACACGAACCACAATTGCAAAAGTGGAAAATACAAATCCAATTGTCCCGTTTGCCAGGAATTCCTCTTCAGTTCCAGAAGTGCCTCCCATGAAATGCCATGTGGGCACGCCATCCATTGGGAATGCTTCAGGCAACTGGCGGCTCATGACTCTCGTTGCCCTGTTTGCAAAAAGACAGCCGAGACTCGTGAACGCATGATGCCCACGTGGAATGCCATGGCTGCGGGAGTTGCTCTCCAGCCCGTTCCGCCGGAATTGTGCCGGGTGGTCAACATCACTTGCAACGATTGCGAGCAACAGGATGATGCCAGGGCTTGGCATTTTTTGGGAGTCCAGTGTCGCAACTGTTCGTCGTTCAACACTGTTGTCGACAGGATTATCATGTCGGGGGAAGAAGCCCACGATTTCCTCGAGACGATGACTGCGAGGCGAACAGTACTCGAGGGCCAGCAAAGAGCCCAGGATGGCGGACCAGATGCCGATTCTGGTGATGGAGAAAGAGCGCCTAGACCGGAACAACGCAGGCGCCCAAATCGCAGACGCTCCCTGTTGTAGTCAAGGTGTCGTCACAAAATAATTGCACACTGATTAATTATTGAAATCCAACTTGCAAAGAAGGTGCGATTAGTGTTATCGAAATAAGACACTATTTATAGGTATTGTTTGTGTTTTGCTTGCGATATACCGTAGCTGCCAAAGCCTGTCTCCGCGGCTGAAGTGCCGTTTAAAAGTCATCCTGCTCTCTCTCGAGAATTTTTACTGTCAGTCCGAACCCCGCGAACCCAAGAAGCGACCTCTGCTGAGAGGCGTTGCCTTTCTTCGACTTTCCAGCACCATTTCTGTTGGATCTAGTTATGGAATTGATCTGGCCCAAGGAAAATAGAGGCTGGGAACTCCCACTCCTCGTAGAGCCGTACCGATCATTCTGGTGCTGCAAAAAGATTATAACAGCGTAAGAATCGTCGATTGTGGTCTGGATACAACGAAGAATCCATGTGCTCTTACCTGGAAGGCTTTCTCTAGTGGGCTCGGTCCCGAATTTCGCTTGGGGTTTCGAAAAGGTTTAGGTTTGAAGTTTGTTCGCACCTTTGGTTGGTGGGAATATACACGGTTGTGTTCATCGTGTGAGCTTGAAGAGGGATTGTCGGAGTTGGTGTGCACGGCACGGACAGCAGGACCGTAGTCAAAAGCTGGCAGGCACTCTTCTTCGTCAAAAGCTGGCAGGCACTCTTCTTCGTCGACGATTTCGCTGAGATCAACCACCGAGTCATCGTCAAGAGAATCATCGTGCCTATTTCCCTCTCCTTCGAGCGTCACTCTCCTAGATCTTGTCTTGTTTGCGAAATACTTGCTTGTCTCCAAATCAGGATTATCCAAAACAACAACGTCGTCGTACGATGAACGCCGTGCCTTCTGCTTCCAGCTCAGTTGTTGTCTCATCTGTAATGGCTGGTTTGAAAACGAAGGAGCTCCACGACCTCGGCTCGAGTGTCTCGACGACGACAGATCGTCGTACGAAGCTTCCTTGTGACCGTTCTTTCCTCGGACTGATTCAAATCTCTCGGATTGGCGATCTGGCAAGACACCTCTTTGGTCAGGAAATGCGTCCTGACGAAGAAATTCCTCTTCCGAAAGATCCTCTCCAGAAGAGTAATCAGAATTCGCCGCTGTCTGTTGGACTCGTGCGTTTGAACAGTGTCGGTCGTCTCGCCTTTGCAGAGTGTGGCAGTTCCCAGAAGCGTGTGCTTTCATCAAATCCTCTTCATGTAGATCTTCTTGGGAAGAGTAGTCCGCATCTGGGTAGGTTGGATAGGAGGTCTTGTGTATGTTACCGTGGCTGCCTTGGTTTTCAGGAGACGGGACTGAACTCAACTCATCTTGGGGTGGCCCTTCGAAAGAGGAATAGTTCTCCTCTTGATGAATGTTTTCCCGGATTCGACAGCGCCGTACCATGCTTTGCCGGGGAGAGTATTGGGCTAAACCATTTTGTACTAAGCGCTCGCCATGAGGGCTCTCGTCATCTGGAAAAGACTGCTTGTTCTCGTCAATTGGAAAAGACTGCCTGTTCTCTGCGCGACGATGCTTTGCATCAATGCTTCTCGAACGGACTTCCACTTCGTCAGCAGATTCAGACAAATGTGTTATGCGCCTCTCTCGCGTAGGACTGCCACGTTGTCGAGGCTGTCTAGGAAAGTACGTCGATACTTGCTCGTGTGGGTCTGCCAGAGAAGAACTCTCGCTATCGCTTTCGTTGGTCTGGAATGTGTCGAAAGTTGGCTGTTCTGCTTTGGATTCACGACGGCGCCGATCGTTGTTCGTAGTTCTGGTATCCGATGGCAAAGCAACAGTACTAAGTTCTGAATAACTCAACGTCTCACTCGGGTCAAGCTCCTGTGTGTCGACGTCATACTGGAACTCGGCTGCAACCCTCTTTGCGGGTTTCGGTTCAACCAATGTCGGTGCACTCAATGTGGGGGCATGCAAAGGTCTAGATGGCCGGACCGGGTGATTTCCACGAGCTGGTCTTGTTGCCGGAGGTTCAGGACCGAAATGACGCTTCACGTGACGAACATCGCCCTTGAAAGCGAATTGTTGTAATCCAAAACCATTAGTTGGCACGGGAACGCTGGATGGTCGTTCAGTCCTTTCGTTTCTGTACGCTGTCAGGATCTCATCGCACGCATTTTCGTCATCTTTGGCAGCCTCCTTTTCGCGAAAGTTGTCGTGTTGTCGCGGCACCCGAGCCTTCTTGAGATATGGGTTTGTTGGGGGAATTCGAGAGACTCTTTTGCGCATGGGAGGAAGCGCCGCGACTTTCCTGTTCCCGCATGCGTGCGTTGGTGTTTTGTTCGAAGTATTGCTTGCTGAAATGGTGTTTGAAATCGGAAGAAGTGCAGGTCTCGCCGTGGTTGTTTTGGAAATACCAGCATGTAAGTCTTTCAAGAAATGGTCATTTCCTAGAAACGAGATGTCCTCAAACAACCCAAGGTCTGGATACCATTTGTTCAAGCGGCTTGTAGATTCTCCGTCCACTTTGGGGCTCACCAAGGTCGTGATGTTGCCTGCCTTGTCCAGGCAAGGATGGTAGTAAAAAACCGCTTCGCTCTTGGCAAGGTTTTCCTCGTACTGAGTCCGGTCTATGTTTTTTGTCGCCTTATCGGGAAGGCTGGAGAGTACCTTTCGGAACACTTTTTCAGGGGCTTCGTTGCAATTTCCTCGGACTAGTTTGAACGCCGTCACCAGACCGATACCATGGAGCATGTTGGGGGCATAGTCACAGCCAGAAAGACAACATGCTTGAACGAACTGTCTGACACCGTGTCCAGGTTCCTTCTTCTGAGCAAACCTCATACCGTTGAGAGTGGATTGAAAGCCTGCCAGGCTGTTGTTCTTGCTATTTTGTTTTGCTCTGGCAAATGACTGCGTGTCGGAAGGATTCAAAAGGAATTCCATCGATGTAATCGAACATTGACCAGACCCTCTGTCTAGTTTGTACAGCACGGGGTACGGCGCGTGACAAGCTGCGAGATACACCAGCACATCGGAGTCCTGAATTGAAAGAAAAGGCAGTTCTCCATGAAGTGAGGCCACTAAATGGACGGAAAACGTTCAAGGAAAGCCCACCTCCTTACCTCTGTCACAATCGCATCAGCCTGTCCATCGACGCAAATGCGCACCATCTGAGCGTCTGCTTCATAAGGAGCCCAAACAAAGTGAATATTCATGTTCTTTTTACGGCACTTGGATTCGACGTTTGCCATGACTGCCTTGGTTAGACTGTCCACAATCTTGATGCAGGCCTTGTACTTCTCTTCTGCTAGCGATCTCTTATGTTGTTTTTTGAATGCACGAGCTTCCATCAAGTTGGCACGACGCCGACTCTCTCGATCTTGATTGGTGACGGCCTTGAGCGGACAGCGTTTGCCATCCATGACGAGGAAAATATTGGAAATCCCGGCATAATTCAGCAGTTCTTCGCATCGTGTAAAGATATATTTTGCGGATGTGTTGACGCACCGAGGATCAATGTTCCCTCGTTCATAGGCTTCCACATAATGTTCTGCGATTGAGTACACACTCTTGTGAAGCCAAGAAGAAGCATCTACAACAATACATTTGCCAGAGAATTCACGGACGCTTCCTTTGCGGGTGCAGAACTTGAGGTTTTGGAGGAGGCCACAGATGCCCATTTGAACCGTTGGAGAGCCACCAAGTGGGTTGGGTCTCTTGATGGGATGTTGCGTCTGCAGCGACTACTCAACACTAGCTAGAGAAGTTTTGCTGCTCGCATCCACTCAACACTCAATACACTGACAAGACAATCTCCTACCGTACAAGTGAGAGAAATACTGAGACCAAGCCTTTGCGGCAGAAGTGTGACAACGAGTGTTTCGTCCCACTTGCCAATTCAAAAAATGGCGCGACTTCCAATTTTCAATAATTCTAAAAGCATTGTTTTCTTTTAAAATTACAAATAAATGATCGAAAAGACAAATTGGAGACATCTAATTTCAAATCATCAAAATTTAATAGAAAGCAGAGCAAGTTTCCTAAGGGGGACCATGTCCACAGCCGGGCACTTCGGGGATCGTCGCGGCGGGGACCACGGGTGGAATACTGAAGTCAACGAGTGAGCGGCTGCGAACTACAGATATGTGGATAGGTACCCGCGCCAAACGAGTTGGCTACCAGACCTTGAGATCCGATTTTTGACACTTCAGGGAATGTGAATGACACACCACAATACTGTACCGTACGCATTTTGTGGTCTGATCTATGGTAATCATCTAATAACGGCTTAGTTTGTATTCATATGTAGTGTAATTCGTTTCCATCTCCGGTTGTGTTCCTACTATCAACATTCAGCCAATCAATCAAGACAAGCCAAGAGCTGTGCGAGCTCCACCCGCATCCAGCAGTGCAATGATCTTCTCCTTCTCTTCGGCTGGCATGTCAACGTTGGCAAGACTCTCCGTCAAGGAGGCAACCTCCTTTTCTTTCTCCACGTACTTCAAGGCGATCGCAGCCAGTCTGTCTGGGGTTTGCGATTCAATGAACTTCGTTCCTTCCTTGTACACTAGTTTTGAAGCCAAGCACGAGCAATCGCGTTCTTGATGTACTGCTCAGGAACCCTCTCGTTGACTTTGTCAAAGGACAAGTCAGCCAGTGTCTTCGGAAGGTGTGCGCTGTAAGGATGACAACAAAGAGAAGGAATGAGCTTTGTCGTTCTTGCACATTGGTCACAACACAAAGTTCAGCACCGAACACTTACCGGAACAAAGGCAACAGCGACTCTCTATCTCCCTCGGACAGCTCATCCAAAGCTGCAGTCAGTGCATCGGTTGTCACATTAATAGAATTGCTGATAACCTGGCTGATGCGTGGCAAACTGCCCGAGTACATCTCGTATTCACGGAAAAGCAGCTCTGCTTCCAGCTTCGCCAATCCGCGGAGCTTCGTGAGGACTTCTTCGACAATGGCATCTTTGTTTTCCACAAACTTCTCTTCGCTCAGCAACATTGCAGAACAAATCTCATAGGAGCTCGTAATCACGCCTCCCTTGTTTGCGGAAGAATCCTTGACAATCAAAACACCGGCATCGTCAAAGAGAGCCTGCCTAGCCTCTGCGGTAACGAAGAGGTTCGCGCCCTCAACAATGAGGGGTGAAGAAGCTGTCCCATCAGGCTTCAGAAAGTGTTTGTAGTTGTTAATGTCGATTGTGTTGGGGCGTCCCCCGCAAGGAACGAACGCGTCGGCCTCCAATCGGTTGTGCATGCTGTTGCGCATCTTTATTCCCTCTTCCGTCGAAACGTCATGCAAGACGCCCTGCGGGCCCAACTTAGAAGCATTGAAATGAGAAATGCACAAGCTCGCCTTCATGAGGCGAAGCAGTTCGTCATGGTCGAGGCCATCCGGATCCTCGGCACATCCCGAATGATCAGCCACCCCAACTACTTTCACGTTTTCGCCGTACTCACGAAATAGGATCTTGAGTTCATTGCCTGCATTCATGTCAGAATTCAAAGACACTTGTTTGGTCAGGTTCTATGCTCATGTCCCTTCAACACGTCAACAAACTAATGCTTACCTGCAACGTCTCCATCAGGTCCACCAGTCATCTTGACTGTGAACTCGGCCTTCGTAGGGTCAATGCCCAAGGCATGCCGCAAGGCGACATCCAAGTAAACATTCACACCCTCGGAGGTGACGCCAAACTCCTTGTGGTTGATTCCAGAGCGAGGCTTGCTGGACATGAATGCAGCCGGAACATCGTAGCTGCGGTAAGCGGCTCGTTCAATGATCCAGTTGATGTCGTCGGGGATGACTTGTTCATCAGGACCCAAGTACCTGCCGTCGTAGAAACAAATCCAAATGATGAGGACAATTGAGCACAATATGAAGGAAACCACTCTTCCGAAGAACCTTGCGAAAGCAAACTTACAATATTTCCTAACCAGAACCAAGAATCCAATCAAACCAAGAAGAAAGAATCAACTTTGTAAGACTCTCGGACTTCATTGTAACTCAACCAGCGGAGCAGTGCATACCTTCTTTCCGTAATAGTCCACGATTCGTTCGCGTGTTTCTTCAGTGTCAACAATCAGATCAAGGATAGTATCTAGTAGGAGATGCAGGAAAAGGCGATTGTGAGCGGCATGCTGCCATAATGATGCCGTTGTGATTTCCTGAACTTACCGGTGAATGCCTTTACACTCTTTCTCATGACGAAGTCCTTGCCAGCCTCTGACAAACCAACAACATTGATCAAATTGACAGCTTTGCTTCCACCCTCGGGGATGTCCTTGTTCTTTAGCTGCTGGGCGAATGCTAGCCCATAACACTCATCATACTGGTGGGCCGACTCGAGAGCAAATTGTTCAGGTGTAGGAGGAGTGACAAGACGCATGCCACCTCGAGAAATGTCACGGAAGCGAGTATGGAAGCCATTGAATCGCCTTCCGTGGAGAAAAACAATGCCGTAAGGAAGTTCACGGTCCTCGCCCATAATCCTTGGGTCCAACCTCAGCCCAAGCGCGTATCGATCCTCCATGTAGATGTTGGTCTTGAGGGTATGGGCCACCACTTCAATCATCTTCAAAAGCAACGCTGAAGCAGTAGCGTCCTCCACGTCATTATCAATGGCCTGGCGCAGCTGTTCGCATCTAGCTTCAAAGTCCTCAGCGGGCATCTTCCCCGCAGTGGGGTTGAATCTGTCCAAGAAGAGATCAGCAATTTGGGCAGCATGGTCAATGTATCGTTCCTTTGTCACTGTTTCCAAGATGTTGGCCTTGGAATAGACCAGGGCATTCTCCTTTGACATGATGGGATGCATCAAAGAGCAGATTCCAGTCACAATTTCGCCACGCTTCACTCCGAGCCAAGGATAACGATCAAAGATCAGATCCATGGTTTTAACATCCAGCCACTTGCACCGCTTCAGCTCCCTGGCCAAGATCTGGAAAGTTTCATCAGTTGCTGTGGTTCCTTCCACTGGAGCCACATGCATTCGCAACATTGTGACGGTGCCGTTGTCACCATCGGAGATGAGGTCCAAATGGGCATTCTGAACATCCAGATTGTGAAGGAACAGAAGCCGAGACGCGTTTTCCAGTGCTTGTTGGGGCAGCGTGTTCGCCAATGCAACGTTCACCCAGTAGGTATCTTCTCTATCATCTCCAGATGCATCCTCAACAACCACAGCTGTTCCTTCGGTGCCTGTAACGAGTTCAAATAGTTCTCTCTGCCGCAAGAACCTTCTGGGATCAGTCTTGGCAATGTAGGACTTGTTGCATCGTTTAAAGTAATCCAGCAAACTTTCCCGTTCAAACAAGGGTGAAGGACGTGGATGATTGGTGCTCCAGTCTCCTGGCGATACAAGCGACGAGAGAGATTTGACGCCAGGCATGAGCTGTTCCTGACTTGCCGCCTGAATAGTCTGCGCATAGGCAAGGATCCTAGATCCCAACCGTTCCAAGTCTTCCGAGCCATCAAATGCATCCTCTCCATCCTGCTTTTGACCTCCACCAAAAACAAAGACGTTGATGGACATGGAATCATCCGCCGTACAAAACACTTGGGCACGAGTCAGTGCTTTGTAGTCCTCGGAATAGATTGTATGAGGGAGTTCTTTGACCATGGAAAGCAAATTTCCCGGTTGGGTTCCTGCCCGAATCATTGTGATAACCTCTGTACCATCACTTGTGGTGCTCTTGAGGTTCAAGTAGTGGTCCATTCCAGCATCTGAATTAAGGAAAAGTATGAAAAAACCCAGCATTGGGTACCAACTGAAACAGTGAGATATCCATCCATATTGTGTCCAGAAGGCAGCCTTTGTATGATATTCGAACCACAAAAAACAGCATATAAGCATTTGCTCACCTTTAATGGCAGCAATGGCCTTGATATGGTCCACACGAAACTTTTCAGGCACTTGCCTAAAGTATGGTGGTGGCACTGAAGAAAAGCAACGAGATGAGAAAAGTAAGTAGCTGTATTTAAAACAATGCCAGAACATACATGAGTGCCAAAGAAAAATGACGCCACTTACTGTTTTGCAAGAACCAGGGTACCACTGATTGGATGGTGTTGGTTTGCTCTTGGATCAATTCATGAATCATTGCCTGTTGGGTGACACGTTGAATATCCAAAGCACCTTCGGCTTGCCATGGTTGCGCCATTCCATGATCTTGCCTGAGTCCTCTATCCGCCAAGCTATCCCAACTGCTGCGAGGAGGGGGCGGAGCCGAAGAAAAGGCTGCCGTGGTCTGAATGTTCCACAAAGGCATGGGAGATCGAGCTGCTGCTAGAACTCGAGCCTGCTGTCGAGCCAGCTTGGTAACTCCAGAGCGTAGCATGGTTAAATTTTTGTGTATTCTTTATATCTGTTGGTAGATTTCTTGAAATTGAATTATGGTAGGGTATCCTCAAAAGCTCGATGCTTGCTACACTGCAGCTTTCTTGACAATCAAACCATGCAGGACAGTGTCAAGCAAAGCCGATTGATCTGTTGATACTACCTTCAAGTTGTCAGATGCACAACTTGGAGTCTTTATGATGTTGATGGATTTGCTCGGTGGCAAAGATGGATTTGCTCGATGGCAAAAATACTTTTGCCTTGCTTTGAGGCTATTGATTTGGATATTATATGGAATTCAGTCTGATGGCGAGGACACAAACATCGGAGTATCGGGGTATCAGAAGGCAATCACTTGCTATCAATCTAGCTAGTGAAGCCAATCACTGGAAAGATAGAAGCTGTGGGACCCACAATTTTGCATCAACTGCGGAGGTATCCGTAACGTGTGAGAAAACCAACGAAAGCGAACCTGTGCAGCTAGCCCTGTTGGCTAAAGTTGACACCTTTCTCACTTGCTTGAAAGGCATCAAAATCAAGAGAGTAGAGTGTCGAGGATTGAATCGAATCATTCATCATTCATCATTCATTTCGAGCTTACTACATACATGTAATTTATCCAACGAGTGACTCAGTCGAATGATTCGATTCGACTCGACTCAGTCGAATCAAGATAGCAGGAACGTGCCGCTTCCGCGCTGCCTTCTTGTTTCGCACTTCCCCAAGATCGCTTTGACAACCACTTTCAACAAGGGGCTTCTGGTTTTGCTCATAATCTGCCAATTCTACCCGGGAAGAACAATTGCAACGATGAAGGAGACTGCGGTTCGTTTTTGGACGGAGGCGATGAAGATGATTCGATTCATTCCATAAGTGACAATGTGATTGGCTTTGGTCGTGTTGGCGTCGTGTGCTTTGGTTTCTTGTTGACGATGGTGGTAGCTTGCCGGTGATGCTTACGTGACAACTTCCGCATGCTGGGTTCTTCGGGAAAGGGATATTGGAGAGGAAACCTTGTTTTCTGCCTTTTTTATCTCTTTTTCATTTCATAGGGCGGAGTGCTTCTGATCCATTCCCTAGTGACGATATCGAACCAACGATGAGAGCGCTGATGAGCTGATTGACGCACTTTTTGCCTACTTTTACTAGGACCTGCGGATGGCTCCAATCTACAGCGACGAGAACCCTGTTTGACGATGATGTCCCGATTTGGCGACGGCGAGACCATGACTTATGAGCGCTGACGAGCGACCCTTTGATCGATTGACGAGACCATATGTGATATGCGGAAGAAGATCTAAGTTCCCCAGATTTGACCATGACGACGACGACGGCGATGTTTGTTCCCGCGACGACGAAAGTGTTGACCAGGCAGATGTAATGTACCGGGCTCCCGCTTGTGTGCTCCCTTACTCTACTCTTCCGTAGTTTCCCCAGACGCTACCTTCCTACCGCCCCAGACTTGAAAGGTAAGCCACGCTGCTTCTGACTGCCACGATGGAGCGGAGATTGGATGGTTTGCTCATTCTCGTTCACTCTTCCCACCGCAGTCCCAACCTAGCTAGGCGTACCCTGAAGTCTTCCTGGTGGCATGCTCCGTGATCTAGTCCTGTCTTGCGTATCCAGTACAACCTACTCGAAGCGTTTATGCCTGTTCCTGCTCCGGACCCTTCGGATCTACGCCGGTTCCTTCCCACGAGTTGGAGGTCAAGGTCTGCATGTTCCCTTTAGTGTGTCCGCCACCTTGGGTTTACGAGAGTGCCGTGTTGTTCGAGTAGCTGACCCGTCCTTCCCATACCAAGCCCAAGCGACAATGTTGCGAGATGGGGTTCCTGTGATGTAGCTGTCCTGTTCCTTTCCTTGTTCCTACACCCAAGTCCAACCGACAATGATCCTGTTCTCTTGTGGTTGTTTTTGATGTCGAGCCCGTTTATTGTCCTACCAGCTTTTGAAGCGTCTGTACGGTAGCAACCAGCCAGGAGATGACCCATTCCATCAATGATCGGCCCAAGACCCCGCCTTTGTCGAGTTCCTTGTCCCTGTTCTGTGCCCTGTCTAGTTCTACGCAACACCCCTCCAGGGTTGGTTGTTCTCCCATGTCCCTCTCCATTTATGGTTTCCCTCTCTACAAGATGATGATGATGACGATGATGATTTCTCCGTGGCGTGTCGGGTAGCTTAGAACTGTACTTTCCTCGGTTGACAAGTCGGCGTCGAAGGCATCTTCCTTTTCAGTCTCCAGGAGCGATTTGATCCCAGCCATCATATCAGCGTTGCCGCGCGAAGTTAGTACTGTACGCAGGAAGCTTTTTCATCGTGACCCGACGGTTGGTTAGAGTGGTCCACTCGGTTCTCCGGTGGAAGGCAGGAATAGGTAAACTAGAATACGGCCAGCAATGGGAGGACACTGTTCCTGCCATTCGCTGGTCGGGCTACGGCCATCACGTCTTTCCTAGCTAGATAGCCGGTTCTAGATCAGTCATTAGGCCGAGGCCCGAGGCCACAGTGCTTCCGGCAAACCCCGGAGCAACGAGACATCGAAGGTTTGCGAACTTATTGGGATACTTCTATTGTTGTTAGCTTCTATGCGCTCCACAAAAAGCAGCGTTCATCATTCAATCGCAGCTGCCATGTAAGTGAATTGCCCGCCTGCATCCTCCACAGTCCCCATACCAGGCGGAGAAAAATGTGGAGATATCAACAGGGCATCTTCCGCAGCTATCCGTTTCAATAGTTTTCTCCTCGCTTCACAACTAGTTGTGGCATGCCATTTTGAGTTGTTTCTCAGAGCTGGCATCCATGTTGTTTCCACATTCGACATTGGAAGGAAGGGGCGGCTTTTCCAAGCACAACAATCAAAGAGAGGCACCAGGTCTGGATCTAAGACTTGATGAGCAAAATGCATCGCATCACCAATGTAAAAGGCAACTTGTGGTGGCATGTCTTCATCCTCTGCAGTTTTGCCTTCAATCCTTACAGCAATGTGACCAGGGGTGTGACCAGCACACAGAACTGCTGTTAGCTGAGGACATTTTTCCTCGTCAATGGGAATATTGTTGTCGTCGTCACCGTCCAACAGCCGCAGCCTACCCTGTTCTTTCAAAGGCTCAAATCTGTCAACTGCATCTTGTTTCCATGGACACCCCGAATAGGTCGCAAACTCGTATTCTTTGCTATGCAAAACATGAACGGCGTTCGGAAAGGATCCAACCCACCCAACATGGTCTCCGTGGCAGTGAGAATGGACGACAAAGTGGATATCTTCCAACGATAATCCCAGTTCCTCCTGTAGTATCTTGTCCAAAGCATGTGGAGGTTTTTCAGGAACTGGGTGACCTGAGCACTTTTCGACCTCCTCAATCCACGGCCCAACTCCTGCATCCAGCAGAACATTCGTACCAGTTGGCAATCGTACCAAACAGATCCCAAAGCGCATCAAGGATAGTCGCCCATCCTTCAGAGGAAGATTGGGATGAGAATCTGGGTGGAAGGGAAAGTCTGGATCCACTTCGTAGCACGCTTCAGTCAGATTTAGGATTTGGATCCCCCCAAGAGAAGCTCGAGTTAATGGTTGCCACGAATCTGGTGGGCTTGGATGCAATTTGGATTTGATTCGTTCGTACACTTCATTGGGCAAACTTGTCATGACTGAAGACTAGCTAGTAGATAGAAGTGAAGTATACATGTAGTAGCAAGCGCTAGAGCCGGGGCTACGGTACCAGGCACCGGCAGCATAGGGAAGGAGCCGATATCAACTTTTTGTCTGCTGCATTTGCTTCCACTTGGCCGTTGTCTTGTTGTCTTCGGTCTTTCTTCGTGGGTTCTGGGGAAGATTGGATCAAGTGAGGTTCCCTCTATTATTCAGCATGTTCCGTTTTTAGGCGCTGAAAGAATTCCCCACCTTACCGATGTCAAATTACCTTATTCTGCTAGAGCGATATGAACATGTTGGGATTTCTTGCTTGTTGCTTTGCTTCTTGGTTTATCAAAAGGTTACCGGTAGATAATCACAGAGCGCTTCTCAGGTCTTGCTTTATCCTATTATTGGCCATGACCGTACTCTAGAGAGCTACAGTAAAATGCAGCTCCAAGAGGGCGTGACAATGGGTGTGACACTGCGTGACATTGAGCGCACCCGCAAACAAGAAGGGAGAAGCCACAAGTTCCTTGCTTCCCACCAAACACTCCAGTATGGCATACCTACAGTACTCTGAGCATCAAAGTAAAAATTGAATGCCTCAAAGCTCGGAACGTACTGGGAATGAACAATCAAATCGTGAGTTTCTGCGACAAACAGCCCTTCGCCCATTTTGGTTGATATCATGTAGGCGGCGGAGTACATGAAGCTGGTACGATTCGTAGATAGATGACCTTGACAGTTGAGAGAGACTTCAGATTGCAGATTGCAGCCCTCACGCGGCAGTTCGTGTGACCACTTGTTAACCGCTCTTTCGTCGGTTGTGAGACTAGCCAAAGCTTGTGCGCACATCTCATTCCCGGAACCTGCCAAAGTTTTTTCGGAATAGTCGACTGGCGATAAGGCTTCCCAGAGTAGAGCGTCCGTGAACCATGAAATCATTGCAAATGGGTACGATGGTTAGACGTCATCAAGCAAAATTTGGCAAGACCACTGGTCATAGGTGGTAGCGAGCTTGTTTTCTTAATTAAATTTTGGTATCTTTCCCACGCACTGATGTGTGCATGGGCAACTGGAACTGCTCCAAGAGTCATTTCCGGACAGCTTATGATGCAGTCACTATTTTTAAAGGAAACCTCCGTGGGATCAGTCGATAGTAATTGAAACTGTGACCTATGTGTTATTAAAAAATTAACTTGATCTGACCACAACCTCCTAGATAACCTTGCCATTGGCAGTTAGGCTCAGCGAGCCATGTTCCCACGATATGTTCCAACCGGTAAGCGTCGGTAAGCATGTGTCACATAACCAATCCAATCCAATCTGACCAAGCCCAGTCGACTCGACTCCAAGCTAATAAGGAACATAATCTGGAACAACAAAACAACAAGAACAAGAAACTTGGACCACAAAACGAGAATAGTTTTCCATCAAAGCAATGGCACCCATGGTTACTAATAATCAACCCTCTACATCGAAATTCGAAGTTTCAGAGGATGTCGTCAGTGAACGGCACCTTCGGAAGCGGCTTGCCGCCAGAGTCCGGCAGCAGCGTTGTCGTGCTCGGAAGCGAGAAGCCAAGTTGGCAAAGACCCAACGCAATGTGAAAGCTCCTCGACCTACCGCTCAGCATCAAATCGTGAGAGGACCTGTTTTGATTCGCAGTCCACCACCACACATATCGCCTCGTATGTCAATGACACTGATGCATCACCCAACCTCCCCATTCATCATGTATCCAAGAAGGAGCGCACCTTTCGCGACCCCTGGAGCCCCGCCTCCTCCAACCATGTACTCGCCACCACCACCTCCTCCTCCCATTGGAATGGGAAATGGTGCTTTTCATCGACGCCGGCCCATGCATAAAGACATCATGTCGGAATCGGTCTTGGCCCTGAGTATGAGCCGAAGTCCAGTTATGCGTCGTCCTCCTCCTTTGGTATCTCCTCCCCATCCATCCACAACGGCTATGCCCCACACAAGATTGTTTATTCCGCACATTCCCCGAGTGTCCCCTGTGGATCAGTCAAATAAGAAGTTTGGCATGGTTCCTCTGCTTCCTGATCTGGTGGTAGATCGTTTGGAACGAAAGGAGGAAACTGCCATTGACGCCATGCTTTCTCTCCATCGATCTCCATCCAAGACTGAAGCCTAAGTTTGGACGAGGTATTTCGGATATCAAATCTTGAGGTGTCCCTTCTCTTGTCACGAGACGCTACAATTTCATTCTTTCTTTCATTTTCTACACTACACCCACCATCCTATGCTGACATTTTCCGCCTGTGCACTGATGCTGCTGTCTGCAGGTTCGAATGGCTTCAGCTTTGTACTGAATGCATGGGGAACAACCAGATCCTATCCTAAACTAGAAATCATACATATAGATCTTCATGGTAATCTTCTCCTACTAGCTACACGTATTAGTTGCCTTTGGAAGCCCAAGCGTATGATGTGCCTTTTGCCGACAAGCAACAAAAAGGTCTTGGGGGCTTGGATAGCTACCGGTAGGTAGAGAGCAAGCACAAGAGTCAAGAGCAAACGCCCCAGAATAGAGGCCATCTAGCTAGACGTGCCAACGGGTCCTCTAGAGGTTGCTAGATTGATTGATCAAGGAAGAACAAAGCTTGCTTGTCTCGTGATGGATGCAATCAAGAACAAGCAACTTGCCAATGCATCCAGTCACTCTTTGCTAAACTTGTATGGCAGAATCTTTGAAGCCTGTAGATCTAGTCGTGTCAAACCAGCATCGAACTCGAACTGGCTCCAGTGTACTACCTGGGCTGGGAATCCTTTCGCGTTGCGGCTGAGGTGCATGTAACCTGGTACCGGTCCGGGTGCACAGCTGGCAGGTGGAGTCGTGTGGAAAGTTGGGAGAAATGTGGATACGGACCGGACCCATGAGCAGTAACGATACGCTGTACCACGGCCCAGGAAGATCCATGTCAATCAATGAGTGCGGGACCTGTAGTTTGAACAACCCTTCACCAATTCATCATTTCCCTCCAGCAAATTGAATGATTCATTCAATCTTTCCTTTCAACACAAGCCAACAACACATTTCATCCCCCCAATTCAACAGTTTCATTATCAATTGAAGATTCCAATTCTCACAGTTCACACCAATGCATCACATTCATCGCCGCTTTGCAAACTTTATAGACAGACAGTGCACTTGCTGGAAACCTCTTCTGAGTTCCATCCAGGAGACTATCTTTGTTTGACAATGTTTCCTAAGGCGGCCTCTGTTGCAAAAACATACAAACTAGCTTGAAGCTATATCTATATGTATCCATCAGTAGTAGCTAGCTTGATCTTTGTTTATGTATGTATTCTAATGGAATAGGGTGGTGCTCAGGAATGAAATTAACTTGACCATCAATTTTGATTGCCGTCACTGACATCATTGTTTATTGGCACCACCGGCAAAACATGGTTCTTCTTCGTGTCTTTTTGCCTACAGTAACTTCCGCCAACTAGTTACGAAGCTCTGCTGGTGCGCCGTTTCCTATTGTTGCGTCCACCTCTGTAAAACCGAACGAGTCGCCTCCAGAAGCCTTTCTGATCCTCCAATTCACGCATGGCCTTTTCCTGTTTCAAGAGTCCGATGGCCTCCTGAAAAAACTTGCGTTCCTTGTCTCTCTGTTCCGCCCATTCCTCCTTGGCGACTTGCATGGCTGTTGCATGCTGTAATTTTTCAAATTGCATCTGTTCTTTCACTGCCACCATTTCATCTTCTAAAAGCTGATTGCGATTACCTAGCTCTTCGAGCAAGTAACTTGTTTCTTGGTCTCGTTTTTGTTTGGCTTGGGATAGTTCCGTGTGTAGTTTGCTCACGTCTTCTTCCAGTCGATCATTTTCTGTCTTCCATTCTTTCTGCAATTGATCTAGTTCGTTCTTGTACTGCGCAGCTTCTTGATGATATCTTGTTTCCAACAGATCCAACTTGTCCAGGAGTATCTGTTCTCTGGCTTCGGCTGATGCAACGGCGGCCGTGGCAATTTCGAGAGATTCATTCCATTCCCCTTCCTTTTGGGCTCTCCACTCGGATGTTTCCTTGCGCAATTGTTGCGTGGTTTCATCCTGCTGCACTTTGGCTTGTGCCAGTAACTTGCGTTCCAATTGGCTCATCGCTAGGGCATGATCTTTTTGCAATGCAGCCTCTTGTTTTTGCCAAGACGATTCCTGAGCTTGCAACTGAGACTGATGTGACTGATTGACTTGTACAAGGGCATGTTGTTGGAGTTCTAAATCTTGTTCCAGATCCATCACATGGGATTGTAAACGGTCCAATTCTCTTTGATCCTCCAACTGGGAAACATTCATGTGATTCACCACATCTTCTAACACTGAAAGTTTGGCCTGCAGCAGGATGCTGTTGCCATCATTGCCATCACTATTTAGTTCTTGTGGTTGCAGCTCTGCTTCTGACGATTCATTATCCTCCATGGTAGTGAGCAGGCATGTTGCCTTGTGACGTCGATGCGCCCTCTGGGCAGGAGATAACCATTGATGCTGATAATTCGGAAGGACCAACGACCAAGCTGAAGATGAGCACAGCGTCAACAATACCACTACCCTCGTACTTGTGGGTCTCATGGCGCACCGAACAGATGATTGTTGTGTCATTCTAAATTCTAACGAAAGGGATATTGCCACAAAACCAAGCTAGCTAGCTAGTAGATAGAGCTGGAATCTGAGAATGCTTATTAGTTAGACAGGAATCTTCGACAGCCTCCGATGATGAGAGTGTTGAATCTTTGCTCCTGAATCTAGAATCCGTTGATTTGACTGTCACTCTTGACTTTTGACTGCCCGATGTCAAAAGTTGACATGCGAAAGTGATGAGTGGCTCCAAATGGAAGGTGAGAGGAAGTTTCAGTTCTTTTGTTCTGGACAGAATTTTGAATCAAAGCCGGTAGAGCTGTATAAAATGGACCCAGAAGGGGCAAAATTTTGACGTGTCTTGAGAAGGGACGTAGTGCGTGAGTTTTACGCGGACATTTAGAACTGGTGCCGTGTCACCAGCCATCACCGGACACAGCCCGACTTCACGACTTGCATGCATTCCTCCTTTTCGCGGCGCATGCTGCCAAGAAGGGAACTTCAAGAGACGGGAACACTGCCATTTAGCCATCCTGCCATTGTCGACTGAAGCCCACCAACCGGATAGAGCAAGCAAGAACCTACTTGTCAAAAGGACCACTCCACTTTATCAATGGCCATGATCCCATATTTGCCTCAAGCAAACGACGAAGAGCCGCTTGCCAAGTACCGGTAGAACGGTCGACTGGGTTTGTTTACTGCATCGTCACTCCGTCTTGAGAAGCGAGAACAGAAAAGCACGCAACGGCAGTCCTTCTTTTCTGTTTGCTTGGTGGAACAGTGGACGCTACGATGCTCTTGAGAGAGCCTTATCAGTTCATTTTCAAGGGTAAGTCAACACATAATACATGTACTGTATTATGTTACTACCGGTAGCATTTATTTGGTTGGCGTGTCGCTGACCTTTCTGTACATGTATGTTTTCCATCTGTTGTTATTCATTTCCCAGGGTATTCTATTTGGCTGGAAGTGGAACAGCAAAATGGGGATTTGGACAATGCAATCCAATGTGCAGCTTCTGAGAAGTCTCTCTTCCCCATCCCGGATGCTCACTGCACCGTCCTCTACGGAGCCACGCACTTGTCCGAGAGGGAAGCCATGCAATGCTTCCGTGACAAGGTAGTTCCTTTACTGGAGAGGCGCGGTGGGTGGCCATCCCTCAAACCAAAATGCTCCAACAGTGGCGTCGCTTTTGATGGGGTTGATGGGGAAGAGATGGACATGTCATGGATGGAGTTATCCTTTCATTCGTCCGAAGCTCATGAAGCTATGGTTGACAGCGTCTATTCGTGTTTCTACGGCGGCAGCAAGAGAGGTTGCGTTACCACTGAGCGAATTGGGCCCTGGCTTCCGCATGTCTCCATTGCCTATGATAGTCCCGAGGACACCGTGTTGGACGAAGTCTACACTGCTGAGTTATTTGACAGAATTCCTTCTCTCCTGAGCAAGTCTTGCAGAGATGTTGTGGGCATTTCTCTATGGCGAACAGAGGGCAAACTATGGGACTGGGAATGTTTGGACAGAGTATCCTTGCTCCCAGAAAAGAAGGCGTGCTGATAGAATATATTATACTCGTATGAGTACAGGTACATGTAGAAATAAATGAACGAATGGACGAGTGACATCCAATTATTAGATTCCAGCTTATCACAGTTGCTCGCAAAAGGAATGAAACTGCGCATCTGTAGCGGAGTCTTCAAATACGAAAGCAATGATATCTATTTGACAGCGGCGAGGGTGCGTAATGATGCCGATGGCCCTTTCAGGAAGCAGAATAAAAAAGTCCTTTTTAGTTTCGTGCGTAGGAGACGAACTTACCCTTGAGGCAAGACAAAAAGTATCTGACCAGGCGCCATGCAGCCAGCCACCAAGCAAGCAGCTTGCTTGAAGAGACTAGGGCTTCAGCCAAGCACCAGTTAGTTGTAGCTATCGATTTGGTGGTAGCTGCAGCGCATCCCGTTTGGTTGCCCCGGTGCACTTGCTTGACCTTTGTAGTGCAGCGAACCCCACGACCGCGAAAGCCAGGACGTGACTGGCTGGGTCAGTTCATGGCAACCACTGATACCGGTATGATAGAGCAAGCAACCATGCCTTCGTTAACCAGTGGTTGCTCGGCCTCACCACAATGTAAAAGCGACATCAACGAACGAACGAGGCACGCAAACCTCACGATCCCACAGAAGAGAACCCACCCAAGCCACAGGGAACCGACATGGTTCCAACACATCGGTTGCAGACTCGAAACAGAGCCTTGTGGTTAATTATTGTTGTCTTATAGTAACATCATTCTTTCATTTTCTCTAATATATCCAGCTTTCCAACCTGACCAACCCGTCATGCCATCCACTTGCGCATACATCCTCTACCGTAGCTAGCTGCGCAAGTTTAGGTCAGATCAAAATCATCCTCTTCTCCATCGCCGCCGCCTCCACCAGCTTCATCGTCGATTGTCTTTTTCACTTTGACCAAAATGGATGTCTTCCAGGGATCCAGTTTGGAAATTCTATCGTATTCAAAGCAGGCGGTACCAAATCCTTCGGTATCGTAATTTTCCACACATTCGACCAGTTGTCGTGCGAATTTTCCTTCTCGTGATTCACCAAAGGTATAATCGACTCCTTCGTAACGCTGCAATGCCTGGGTGGCGCCAATGGGATCACCACTGGCCAAATGGCAGAGTGTGGACTGCAAAAAATACCCCTTGGCATTGAATTTCAACAAATTGGAATCAAGGCAACGCCGTCCCAAATCATCGTATATTTGGGCGGCACGCGTAAGATCGGGAGGATCCAAAGCTCCCGAGCAGAGCTCGGCAACTTTTGCTAGGCACTGGGACGACTGACTCTTGGCATCTTCCATGCCAAACAATTCCGAAGCTTGCTCGTAGGATTCAATGGCCAGCACAATGGAAGACTTTTCGGAATCCGTGCTGACTTCTTCATTCTCATACAGCTCGGCGCATTCTTTGCAGAGCTTGGCGGCCTGCGTAATTCGACCATTGTCGGTGTAGAGTGCAACTGCTTCACTAAACGCCTTGACGGCATCCTCGGGGTTGCTCTTGGTAAAGCATTTTCCTAAAAATTCAAATACGAAAATTCGGTAAGAATGACACGCTCGACTACCAAAATAGACCCCTTTCAATACGAAAATTCGAGAACCCACCTGCTGCCGCCATGTCTTTGCTGGCTTCATTGAGGTTGGTCAATTGATCACGATGAATCTCAGCAGCCCTTCGATATGCCTCTCCTGCTTCCTGATTAAATCCTCCGACCTTGTAGGCATTCGCGGCTTGCTCCATCGACTCCGCGGCCTCTTCGTACTTTTTCTCCTTTGAAGAGGAGAACCATGAGCTTTTCGATTTGCTCAGCTTCTGCTCGGCTTCTGCGATGAACGCATCGCCCTTCTCCTTTTGCCTCTTTGCCATTGCCGACATGATTGCCGTTTGGTTGTTTTGCTTTGTTTCTTGTTTGCTTCTTGTGCGGTTGCTGGTTGTGTGTCCAGTCAAGCAAATGCTGCTGGAGTGGATGCTGGAGATCCAATCCAAGAGTGGAGGCGAAGCAAAGGCGTCCGAAGAAGGCCGGTTTGGACTGTGCCATCGAAGAAGGGGCGGAGGGAAATCTCCACGCAAGCCAATCGTTCCCCAACGGTCGTTTTTCATGCCGTTTTTGCCTCACAAAATTATTCATCCGCCCTCTTGCCACCGCACACCTCGAGAGACAAAGAAGGATATTGGCAATGCCGTATGATCTATTTCTCTACTACCAATAGAAAGCAAGCTTACTAACTAGCTAGTTGACTGCAACTCATGTCAAGATGCGGTGGCGGTTGTTTCTCCTGTCACCTCTCCTAAACTATCTGAGAGTTTTTAGCTGTGACAGAACTATTCGATCGATCACCAATGACATCCTCTCGTGGCAGCAAGAGCACAGCAATCGCCAAGTGGACCGACCCTATGTAACAGTTACCTATGCACAGAGCTTGGACGGCAAGATTGCTCTTATTTTGGCAGACAAAGAGGGAAACGATGATGACTCGATATTATCATCCTCGGCTCCCACCTCTAGTAACTTTGCGCTAAGCGATCCCGCATCCTTCAAAATGACACATGCTCTCAGGTCCATTCACGACGGGATCCTGGTGGGAGGAAAGACTTTATCAGTTGACAATCCACGCCTCAGTAATCGATTGTGGGGTACAGCTTCTCGCAAAATGTCTCGAGCAAGTGGACAACCCCGCCCCATTGTCTTGGATACACATTTAAAGCATATCAAGGCGCTAGGGAAGAACTGTCGAGCAACCAATGTCATTGTATGTTGTTCCCAGGAAGTAGCCGCAACAGTGGATGCACAAGATCTACCAGATTCCATAGAGATTCTACGATGCCCGATAAACCTCGAAACCGGGAGAATTGATATCTTAGAGATGCTAAAGCAGTTGAAGCAAAAGTACAACATTCAAAGTCTAATGGTCGAAGGAGGCGCCAGTGTGCTGACATCATTTTATAGTCAACCACAGTTGGTGGACTGTATCTGCATTACAGTGGCACCCAAGCTGTTGCTATGGAGAGGTTTGTCGGCTTTGAACACAGACAACAACTGCAGAGGTAGTAAAAGCAAATGCATCTTAGATCACGACGCCTTTGATTCCTCAAGGTTCTCCTTGTTGGGGAAAGATGCCATACTCTTGGCGAAGCTAAGAAACTAGCTCAATGATCCGCAGTTGGAATCGATTCACACATCGGTTGGTTGGTTTTCTGTTCGTACTACATGTACTTGATACGGTACGCTCTACAAGGTGCCAAAGAGACCAGAGAAGAAAGCGCGCTCATGAACCTTGTACTACGGCACTACAGTAGTTGCTGTTATCCTGTCATGGATGACTCTCGCATTGACACGGGTCCCAAGAACTTGAATCCAGGTCTCAATCGGACAGACTCTTGTTCTTGAAACCGATGGTCTCGCAAGAAGTCTTCGACTTTGATGCTCAAAGTGCGCTCCTCGGCGACATCTTGGTACACACCCGCTTGTTTGAGTGCCAGCACCACAACCCAAGCAGATGGTGATACTGGACCGCTACTAAACTTTTGCAAATTGGTGGCATAAGCCATGGCTCCGCCCAAACAGAGCGTACTATGAGCCCATTTATAGCCGCCCTTTTCGGAAAGATTGACCCAAGTATCACGAAACGACACGAATTGTTTGTCCATGTAGTCCCGTATCCGTTTGGTCGACGGTGGCATTTCATAGTTTTCGTCATTGCGTCTCTCTCCGGACGACGCCAATGGGAGCAATATCATGGATCTGGATTGTGACATTTCTATTCTAGTCAAGAGCGGACGGGCAATAACTCCTTCCCCTGCCGTTGCCTCCAGCACCAGTAGATTGGAAGGATCAAATTTGTCCTTTCTGGATTTGACATATCCAGGAACCACAATTCCTGTACGGTAGCGAAGGGAGAGAGTAACATCATGATGAGCTCCAAATAAATACGGTAGCAACATGGCCACACGATGGAATTCTAAAAGTCCTTTTTTTCATTTCACGTACCACAATGATCAAATTTCCCATGGTCCACGGATCGCACTTGCTCATCCCCATCATCGCACAAGAGAGCCCTCGCCACAATGCAAGACAAAGCAGCCCAAGGTCCCGAAGCGCACAATTCTGGTCTTCGGTCAAAGAGAATGACATCTCCAGGTCGACATTTTTCCACCATTAAATCATCCACAGTTTGGACATTGGGTAGACGGACTCTGGTTTTGACATCTTGGGCTCGTTTTTGCCGTTCGTCGTGAGCGTATTTCCACCAAAACGCCGTGGGAACTGCAGGTGCCGCCACGCCAATGCTCATTCGTCGGACTGTCCTCCAAAACCGAGGAGTAAACTTCATCTTGTTCCTGTATTCAATCAAGGCAGCCTAACAAACCACTAACTGATAAAGGAGAAGAAAGCATCGATCGTGAAGGATCTTACGAACAAGAGGACGTTGTGATCGGTTTCCTTCGAAGTTGTGGCTGATGGATCCTGTGGTTTTGAGTTGCCGCCAACAAATAAATCTTTTCTGAGTCATTTCATGACTAACTGAGTCACTAATCCTTCCGCGGGCAAACCGACCAATCGATCTTGAGAAGCCTCTGCCTCAATTTTTGTTTGCTCGAACCGACGGACCAAGCCACAATCCACAATCGCGGTCATCCGTTGCGGCAGCCATCAGCATCTACAGGTACCACTACAGCTATTCTAGCTACTAGACAGGAGGTTGAGTTGAGCCAATACGAGAGAGAACATTGATCAAAGATGGCAGGGGAAACAGATCTGAAGAAAATGAAAGGTACGTCAACTCAGTTGAAACGCAGATTGGAGAGAGCTTTCTTTGAAGCCTCGTTTGATCCGATCCTTTTTCCTTACGCTCTCTTCTTGCTTTCGGTGTGCTATTTATGAAACAGTGGCTGACCTCAAGTCTGAGCTCAAGCTCCGAGGTCTGTCTACAGAAGGTCTCAAAGCGGATCTGGTGAATCGATTGCAGGCTCGATTGGACGAGGAAGAATTTGGTTTGGCGGAAGCTCCGACACCAACGGCAGCTGCTGCCGCCGCTGCCAAGAACAAGGAAAAAGAGAAGGAAGGAAAATCAAAGGACGAAAAGGCAGCGAAGAAAGCAGAAACACCGAAAGAGAGCAAAAAGGATAAAGAAGAAGAAGAAGAAGAAAGTCCAGCAAAAAGCAAAAAGGGGGAGAAAGATGACGAGAAAAAGAAAGAAGATGATACTGACAAAGGCGAAGGGAAGGATGAGAAAAAGGAAGAAAAAGAGACCAAACCGAGTGGAGGGGAAGAGTCCGCCGCCGCCGCCGCCACCACTAAGAAGGCCGCGGAGGAAGGAGAGTTGTCGTTTGAAGAAAAGAAAAAACTCAGGTCCAAGCGCTTTAAAACTGTCTACATAGAAACAGAGGAAGAAATCGAAAAGAAAAAGGCCGAACGCGCCAAGCGATTTGGAATGGGGGGGACCAGCCCAGACGGCAAAGGCAGCAATAAACGAGCCAAAATCGCTGGCGCATCGGACGTTTCGGCGGAGGAACTGGAAAAGAGATTGGCGAGGGCCAAAAAATTCGGGACAACTTCGACGGAAACGGAGAAAGTAAAGATGGAGCTGCGAAAGCAACGTTTCGCTGCCAAATAGCCAAAAGAAACGCCACAAACCAACTGCATTGGCTGGTACCTGCTTGTGGCGAAGAATTGAATGAAAACAAAAGTGAACTGTTCCATACCCCTGAGTTGAAATTGTACTACGCATTTATCATCAGCAATCTGAGCTAATAGTGAGAGCGGTGTTGCTGTGAGGAAAGACAGCGGCGCTCGGTGAAAAGACATCTACTTTCTGAGGTCGGTCCATGTGGCCCCTCTTCTGACACGCACGATAGTTAGACTGATCCTGGACTGTGGGATTGGCGTGGGGGGTGGTTAGTAGAGGCATGACCAGCAACAAGAACCGAAGGATCTCGAAAAGCTACATGACTTTTTGTGTCCTCGATGAGCCAAAATTGACTACAGTATGGTAGATAGATTGGATGTGTGCTGTGCGCTGTGCAGAACTGCCGATAAAGCTCCCCATGCAATAAAGGATAACTATCAGTTTCCTGGAAGCTTCAACAACATTTCGTTCATCCAATACTCGAGTGTGGCGACCTGGCGAACCCTCCACATCGTAACAGTGGTGTATTCCATCAAAGAACACTGGTATTCCATTTTTAAAAAGTTTGCTTTTTCCTTACTCGTACTAGCTAGTACCACTATCATGCGTTCGTCGACCGCGCGGACATCAAATAATCCATACTGTAATGAGGACGACGCGTCACCAGGGTCTTAAGGATCTGGAGACGTCTCTTCGACCATCATAGGTGCATCGGGTGAATCCTCGAGATCCATCGCGCCATCACCAGATGTCTCGTCAGCAATTGCGGATTCTGTTGAAGCTGCGGTGACACAATTCAAATAGTCTTCCATTCCGCCCTGGAAGTTTCCAGTGGACAAAGCGAAGGACAATTGATCTTTGCATGCTTGAATGGCTGGATCCACTTCTTCTTCAGTGTCTTGTTCAAGACGACGCAGCTTTGGAGTGCTTTTGGCGCGAGATCGCTTGCCTCCGAGGATGTATTTCATCAGGGATCTGATCATGGATCGATCAGGTACCTCACAATCGATGTCACAATCCTCACCAATGTCGTAGTCCAATTCATCTTCAATCAACGGGCGAATGACATCGTTGACAATGCAATTCATGATGTCTTCCAGTTCTTCATTGCATGTACCACAGCACTCGCTTCCCTGTGCACAGACACCGTCAAATTGGACCTGTGCGTTCTCGCATTTTGACAGGAATTCTGCATCAAGTTCGTCCTCTTTTTCGTCAATTCTACAATGGAAAGGTTATTATAAGTACATGGCACGGTGGGATCGTGATCTGCACAAAGATCTGTGACCGTCTGAATACTTACTCATCCTCAAGGTCCTCAATATCCTCCTCTGTAGGTAGAGGAAAACAAGAAGGGATGCTTTGTTAGTACCGTATCGTAATCTGGCCCGAAACTGGAAGCCAGGAGTAATTTTGAAACCACCAACTCACCTAAGTCTTCAGTTTCCTCGTCGATTTCGTCAATCTAAAGCATGACACATCGGGTGTGATTAGTTTGATCAGGATTGGACGCACCGGTACTAGCTAGCTAGTATGGCCCACCACACAAAATACCGCATCAAACTTACCTCGTCTTCCTTGTCTTCAATTTCATCCTCAAGGTCATCCAATCTTCTCTGCACTTTATTTTGACCTTCTACCAAACCTTCTTTGTTTTCCACGGTTGTGCGTTTCTGAACCTTTTGTCCTGCCACCAACTTTCGTCCCCCATCGCCTTGTCTACCACGAGGCCTGCCACCGCCGCCGCCGCCGCCACCACCAGACGGGCGTTCGGGGCGTTCTTCTTTGTTGTTAGTTCGTGGAGCAACGTCAGTTTGGGAGGTCGAGATGCAAATCAAAGACAGGTTTGTGTAGAGCCTTACCTTCCTCCTCTTCCTCTTCCTCTTCCTCCTCCTCCTCATCCCTGTTAGGTCTCTCGTCGGGCCTCTCGGGCCTGTCTTCATCCTCGTCTTCGTCCTCATCCTCATCTTCGTCCTCCTCTTCTTCTTCTTCATCCTCTTCTCGCTGGTCTTGCTCATCCTCAAGGTCTTCAATGTCTTCCTCAAGGTCTTCAACCTGGTCTTCGTTGTCCTCAATTTCCTCCTCTTTTTTATGAAGCAAGACAAAGGGAAAGCGTGTAAGAGGGAGGCATCAAAGCAAAAATCATGGTGCATACCAAGCAAGTCAAGACTTTTACCTTTGTCTTCAATTTGATCTTCAAGATTGTCAATGTCAGATTCAACTTGGTCAATTTGATCCTGCAGGCCGTCGAGCTCCGAATTTAGTTGTTCTTCGTCAATGGGTCCTCCAGAGGCTTCAGCTTCGTCCCTGGCTACATTACAAGCGGTAGCATTGCACCCGTCCTGCCCGTTATTGATGGTAAGACAGACACCATACTCAGCAACAGTTTCCGTGACACAATCGTCAAGGCAATCGTCAAAACAGTCACCGGCATCTTCCAAAATGGAAACACAAGTGGCGTTGAGCTGGCAACATTCAATGATATCTTCAGGGTCATCGTTCTCGGTCAAGCAAGTACTATCACATGTTTCGATACAGCCTTGGGCAGGAGGGATCTTGTCCTTGCAAGACCTGCAGGCATCCAGATCAGATTCATCAGCCAAGGTCGGGTGAAGCAGGGTCAGCGTCAAGAAGAAGCAGCCAAAGGCCGCGGTAGCTGCATGAAACCTCATTGTCCTTTCGTTCTTTCTTTCTTTTGGATGAATGGATGGATGGATTGGTTGAAACGAAATTGTGACTACAGAGACTTAGCCTTCGCAAGTTTCTGGTACAGGTGTTTTCGGCCGTGCCTTTCGTACTAGGCTGATGCCAGCCGTAGCAGCGCTTTGACTTCATTATTTCGACAAAAGATACTCGTACTTGTACGGTACCAACAAAGATACCAATACACCAGCGCCGGAACGTACCCCCGAACGTACTACACAGAGACATCCTGCTGGTCGTCACTTAGAAGCTCCCTTTCTCGATGATGCCCATCAGAGCCGCCAAATTTGGCAGCGATTAGAAGTTGCACGAACGCAACCGCATAATATCGTCGGTACCACTCCCCAAGATCAATAAGTGGAGCGGCACAATTTACAGGTCACTTACTGACTGGGAAAGGTATGCGCTGTTGCTGCCAAAGATCTTTTCTGTGATGATGTTGGCAGCGGTTTGTTTGGCTTTTCTCAAAACGAAGACTGGCAACATGGCACACTGCATGGCCAGGTTGTCACGTTCAGTCATGGCTGAATGACTGTCACAGTGTCACACTGTCATTCTGCCGAATCTATTCGAGTTGAACCGAACAAACAAGTTCGAATGATTCGAATGGATTACTGCATAAGGGTTAAGGCTTTTGGAGAAAGATCCAAAGATCCATCCTTTGGCCACGATGTCAACAACGCACCAGCAAGCCTCTTTCTGTGGCCTCCTTGCTATCATCTTTCTCGTACAATCTAGCTAGCAAGTACTTTCCTTTTGTCCCATCTTCCCCTATAGCTACCCGCAATGATGTTTCTTTCTCGTCGAGCAATGGGTGCTATTGCACTCTTGGGAGCGTCTGGGGTATCCGGATTTGCTGTCAACCCCAAGTTGCAGGCTCGATCATCAAAGTCGGTGAGTTTCGTCTGCTGATGAACACTAATGTGCGATGTGCAGTGTACTGGATGAACCCAAATAGTGAACCCAATTGGACTGTGAAGTTTTCGCTTTGCTCTGTTGGGCTTATTATTGGATGGCGGTTGATTTAGTCCTGACGACAGCCATTGCAATCTATCTTTTCTACGCGTTGATCACTTGCAGACCAAACTGTTCGGCATTCGCTGTGAAAATAAATATTATCAGCTGGAAGAATTGGAAGACAAGGATAACTGCACGACTGAGCTTTTCCTGACGGAAGATGGGCAAGTCGAGGTTGGCAAGACGGACGGGCCTGTTTGGACCGGGGCTATTGGACGGTGGGCTGTGATCCCGGGTTCCAACAATTTCAAGATGGGCATCACCCGTCGTTACTCTGGCGGCCAAGGAAATACAGACATGGGAGAGTTTTCTTATGAGCTTCATAGAACCTTTACAGGTGAGATGACCAGCGTTGGAGATTCTGTTGGCATCACGGGAGTCATGACAAGCCACGATGCCTACGGAAATGATTCCATAGAAGTGGGATTCTTCAACATGATTGATGGAACTGATGTTCGTATGGACAGGAGACCGGATGCCCGCACGGGTGTATCACAATCTTAAAAATCAAAACGCTACCATGGCTTGGGGATACCAATTGGCGGCACGCAACGTTTTGAATGAATGAATGAATGAATGAGTGTTAGTCGAGTCGAATCTACAGCCATTTTTTTGGTGCGGAAAGAATCATAGCTACATGATGGGATCTATGGATCCAAAATACCATCCCACATAGAAATTGGTGCCAATAAACATGTTTACACACAGCCATATTCTGGAACTTCTACTGGTATCGTAGCAAGATCATACGATTTTAGGAAGATGGATGCGAAGTCCTTGTCCAGGGAGAAAGGCACTGAAGTGATTGCTCGGACACGTATACAATCTGAAGTAGCAACCTGTACGAACTGCACCAGAAAAGCCACAAAGGGCAAAAAGTCAGATCGCTTCACATAACGCTTCCCTACGGTAGCTAGTAGCTGCCAGTGGCTAGATTGGACAAAGCCAATCCACGCACACAATGAAACCGCGTTTCGTTTTCCAGCAGAATCGAATCGAGCCATGGCAAGAAAACCAGATCAGCACAGTCAAGACCTTGGAGCAATAGCAATGCAATAGAAAGACTCACTAGAGTACTGTACACTGCTGAACTTCTCAAAGCATGCTCCCGATCCCACTTCAATAATTCATGGGATGAACAGCCCTGGAAGGCCTCTTCATACGACTGAAAGTCCCGGGTACGGTCCCGCTTTGAAGAAAAACTCGTAAAAGTCGCGTGCGATTCTGAAAGTCGTGTGGAAAGTCGCATGAGACTCGCACACCACTTTATTACGACTTTCCAATCGACTTTTAGCGATCCGACGCGACTTTATTGTGTTGCTTGCAACCTTTTGCATGCGACGTTTAAAGTCGTTCAAAAAGTCGCACATGACTTCCACGCGACTCTTGCGCGACTTCGCGCGCGACTTTTCACGCGACTTTAGATCCTCTGTGCGACTTTAGTCCCTTCTTTGGCGATTTTGGCGAATTAAAACACGTATGACGAGGCCTTCCTGGTGGCAGGAATACGATTGGCCGACATTTTGGCAATTTGAGCTTTTTAACGATAAATTAAGTTCTAATTGCTAAAATCGTAGAAAAAGGATCATAGTGGAGGGTAGACAGCTTTGGAATCCGTGTAGATGTGGTAAATAAATACACATTTCAATCAAATTACTCACCGTAGGCGTGAGCCTTAACCCCGAGCTTACCGCAACTACCTATCCAACCTTTCTTGGTGACCGTTGATATCCGAAGCCAAAGGAAAGCCACTGAACACCATCACAAAAACGGGGCTCGACAACACCAGAACCTTCTCCATGCATATTGTTATTTCAAGCGACAAAACTTATTGAAGAGACGCAACATGACAGAGACCATTCCCCTCAACGTCAAGTGGAACAAGGACAGTTTCAAGGTGGATTTTGTCCTTGCTGGCGGAGTGAAGGGGCTCAAAAATGAGCTCGAAGAGAAGACTGGCGTACCAGCCGATCGGATGAAGCTCATGGCAAAGAGCAAAGGTGGGTGCTGAGCGGAAGGACGAGCCTCCGAGGCTCACTCGGTGGATCAGTTGTCTCGTTTGGGTTTACTGACTCATCTTTTTTCTTTCTGATGTCTTGGCTCCTCAGGTTTGTGGAAGGGTGTGCTCAAAGATGAAATGGATCTATCGACCATTGATTTTGCTGGGGCAATGACCAAGGCCAACGGCAAAGACCTCCAGGTTTTGTTGATGGGATCGGCAGGTAAGCCTTTAGAAGGAGGGAGTCAATGATCAGCTTTACAAACTGAACTCACCAATATTTTCAATCAAAAAGCCAAATTGACGGGTCCCAAGACCAAGACGGTCTTTTTGGAGGATTTGCCCCCGGAGGAAGTTGCAAAGGTGCAAGAACCAAGTGGCCTCGTCAACCTTGGAAATACGTGCTACATGAATTCGGTCGTGCAGAGTCTCCGTGGTGTCCCTCAGTTGCGCAAAGGACTCAGGTCCTATACTCCTTCGACCAATCAACAACCTGCCACCATTGGAGGCAATTCGGCTGTGAATGGACCCTTCCTCATGGCTCTTCGTGAGACTTTTAATTTGTTGGACCGTACAGCCAATGCAATCCCTCCAGCCGCTTTGGTGCGAACCACAAAGATGGCCTTTCCTCAATTTGCACAAACCGGTCCTCAGGGACAACCCATGCAGCAAGACGCTGAAGAATTCTACTCTGGATTGTTGAATATTGCGGCAGCTGAGACTAAAGGAAAGGAAAAAATTCAGCAGGGGCTCGATGTCGTCACGGATGAGGAACTGAATGGTGCCGACAATCTAATAGACGCAGTCTTTGGACTCAAAATGGAAGAGACGCTCACTTGTGATGAATTTGACACGGACAGCAAAATGGAAGTCGAGGGAGAGGCTGCTTCCGCTGTGGAACCTCCCGTCAAGACATTTGATCTTCAAAGAAAGCTTGTATGTAACATCCAGGGCGGATCTGATGGGGCGTCGCAAGTTAATGTCGGTCATGTCGCCGAAGGAATCGGCTTGTCGCTCAATGACAAGGTGGAAAAGCGCTCGGAGGTTTTGGGTCGCGATGCTGTGTGGACGAGTAAGAAGCGCATTGCCCGTTTGCCCCCCATTATTGCTGTGCAGTTCAGTCGCTTCTATTGGAAGGCAACCCCTGACTCGCAGGATCATGCCGGTGTCAAGTGCAAGGTGATGAAGCCTGTCGCTTTCTCGAGTACCCTCGACATGCATGAGTTTTGCACAGAATCTGTCCAGAAAGTCTTGAAAATTTCTCGCGACAGGGCTCTGGCCGCAGAAGAAGAGCGAATCAACAAAAAGCTCAATGGATCCAAAGATGGCAGTGGTGAAGATGACGCAAAGATGGAAGAAGCCAAGGACGCCGAGGCAAAAACTGAAGGCGGGGATGCTGAAGATGAAGAATTGCAAAAGGCACTCGCGATGAGCATGGAAGAAACCCCACCCCCTGTTGGCCCTGGATTGCCAGCCAACTTCCAGGGCATCTATGAGTTGTTTGCTGTTGTCACCCACAAAGGACGCGATGCGGATGGTGGGCACTATATGAGGTAAAGTTGTACTCTTGCTCGTGGAAGCGGTCGTGTTGTTTCTGTCTGTCACTGAAAGTTGCACTTCTTGTTTTCATATCCTTCTATAGTTGGGTCAAAGCTGATTCACAGGGGGATGCCAAAGCGATCGCTGACACGGATGAACAAAACGAAGATTGGTTCGTCTTTGACGACGATGAAGTCAGTCCATGCAAGACAGAGGACGTTCTAAAACTCAAAGGCGGCGGTGACTGGCACATGAGCTACCTCAACTTTTATCGAGCAAAGAAATAGGCTTTTGAATACCTAAAAATGTAGCTTTCAGGAAGTTTCAACGCAGACTAACTTGACAATTCTGGTTGTTCTCTGCTGAACTCTACGCTTCGCCCTCTTTACTGTCGCCAGTGGCTGGCTACTTTCTTTCAGCGTTAGAGAAATAGTTAGTTGTGCGAAGGCCCAACCCGCCTTCTTCGTTCATGACGTAGCCGTGTGGATGGTCGCAGGTAGTAGGTACTGTACTGGTTAGCAGGAGCTGGCCAAATGTACGCCGTGTTTGGAACTGCAAAGTTGCAACATCGTGGCTACGACTGTACCCGTAATCACTGTGGACTCCCTACGGTACACTTTTGGGAGGCTTTAAACGGCGTTTGTGGATCGCCTGGTTCTGCAGAATTGTGTCATGCCTTTCTCACAGAATCTTGAAAGAAGGCATACACTACCATACTGGCTCCATTTGCTACAAAAGATCTCGACGCGCCAGGACCAAAGCCTCTATATACACGCCTGATACCACCCTCAGAGTACAACTCTCTCAAAACTTTCCACGTTGCCCCTCGCATCTGCTTGTAACGACCTGATGTATCAGCTTGGATGACACTTTTTGCTGTCTCAAACGGAAAGGCAAAGGTCCAAGCTAATGTGGCACAAATGCCTCCTTTGACAAAGGGTCCCACAAGAGGTGAATTGACGACTTCTGGGTAGTATCGTACGGAGTAATCAATCAGAACAAAGAATGGGCCCAGCAGACCAATCGTTCTAATCAGAGTGACAGTGTACCCGTGATAGAGGTGGCGAATACTTTGCACTGGAGTGCTGAAGAAAGACCTTGCAGCGATTTGGGATTTCGGCTTGTTGTTGTCATTGCTTGCTCCGGCATCTTGCATGACGCCTTGTCCAATTTGATACCGTAATTTGACAAAATCAAATGGTGATTCGATTGTCGCCCTCGCAAAACTCGAAGCCAAAGCTCCTACCAAGACACATGGTTTTAGACCACCCGTGAAAGGGATATCTTTTGTCAGGAATTCGACTTTCGAACAAGCTGAATAGGCACCGCTGTAGGCACTGAAACCTGCTCCTCTATAAACCATGGAGCCCACCAGAGGCGGAATAAAGCCTCGATAGAATCCTCGAATGCCCTGCTGTTGAAAAGTAGATTTGACGGTTTGCAAGATAGTGGCATTCTTATAGGCGACCTCAGCTTGCATTTTCGTCTTGATGGATAGATAGAAAGTAAGAAAAGCATTCAGTTTCTCATCTCTTCTGGTAGTGCAGAAAACAGGTGGCTTACCTTGATAGTATCAAATGGGTGGCCCACTATCGGGGATGTCAAGCCATAAGCGAGGCCACCCATGAGACCAAACAAGGCCTCTCGAGAAAAGGAACCAGTGCCAGCCACTGCGCCCTGAAGCAGGGATGATTGTCGTGAAGCTGAAGTCGTCTCTGACCCGCTCTGTTGAGGACTTGCCGACATGTTTCTCCTCTCTCTTCTACATGTGATGAGCTTGAACTGAGAGGTCCGAAAATGAGACGATGCCGCTTCTTCCTAGCTCTAGTTTCTGGTGCTTTGATTGTTGCTGTTTCTCATGGCTTGCAACGTATCTGTTTCCCTTGGAAGGTCTTTCGTCTTTCTCCTTGTTTTCTTTGGTGAGGTGTTGAGGTGGCAGCATTGCCGTTGGGGTCTCTAGCTAGTCACGAATGGACTAAATCACGTTCACTTGGCTTCTTCAAAACGAACGTTTGAACCAGCTCGAGACGTCGTTGTCCTCGCATCATTCTTAATAAAAAAGATGCTTCGTCGTCTGAGTGAGCATCCGAAGGCTTCGTGGATCACTCTAACAGCTTCAAGGGAAAAGGACCCAAGTCACCAAACGAGCAGCGTTCTACTATCAGTAGTACCGTAGCGCAAGCATCATGTCAGAAGCGCAGACGATGTCAAGCGGAGCCGAAGATTCCCTTGGCTATGGCGACGAGCCCACAGTGCGGCAAAACGTTTGTGCGTTTCGAGAGTCTCATGAAAAGGAAAACATCAAGGGGACGGGTCGCAGCTCATTCGACAGCCAAGTAGTGATCTCTACAATGCGCCAAAGTGTGTCGCCATTGTCCCAGTTCACTCCTTCGAGTAACTTGAAGGAACAGAGGCGAGAGGAACGTCAAGAAAGTGTGGAAACCGCCGCGGACGACAACAGCTCGTCTCGTGCATTCGAGCATAATTGCGACGAAGTGGCTTTGGCCGAAACAACCAAGTGTGAGGACAGCAACAGCACTCCCTTGACCTCGACTTTCAACGCGTTTTCTGGGTTTCACGGATTCGACTGTCAAGGAGAGGAGCTTGTCGGTGCCACACCAACGTTCGTTTCACCTCGTGATTCGGACAGCTTCGATTGGCGCAATGAAATCTCTCCATTGGTACCTTCCAAGTACAACAAACCGACTCGTCGCAGCTCCATTTTGTTTCGGCCGCATCGGCACACCTTTGCCCAGAGCCCCTTTCAGAGCCCTCCGTTGGCTTCCTTGCGTGTTTCCAGCAACGAAACGACAAACAAGGCCAACTCGCCCAACAGTATAGCCGCGACACCTGTTGAGCGGCAAACGACTACTGGAATCGACACGTGTGAACATGACAATTGGCAAAGTTCTGCGAGTACGGCTTTCCTAGTCCCATCTATTAGTCCTGGCATCCCTCGATCCTCTCAACCAAACGGCTCGCTACGAGACGTCATCACTCGTCTCCCTGGGTTGGGCCCAATCAGCGAGGCTGAGAGTGGTAAAGCTACGGACGGCCCCAATGGTCACGGTACCTCGTACGAGATACTTCTCCAGGAGAATCACAAGCTACGAAATCGTCTCCTCCTCAAATCAAAGAGCTATGAGAAAGGGATTCTTCCGTTTAGAAACTTATTTGAAATGGTGAGTGCCCTCTCTCTCTCGCTCTCCATACTTGCTCCATATCGGCAACGAAAGCTAAAATTGTGTCGCGTGCTGCTTTGCTCGGAAAGCTGCCAAAACTGAGGAGCGAGATCGAAGCTCTCAAGGAAGAAAACGCGAAGCTGCGAGAAGAGAAGGATGATGAGGTGGTAAAAACCATAGCAGAGCTGCAAATGCAGATGACAAATGCCATGCGCTTGGCCATTGAAAAGACTGATCGTCTTGAGAAGGAACTTGAGTTGTGCAGGGCCAAGAGTGCAAAACTCGAAGAGAAGATTTCAGCTGCTCACGCAGGAGCTCACAACACTGCACCCAACTAGCTAGGTCCGCAAAAACTGGAATGGTTCAATCTTGCAAGGCTCACAAGGGAGCAAGAGTCAGAGAGGACACTTGTTGTCTTGAATGAATCTTGCGAAACTCTTTTGTGTGCTGTGCACCCAAGCAACGTTGACATTGCTTCAGTAGAGCTGTAACCTAGCTAGATACTGTCCTCTGTCCACTGGTTGTACCAGTCGTCCTCTTCATCATCTTCGTCGTCTTCTTTCATGTCAACCTCAAGTTTTTCGTTTTGCGATTCAAAAGCTTGCTGCATTTGCTGTGCAACTATCTCATCCTCACTTTCACTGCCTTCAATGCATTCAACAATGGACATATTCACCTCGTCAACCGTTGGCTCTTCATCAAATGTAGCAGCGACGACAAAATCAGCATCTGTATCGGGAGAAATATCCACAAAGACGTGCCATGGCCTGTTTGAGCGTAGCAGAAGCAAGGTGAGGCTGGCCAAACCCGTCGTATTTCTGGAGGACCCATCAACAGCTTTGTGAGCTTACTTTGGATAGGCGCGAACCACCATAGCTCGGGTTACACCGTGATTCACACCAGCTTCATGTGCACGCCTCATGGCTTGTTCCAGGAGAGCATCATCTGGCTTCTTCGTTTCCTTGGATGCTTGGTCCGTGTCTCGAGCCTCGTCATCGTTGAAAGATTCAAAGTGTGAATCGGCATGATTGCCTGACATGTACTGCACTGACAGGAGCCGTAGATGGTACATGGCATCAAAACTGGCAGCTGGACCCGTTAGTGGTGCCATGTGAGGATTCAAGACTACAACAGGTTGCGTGATTCGTTGCTCTTGCTTCCAATCAGGTGGATCTAGCAGATCATTCATGACTTGCAAACCCTCTTCATCATCGGGTGATGGAGCTACAATCACAACAATGTTGTCTCCTTCCTCCACTGGGTCAAATCCCAGGGTACTCAAAGCCACTACTTCTGGTGCTGCCAAAGCCATTGTCTTTCGGTACTGCAGCAATTGCGACACTGTTGGGAAGACAATCTTGACTCGATTCCGTTTGCTAAGAAGGCCTTCAAGACCTGCAGCAACCGGCAAAATGGCAAGTTCAATGAATTGTACCAGAGTTCCAGGGTCTAGACTCAACTCAGAATCTCGCACATCAACTAGCATGCGTTGCTTGCCGCCCAACAATCCCGCCAAAATGGCAGCACCCGCATGATCAGCGGCATCTGTGACTGATGAAGGAGCTTCTCCAAAGATCTCTGCATCATCAAAATACTCGTATATGATGGCTTCACTATTATCCATGCCATCTTCCGAGAACACATTCTCATCGTCAATGTCATTGTTGTTGCCTCTGATGCGTGTACTACTCATTGCTGCTGTATCTTCAGCGGTGAGAGATGGTTTGGAAGCACTGGCTGGCGATTCGTCTGTTTGCAACCCAGCAGCCCTAAGCAGTTCAATTACTTGGTGAAAAGACTTTGTAGCATCTTGAAGACTGCTGCACTCATCTTTCAGCCGCCGAATTTCCACACTTTGCTTTGCCACCAGGCTTTCCAACTGTGTCATTCTCTCTGTCATTTCTTCCATTTGTTCTTCGGTTACTTCATTGTGAGTTTCAGGAGGGTCCATGAATATGGCTGCACTACCACCAGTGGTCGAGTTGCTGGCCCTTCCACGGAATACACCACCAAAGCCTTGACCCATGGATGACCGCGAAGCACTCCTCCGATCTTCCTTTCCATTCTTGTTGCCTCTACGATAGTCATCATCTCTGCCATCTTGACTGCGGAAAGGAGGTCCTCCACGCGAGAGATTCAGTTTTGTCGCGGAAGAAAGAGGATTAAAGAGGCATCTTTGCTGTCTCTGGAAACCACATGCAGCAGTGGCTGGTCCTTTGCTGGATGGAATCAGACCTACCCTTTCCACTGCTGAAAAAGCTAATGCTGTCCCTGCCAACAGAACCAGAGTGACACAAAACAGAAGACCGCTTGTTGCGAGATTCCCGCGGAGATTCACTTTTGGGGTTACCGCCATCATACTCGGTTGCTTTCTGGGTCGAATACTGTACACTCCTCGGATAGTTGATCAAGGGTCGACGAACTAGCCAGTCTTGCCAGGGAACAACAGTAGATGATCAAAAACGAGGCCAATGAAAGCTCCACAGATAGAGGAGCCACAAACTTTCTTTCAACCTCTCTCTTTTTGATGTTGATGCGATTTTGATTCCTCTCCCTCTCGAAGCCTCTTCAACTCCGGCTTAGTTGCTGGCTAGTCGAAACAGTAGCTTGTAGGGTTCTCGCGTATCTATTGAGCTCTTTACCCGGCCTTTTATAGCAACAAACATCTCCAATGCCCAAAGGAGGAATCTCGGACATGAATCGAATCGAATCTTCCTCGTTCAACAAGAACAAACCAATGCAGCCGTAAGCGGTACTAGCTACATGTAGTAACGAACAACATGCAGGTGCCCGTAAGAACACTTTTGCGCCTTGGTCGTCGATGTCAGCTCGAAAACAATTCTGGTGAGAAGCAGTTCTGACGTTTTAGAAAATGCAAGATGGGGCCTCACGGATGTGCCGTGGCGTGTGAGAGAGATTTGTACTTAAAAAGCCCCCAAAATACCCATGGAGACGAAGGGCAAAAGGGGGCCAATTCTCATTGGATACTGTTACGCACCCAAGTAAGTAATGATTGGGAAGGTGCGACTTGGACAATCGTAAGGGCCAATAGGACAGCAGCCCATCCGTGCTCCAGTGGTTTCCAGAGGGGTTAATCCAGATCAATTGTACCTACCGTACCTGGTATTTACTACTCTGGCACCAGACGGATGGCTAGCTAGTAGTTACTAGTACCCTACCCGGTACTAGTAGTAGCTAGCAGTTGCCGTGCGGGGTGGGAATAGTACGGTACTGTACGCAAGAATTGAGAAACCACCGTTTTGGAAAGCAAGCAACGACTGTAAGTCTGATTCAAAGACAGCAGCATGTGTCACCTCTACTTGCCAGCAATGCTGCTGGCAAGCAAAGAAAGTCTGTGCTGGTTGGTGGGTGGCAAAGGTGTTGGCTGAGTTTGAGGAGTTGGCCTCGCCTGATCCGGTTAGGCACCTCGCCTTTGAAACCGACATGCTCCAGAACCGTACTGTACCGGTACGCTGTACCGGTGCTTATGTTAGCAGTAGTCTCCCACCGGTGCTATGGTACCAGTACCGATGTTGTATCATCAAGTGAGAGTTTCCTCGGCTTGGGTTGCATAGAAATTGCAACCAGAAGGAGTTTGGAGGCCAGACCTTCATCTGGGCACACATCATAGTATCCTAAGCTGTGTTGTACTGGTACTAGTATGTGCTCGGATGGGATTGTGGCAGTCAATCCGAGTCGTCATCTCGTTTGTTCAGCTCATTCCTCGGTTCCTCCACCTGGGGTTGGAGGTTGGTGCGACCATTTTTTCATTTTTCGATTTTCATTTTTTTAATCGGAAGTAGTCGTCAAAAGTGTGACTGAAATTCATTTTTACATAAACAATTACAAAATGTGTGCTTTCTACCTATCTAGACTACCTGTACCACCTTCTCATTACGGCACTAGCTAGAGCAAGCTAAGGCAGGGGAATAGATATGAATAGTAATAATGTTTGCTTCTGCTACTCATGCTGAGAAGAGATACGTGGTGGTAGGCTTGGATTGAATGCCATGTTGGGAGTAACGCTATCTCTCGCTATCACGTAACACACAATCCTGGATTCATGGATCCAATGGACGTCCTCAATCATGTGCCGCAAAATTTCGCTGCAACGTCTCGGTTGGCACAATTCGACGAGTGAGTAGCTAGACTCTACCGGACATACTTGCTGGTACGTTCACAGCATAAGAAGAAAAAGATCTGACGACGGGTATCATCACGACATAATGGGTGCGTCCTAATAGTGGTTGATTACTTTAGGCTCTCAGAATTACCGAATAGTGCAATGCATGGAAGTAGTTATTCATTTATGAATTTCATTTGCCCTTATCTCCTTTAACGATTATTTGTTTTGTTGCTGGCTGTTGCTTCTGTTCCTAGTATTTCCCTGCTACCATACCATATGATAGCTACTGGCAAACTACCGTGACTGGTCTAGACACCAAAGCTGGCAGAGCGGAGAGACAGCATGGCATCAATGGCAGTTTCTTCCTTGGTGGGAGAGCGATCGGGGACACTGCCAAGCACAGCGACGTCAGGCTCCACAATTGGTTTGTCCGCCGCCATGGAGGGAGAAACGGTCGGGACGGGCAATTCAAAGTCTTCGTTGTTCTTCACAAAGAGTTTCTCAGGCTTTACGTAGAGAGGAGGCATGGGGATACCTTCAAAGGGCTTTGGGGCAGCTGGGCAAGAACCATCATCAAAAGAGACGACAGAACCAATCGAGTGGGTCCTGGACACAGGAGGCTCCGTCACAAAGAGTGGAACAATGGCGTGGGATGAATAGTGGGCGCTAGGGTGGTGTCGATGGTGGTGGCGGTGATGATGTGATGAGGGGGTGGGGCGGAGGTGGTGGAGGTGGTGGAGGGTGGGAAACGTGCATGTTTTGGTGGGATCGAGGATGGTGATGAATGTGGTGGGGCAAGGGAGCCTGGCGAGGACGGTGAGGGCGGTGCGCCTGATGAGGCCGCTGATGGTGATGCGCCAGATGAGGCTTGTGGTGGGGGACTGAGTGCCGAACATGGGAAGATTGGCGTGGAAAGGTATGAGAGGTATGAGTGGGGACAGCATGGTTTCGAGGAACAATAATGGGCCTTCGAGCTTGAGCGGGAACATGGGCAGCACCCTTGACCTCCTGCTGCTCTCGTTGCTTCTTGGCAATTGTCAACTCCTTCTTTCGAGCACGGCAACGCTGCTGGCGAAGACGAGCAGCCAAGCGTTTCCGCATCAAGCGCTCCGTGGGGCTAATCGCAGTCTTCGAATCAGATACCATGTTTGTTCAACCTGTTCCACAAAAGAGACGAAATACAATAACAACACTCGGAATAATAGTATCAGCTAGCTAGTACAGGCTTTCTTTGTCGATCCAAAAAGTGTGACTGTCTTCTTGAGAATTGGAAATTTGTGTCACGTCTTGGCTGTGTGGTGCTTTTCCTTTTCATCTGTGGGAGTGTGGGTTGGGTTGGCTTGGGAAATCGGCGAAGAGATTTCATGACTGTTGTAAGGCTCCCAGCTTTCAGTTAGTCTCAGTGAGTTCAGTGAGTGAGTTCACGGTATTTAGTAAAGAGCATCGGTGTAGGTGTGACAGCCAGCGTGTGCTAAGCCGATTTACTTAGAAAGTCTTGGCTTTGCGGTCCCGATACTTAGAACTAATTTCAATAATTTCTTTGTCTTGTCAACCGTATCAAACCGCCATCAAACCGCCCGTTTATTAGCGCACCCGCGAGGAAACTGAGGGCACCGGTATACCGCTACCGGTACCTACCGTATGAGAGCTACTAGCTAGTAGCTACCGGTGGCTGGCTGCGCCTAGTAGATAACGAAAATTTAATGGCGAAGGGTCAGCATCATCTCATAACGTCAATAACAACTCAACAACACGCCCACCTTCCCAGACAGGGAATGAAGAGATTCTACAGAACGGAGAGTATGAGTTAACAGGGAGCCGACCATAAGGGAGACTGACGGACAGAATCCGGGAGAGCCACTCATTCAAAGGATGAGGTGGTGGACCGAAGTGTCGGTGCACAGGTGGTGTGCCTATGTGTGTTGATGACTAGCTAGAAGGACTACTAATCGGGCGGCTACAAATCAGGTTCACTTTTTCTGAACCAGAGTTGCACCGCCACACCAATTTTCCTTTTTGACTGGGGGTAATTAGTGTGAGCGGCCGCAACCTGAAAAAGTATCTGCTTCCCGACAGTGACCGCCTCCCTCGCCAAACCTTACTCTGAAGAAAATAAGCATGGACTTAGAGTTTTATGACGCCAGCGGCGGGTCAAACAGTGTGACTTCCTTAGGGTCCGGTGTCGGAGATGGCGGCGTTTTTCACACCGGCCGAGTGGTGTTCAAGGAGGTGTTTTGTCGAGCCCGATTCGTCATGAAAGGTACCGTCTATGTTTGTTTCAGTGGCCGTGGTATCGAGTGTAAACGAGCCGGTCACCGAGGAGCTACTCGGTCCAACCAGGTGGGTACTCCTTTGAAGGGGTGCTTAGACGCAATGACAATACTTTGACGGAATCGCTAGTACCGCCTTGTCCCCCCACGAAACGGCCGTCTTCAAGCAAAAGAGCGAGCTGAGTACGAAGCGCGCTCCATGAAGGACCCGCCGAACGCTCTCCCGGGATCACGGTGGAAAACGTGAACATGGGATCGCCTGACGCCAAACGAGCTTTTCGAGTGGAAGCACCAAGGGACGTGTAGGGTCGATCTCCTTCGAAGGCGAAGAAGCCCCCGCCTCGCCGGACCTTCTCGAGCGATACCGGCGGATCTTTCAGCACCCCCATCCCGGGTCATCAGAAGATCGCTGCCCGCAAGAAAACACCCGAAGGCTCGCATGAACGAGGCAGAGAGAGCCGGAAAGATCTCGGAGCTGGCCCCCCAGGAACGAGCTAAGAGGAAGTCGCCCAGGAAGAAAAACGGCTCGCGGAGCAAACTATGAGCAAGAGCGAGCCACTGAGGATGGCCGATCCAGAAGCTCCTACGTGAACACGAGGCAGCCGGAGCACAACGAGCGAAGGGCCGCTGAGGCCGCCAATACAAGCAGGAAGCAGAAGTGTCAGCGACGCGTTGAACAACCCTGGCCGCAAGGCTCGCCAGGAAGGACTCCGGATAGGCACCCGGGGACAGCGACGGTACGCTCCGCCAGACACCCAGCTTCTCCCCGGAGTACCATCCAGTCCAACCAGCCGCTTTTGGTACGGTATGTGAACGGGTCAATGTGAGCATACGGAGTGGTCAACGAACAGCGCAAAGATGCAGCCATTCGCAGCGATAGGATTCTTGGCTCTGTGCCCGCAACACGGCCGCCGAAGCATGGGAGTGGGTGAGTTGCCGAACTCGCCCATACAGTCTGACACGCCCCGGCCCCCGACGAGATCCGGCGATGAGAAGTCCCTGAGCCCGCCAATAGTCGAGTGGTACGCAATCCAGCCGGCCCACCCACAATGCTCGCCGGAAAGGACCCGTCTACCAAGGACCAAGGAATGCGATCTACAAATCATCCCCATCAAGGAGGGCACAGGCAGTTCTCGCGAAAGGTTTGGCCCCAGAAGGAATCAGTCCGCGAACGGCCAAAACATTGGGCGAACACCATGCTAGATGTATTGTCCCTAACAGGTAAGACACAGACCGTGAACGCGACGATGTAACCAGCGAAATCAGAGATTCCTCTTCGCCGCCGTCAGTCGCCAAACTGTCGACGACGAGGAGGTGCCCCCCGACCTCAAGTGCCAGCAGCCTTCCAGAACCTCAGTCTCAGCCTGCAAGAACGACGAAGACCTACGGAAACTCAGCGAGATGTGGAAGAAGTGGAGAACAACACCTTTGCCGGTCATCGAGCAACAACGCACCATCCTCGTCAGGACCGACTACCCTCTGAGCCTCGCCGACACCTGGAGTAGCGAAGGATTTATGGCCACACTCAACCGCAAGGGGATCAAGTATTACAAAGCCTTCCTGTGACCATCTCATTCAGCTGTCGTACGGCCAAGGATGGAAGCCACCACCACGGTCATCGAATACTATGCTGAAGAAGTGGCGCATCATTCCGGCCAATTGCCATTCCCGGCCTCCTAGCCCTATGCCAATTTATGTCACCCTCGCGTTGGATATGAAAGCGACTGGCTGCACCTCAAGATCACGGAAAGAAAGTGAACTCCCTGCTCACGCAGACTGCAGGAGCAGAAGGTGTCCGGAACGGAGGATGCTGTCCCTCGCGGAATGCCCTCTGCCAGAAGTGCGAGACATCCTCCAAGGCGGGACCGGCTGCCTCTGGATGCCTACGTGGAAATGCGGCAAACCAGGCAGGCAAGGAAGCCCTACGTTCCGGTATCAAGAAAATCACTGCTTTCTTTTCAGATCCACAAGCAAAATATTACGATCCCACGGACATAAACAGTAGAATGGCAGCTGGTTAAGCAGCACCTCCGCCCGAATAAGGAAGACAACGCCACCTTACCGCAAAGCCCGTAGGGGCCCAGAAATACTATATATGTTCAGAAAGAAGCCTTCAAGTGTACGAACCGCCGCGCGACGGTCCACAAACACTTGAGCTGACTACAACACGTGACGACCGAAGATCCACAACTTCACGTCAGCAATGAGCTCTTGGTTCCAGCAGAGAGACAATTTGGAAGGGGGACAGAAGGCAAAT